GCACCAAGAGGTCACAATAACAAACCTTGGGAGAGGAGTGCCAGTGAGTGGCATTGCTGCCAAGGTCACCCTTCTGTTGCTGCTGCCCGGCAGATTGCCCTTGCTCTCGGTCTTCTTGCTTTCCCATTAATTCTCGTTTGTTTCTTTCGATTTCATTGTTTTTGTTGTTATCGTGTCTAGCTCGCACTGACGCCTCCAGGCGTGTTTCTTGCGACACGGCTTGATGCACAGTCGGGTAGCTTCTTAAACCTCGTTTACTGATTGAATGTCATGGCAATTCGTTCTTTCTAAACTGGACTAAGATTTTTAATGCTCTTTTTTTTTTCTTTTTTTTTTTCAATGTTTTTGTTGTTATTGTTGTGTCTGGCTGAGGTCTCTGGGTGGGCTTAAGACCTAGAGTGATTCACGGTCGTATGGCTCATCAAATCTCGTGTTGGACCAATCGAGGAAATGCACGAGTGGGTCTTCTTTTCTTTTTAGTAATTGTCTTTGTGGAATTGAGTCTCCATAAGTTTTGACTGGCAGTCTGGATTGGAACCTGTTGCAGTCTTAAATTATACAAGAGAGTATAAACAAAGAAATACTAAATAAATAGGCCTAAATAAGCATTTAAATATAAAACTTTTTAACTAGAGCAAAAATAAAAAAAAAGAAATGTAAGGTTGTCAAATACATATAGGTACTTTATTTTTAAGTGCTCTTTATTACTATTGTGACATTACAAAATGATTGTGACCCTGCGAACTCTCCAGACATAAATCGAAGCACATAGGACCTTTGGCATATACAGGGCAGAAGACCAATGAAAATGAAGGGGATCGGTGGCCGAGTGGACTAAAGCGCACACCCAGCTCGACGCGTGTGGAGCGAAAGCTCGCGCTGCAGAACCCAGAGATCCTGGGTTCGAGCCCCACCCCTGCCCGTTTCAATCTGGATGAGCATCGTACCGGCATGCGGTCATGTATCACTACTGCGTGAGCACGTTAAAGGCCCCAGGTTAGCAGTCATACTGCACTGGCAAAATTGCTCATCTAAAGTGTAAACCAGTGTCGCCTCATCCTGGCAGACTGACCTTACGCTGTATAAATCACTGAACGTCCAATTTGACTTTTTGGCCATTGAAAATGGTAGATTGCATCATATCACAATGCACGATATACATGAGAAAGCAAAGGAAATTTTTCAGAGTTATGCAGACACGAAGCAGGGAACTACGAATAATAATTCTGATGATGACAATGCACAATAAATGACATGGCGAGAGAACCAGCTTTTTGATGCAGTTTTCTAGACATTTGCGACTAGGGGATTTTGAGTTAGAAGCAAATTCAAAGCAAATAGTGATTTCGGCTGAATATTGTCTAATGAATAGTTTCTCCGAGCTTTTCACTACTCCACCATGCCTAAACGAAAACCCATCTGAACTCGTAAAGGTTGATCCCATGCTTCCACTTGTCCATATCTAAACTAATTTTAATCTAGCTATATTTATGGACGGTGACCTCACAAAGTCCATTGCCAGCATAGAGATGGCAAGTAAACAATGCAGTCGACATGCAGTTAAACCTGTAGAGATTCCCATCGTACCTAATCGAGGGGATTTATAAATCACCTTGCTTTACGCAAATATTTTTTATTAAATCTAGAATTTTAAAAGAAAAAAAAGTAACACGTTTACAATCTCTTGTAACGCCGATTTAGGGCGGTGCTCTTGAGGAGAGGAGGATACTGAGGGGAGGTTACGCCCCTCCTCCTCCCTTCCTCCTTCTTTCACACTCAAAACACGCTTTGTCTCACAACGTTTCAGCACGGTTCCATTCTAAAACGTCACATGACTTCCACCGAAATGTCACGGTGACGTTTCAGCATAGTGCCGAAACGTCGCGTGACGTTTCAATGCAATGCATTATGGGATGTTTCTCATAATTCACCGCGCGGTTACGGCGACGCCGCTCAAGCCGGAAACGGGTGCCTAAAAGCTGCGCTTTAAAAAAAAAAAAGGGACGATCATGCTATGAAGGTAGGTTGTCAGGATATCTCTGCCTAACATATGACCTGCATAATAGCCAAAATTTTATTTTGCACATTTTACTCTAGCGTAGATTTCAACAGTCGCAAAAGTTTTGTTTCTTTTTACATACGCCACGCGCGTACGTGCACCATCCCACTTTGAAAGTGGGCTGTCCTCTTAACTGTCATATTCATACTTTTTTAAGTGTTGATCGCAGCGAGTTAGCCTTGTTGAGCACCATTCTTATCGAGCACCTGTTCACTACAGAGAAGCAACACATGTGGAAGCAAGCTCCGAGGGTGTTGCTTCTCCGCAGTGAACCGGTGCTCGGTAAGAAGAGCTCTCAATGGGGCTAACTAACCGCAGTCAACACTTCGAAAAATATGAATATGACATTTCATCTCGAAGACAATATTGAATAGCGTAATATTCGAAACTACTATTCTAAAATTTGAATATTTGCACAACACTACAGTTTTCTTTCATTCTTTTTTGATAACTTAGTTTGTACCTTTGGTGCGTATCACGGCGCTGATTGTTTTGCGAGCGCTTATTTTTTGCGTTGGCAGTCGCGGGCCGGCATTGAATTGTAGTAACCTAAATTATAAGTTAATATGGATTCTTTGGTAGCTCAATGCAGATCTATATTTCACTAGATGAACTCTTTTTAACTATAAGCAAACTTTGTTTTTCTGGTAGACCTCACAAGCAGTTATGAATAAAAATAATTGAATTTGACATTAGTTAAATAATAAATTCACAAAAAGTGCCCTCTTGTTTGGGCAAAATTTTAATTGGTTGTCTTTTAAACCTAAAATGTTAATGTTTCCTTGTCCTTGCTTTTTTTATCCAAATTAGTTATGTTAATAGCAGTCCTATTGTGATGGAATTGTTTGACCTTGACTGCTTACTTATATTCTGTGGCCTTTACTAGTAATGGTTATTTGATTCTGCACCCCCAATCTCTAGAGGGAAGGTTGCAAATTGGAAAATGCACTTTGGATTGGATGTCCTGCAGTTAACATCGCGTCAACCAGTTCCCCACCAAAAGCGGAGATAATTTTAACAACATCGAAATTATTTATTTAAGAAAATATAATTTTGAGAAGTAACTTTACTGAACTTCCTAAAAATATAACTAAGTTACAGTTGCATTTTCTTAAACGTGATTGTAACTTGGAAAGTACCACCTGTACTCATTTTTACCTTAAGACTCGCTGTATAAAAAGTGTGGCACCTCACGGAGGAACAGCTGTAGTGTCCCTCTTTAGTATGTTGTGTGTTAGTCCACTTGCATATGCATTTCAGATAAGTTATTTAAACAGAGTATTCTCGAGGAAAATGTTACAGAATGCCACAGAAAAACATTGAAAAATGCGCTTTTGTCATGCAGTCACCATCACATCCAATGACACATTTTTTTCATGCACTAGATACGTAATCATTTTTGTGCTGTTTTTTCTTTTTTTGTTAACTATTAAATTTTTGCGAGGACCTAATTGTCACGAACTTTGCGCATCGCCTACAGTTCACGAAAAATATGTCCCGTGAACAATTCGGGCAATAGGTGAACGCTATGGAAGCTACACTCGATTCGCGAAAACTAGAACCCGCGAAGAATTTCAAATTTTCAGCTTTGGCCCGGTTTGTGAAAATTAGAGCCCGCGAAAATTAAGTTGTTTACAATATTTCTTCCTACTGTAATGCTATATGGCGAAGTAGGCATTTTAATAACGATAAAGAATACATAAGTTTCAGGAAAACATTTATTTAAAAAAAAACATATAATGAGAAGAAATAGTCGTAAACTGAGAAGAAAGAATAAACTTCCAAACATCTCTCAACAAGAATCAAACATTAATGCGGCAATTTGGGCCAGTTGGTTCATGATCGTCTTTTAGTGCTATATAAGGGATTGGTTTTTCAATAAATGTTAGTTGCGAGTGCACCAGGGTTTACGTCAACTTCTTGTTCCTGTCTTTTTTGGCGCTTATTTGTGAAGAATCTAACATTTGGACCCCAAGATTGTGAGTCTGACGCTCCACCACTGTGGCAAACAAAATTTTGTGAAGCGATAGTTACTTTACTGAGGGTAAGAAGCGCGTCGGTAACCGCATTGCCATATCACGAGCTTTGACGCCACGGAAAAGATCGGAAAGAGCCGCGGGAAATTGGGGAAGAGTGCAAAACCAACTAATTCTGTGCATATACTGACTTCGCTTGTAGGATCCCCTCCCTTCATACAACTAGTATTGTTGCTGAAGTTGTAACCAGTTGCAGCAACTTGAATACTTTTGACCTAGTTACCTTACAGCCCCTGTGTTCTACCTTAATATATTGAGCAAGCACTCGCACAAAATATGGAGATATCTCGAAAAACTTGAGTATGGGCACTTGATACAAGACCAGTTTCACCGCCTTGCACCACGTTGCTCGGAGAAGTGGCTGACGACGAGGAAAACTTTACTTACACCCGTGGACAACTTCCTGTGTCATCTTTGACGACAGGCGGAGCGTGCATGCGCAGCTTTAATCGGTGCTCATGCGCATGTCCCCCTCCCTACCTTTGGCTGTGTACCTACAGAAGGTTGCTTGCGGCTGTAGGTGAGTGGGTTGAGAAATCGGGGCTGGGCAATCAACGTGTTGTGTGCTTCATTCTCGAACATTACAAAAGTGGCGGGTGGGAACTTTTAGCAAGCCGGGTGCATGCTCAGTAACTTACGGTATATGCCAGATTTCCTCCACCATACTCCGCTCCGGTTTACGACGGGCCGCATCGGATGCTACGAGTCATTCCTGCCAATACAGAGCAGCGAACTTATCACGTGACTAGGCGCCTTGCATATTGATATGTCCCTCCCAAAGGTCACGTGACACGGTTTGGAATTGTCTTTGATGGCTCGTAAGATCCTCTGCTGTCCGTCGTCGCATGAAACTGAGTATATCCGCACACGTTGCCTTCTCTCAGTGGTGGCACGCTTCCTCGCAGGGTCTACAGCTTTGCGTCCGAGACGCGGATCCGCCTGCCGTCGTTCAGCAGCAAGAAGAAACCCCTGACAAGGCAACATTCCACAAAGCCCCTGCAGCAGCAGCAGGCAAGCAAAGGGAGCAACGAAAGCTTAGGTAAATTACACCTTTTGCCTTCTTCCCTAGAATGTGTAGACCAGGGGTAGCCAAGCTGCGGTTCTTCGCTTGTTGAAGTGCGGCTTACGGCTCCCGCCTCCCCTACCACCCCCCCCCTCCCCATCCCCACTCCCCCGCCTCCTTCCCGGTCACAAGAGAACTTCCCCAAAAAGAGAAATGGAATGTGTTTTAAATCGAAAGATAGGTTGCGGTTTGGTAGTCTTGTGCTACTACCATTTTACGTAGAGTTGGACTGCTTTTGACTCGCATAGATTGAAAGTAGTTAGAGTTTCGATTATTGCTCAGGACAAAGTTTGCCCCCCCCCCCCCCCACGGCTCTTTGAAGTTTCATGTTTTTGTTTGCAGCTCTTAGGCCGGGTCATCCTGGCCACCCCTGGTATAAACCTACGAATCTTTTAAGGCAGGTCGCCACGAAGCGAGAGGTGAAATTTCACGCAAGGTTTAAGGATGGTTCCAATTTTGTTTTCTTTCCTATTCACAAATTTTTTAATCGTAGTAAATGCCAGAATAGCCCACAATAATTTTCTGATGCTTTTGAGAAAAAAGGCTTAGCGATAATTTTTCCATAGACAAAATTCTCTTTCTTTTGACTCCGGAGGTTTCATGTATTCATACTTTCAATTAGTGAATGTACTAGCTTCAAGCACCTCTAATATGTCCCAGCCCGATAAGTTAAGATACCGATTTATGCAGTCCCTTCAAACTGCCATCGATCTATTTGACCCACATGGTAGTACGGTGTAATACGGGGTAGTGTTTGGATTGGCATGACTTGACAATGGGAGCTTGTGAGGCTGCGCGTGTAGACAACAATCGCGGCACTGCAGTCGACAGGGCAGCATAAAGTCGCTGCAGTCCGCACGTGCCTGCGGTGCATGCACTCAACCTCCACCATACTGACCCTGTGGCCGATGCGTCGGTGTCGACACCTATCGCGATCTACACCACACACCTCATGTGAGTCGCTCCGGTCTTAACACTACCCTGTATTCTAGTACACTGTAGCGGTAGTTCATCAATCCCCCGACGTCAGTGACGTCAAAGAATGAGTGGAAGCGATTAGCTAGTGGAGTGAACCCAAAATGGCCAACTGTGCTTTGGCTTCCTTCACCAAACCTATGGTTTTACGCTCTGACTTAGGTAATCTGTACTGGTAAGCGTACTTCCCATGTAGTGGTGCTGCCATCACGACATTCCATTAAAGCTTGATAACCAACAACCACGTGGTTTTTGGTTATTGGTTAATTCAGTTTAAAATGTTTTCTTGCATTTTTCAACTAAATATTGGTGTTTCTGAGGTACTACTGCTACCTACGTCATGTTGAAGCAAAGAAATGATCTCCAGAATTCCGTTTCCGTACCCCTTTTAGTATATTACACCGAAGTTAAGGGGGGCATAGACACTGGTCTTGCAGCGCTGCATTTTATTTATTTGCTCATTTCATTACGATAGGGCCAGGGATGTTGCAGAGTGGAGTGGGTTAGAAAAAAAAAAAACACGCATAACACTGAACAAACAGCACAAGAAATCTCAAATCATTACAGCTCATTATAAAATGAAGGTTAATCGCAGCCTTTCTAAAACTGTTAGTATCAACACCTTCAGACTCTGGTGTGAAAATCTGATTTCAATTCAATACGAGGTGCGGGGAATAAAATAATTATATATTCGTGCTGCCAGACAGAGTGCCAGCTTTATATCCGTGGTGAAACCGCGCTGATAAGTAAAGGGGCGGTGTTAGAGGATGTGCAGTCGGAAATCTGGCTCAACCAACCGAAGAGACTTGAAATATTCTCCCCAGGCGGCACGCAAAGCCGAAGCCGACAGACCTCTGGCAGCTTCTCAGACAGCTCTCACTCGTCGTTCGAGCTCAAGTTTGTCAAAAGTACCAAGGACCAGCCCGTGAGAGATGAAAGGTAAGCTCTGTACCATGCTCAGCAAAATCTTAATGGTTATTGATTTGCCTCAAATTAGCTTCAACACACCAGTAGACAAGACTGAACTAGAAACTCAAATGATTGGTCAGAATCATACCTTTTGCAAAGTTATTGAACATATAAGATAAGTCCTGACCATTTTTTTTTCTTTTTTTCATGTTGGAAGGTTTTATTGGCGGCACTAAAAATATGACGGTGGATGTTTTAATCTAGCCAGATCAACTTGTCCTTGAAGTGTTAGAAGAACTTTGGTGGGGTGAAATGAATGCTGGGGAGAGTTTCTCCAGTGGAACGAAAAAAAAATGTGCGACGTACTGTGTTTTTTAGACTGCCTGCTCGACCTGCAAGTTTTTACATGTCACGTTGCCCCACTAGAAGGCGTGGGGAAATTTGAATGTTTGTTTTGGTATGACATTCAATCGTCGTTTACTCAATTTAGCTCTTCTGAATTTAGAGATAATAAATAGCACGCTGGGAAGAGTAAGGCCCAAGTGTTCCAAAATTGTTGGTCCGAGTAGGTAAAAAAAACTGCCGGAGCTCCCCTTTGAAACGAAAACTTGCATCTGCTTTGATTGCTGAGGTAGAGTCTAGAAACCATTTCTAGAAGTTTTATAATGTTGCTCAAGTTTACTACCAATCTGTCTTGAATCTGATCTGTCAGTGTGATTTGGTTCTTGTCCGTACAAGTTCACCAAAAGCCATTCTCGTGTGCTGTCACCAGAGCTGCCCTTGGTCTTTTCCACAGGGTCTACATGGTCTCTGCAAAGAGGGCCCCCGTGGTGGTCTTCTCGGCACTGTCGTACAACAGAAGAAGCCTCCGAAGCTCTGCTAGGCACGTGGAAAATATCAGCACAAGAATCGTCTTAACCTATCTCTCAATTGTCCCAATGCTCTTTGTCTCGAGATTATCGGCTGTCTATATAATATTTAATTTTTACAATATTTGCCAAACTTTTTTCTTTTACACGCATTAAGATTTAGGAGTTTAACTTTCTTTTCTCGTAATGACCGTTCATTTTTTTTTATGGATAACTTCTGTTTATTTGCTGTTGTCCAGAATGTCCAAAATAGGGATTGCACATAGAGTACCGTACGGGCTGGAACTTCGAGGCTCGGCCCGCAGGCCGGGCCGGGCTCGGGTTTTCGGGCTGGCTCAGGCTTGTGCAGTGCTCTAATTGCACATTGTGGAACATGATAGCATACCTTACACACTAGAAACCTTTGCAATCCTGCCATATGGTAGGTTTATGATGTGGGACTGCTGGTCAACAAAAACATTGATGTGGGCTTGGTATAATCAGCAAAACAGATTAGGATATTGGGGGGGGATGACTGGAAGGCACAAGTAGCATCTCAATATGTACAGTCTTCATGAGCATAAAAGACCCATTTGACGAGAGGGGTTCAGGCAGCCGTGCAGGATGCACTTTGGCTAGGCCCACATTGCTTGGGGTGAGAAAATAAACTCACAGCACCGCCATTTCAACTGCGTCGGTGATCGTGTCTCTCATGTTGTGGGAGTATATGCGAGCATGCACAGTTCTTTGGAAGTGCATTGCTTTTGTTGAGTGACACAAGAGAGTAAGGGCTTTTTTGCATTGAGTTGTGTCTAGACTTGATCATTTTTGCTGCAGGCCCGAGACAAAAACTGAAGCGTCGAAACGGAGACACGCTTCCGGAAATCGCCAGTTGTTGGCCATCAACGACAATGGCGACGCCATGGATATGCTCTCTCTCCTCGGCATCCGACGTCCTGAAGAAGGACAGGTAGCTATCTTGTTTATTACTTGCCTGGTATTTACGGGGCCAGCTCTTAACTACTTGAGGAACCAAGCCTAGGATGGAGCCTCGATAGAGCATGCAATCGACGACCGCTTTGGAGCGGGGACTTTCTCCAGCATCTGCTCCGACGACAGCAAAACGAACTACTCTTGAAAGTGCTTGCTTATGGGTTTTGTGTACCGCCAAAGCGGCGCAGGAGTGACAACAATGGGCGCAGCGGGGCAGAGAGGGAGGATCAAGGGACGCAGCCGCAAAACGAGAGCGCCAGGCCCAGCAGCAACAGGAAGCCATTTTTTTTTACAAAGCGCCAAGCTGGCAGTTCAAGCACCAGTTCACGACCAATCTTTTCGGTGCGGTGTGTAATGTGTGTGACTGATTGGATTCAGGTGGACCTGAGCAAAGACATTCTAGATGGTGCACATTTAACTCTTTCCTGACCACGGGAAAAGTAGCAATTTTCAAAGGATCCTTGCGAACGCTTTTATTTTCCCTACTAATTTGTGTATGGGCCAATATGACGCATCAAAATGTGGATAATTAGTTGTCTTTTTCAAAAGAAACAGGGGCTGGTACAATGTGGGAAAAAGATTGTACAATTTTATTTCTTGAAAATACAATGTATGTGCGGAACTTGTGTACAGTGTATAACACATGTGTAAGACGTATGTGTACAATGTACAACACATACAATGTATGTGTGGAACGCCAAAACTTCTACAGCTGTGTCAAGTTAAAGTACAAATAAATGAGAATTTTGAATATACAAAATGTGCCACACACTTACAACTATTACTTCTGAAAGTTGGTGTACTCTAACTGACGTTGTCTATTTTAGGTTTGTAGGAGAGTTAGCCTCCATAACATGTGAGCTTTTCAAGGAAGGAATGCTTCTATTGGTGAAACACAGATAGTACATTTCACATCCCCAGCAGAATGCTTTCTTTGTGTTCTACCTTAGTTTTGTCATAGCCTCGATTGCAGTTCCATCATATTAAGCATTTTTGTCTGCCTTGTGGGGAACATAAAACGTGCATGCCGGCTCAGGGCAGCATTGATAATTATAGTGATGCTTACCGACAACCGTCTTTTTGAGCGACGTCTATAACATAATTTAAAATGTCCCCATAGTTCTCGAGGTCTAAAAAATATGCCACAGTACAGTTGAATTATGTAAATAATGCCATATTTGTGACAAAGACTGAAGCAAGCAGTTAGCCATGTTAGGCAAGTTCAACCATCGTTCCCAGGACTATTTTTGACAGCCCACCAGCTTGCGATAAAGCTCAAACCTGTGTTGAAACCAAAACTACAGTTCTTTGGCTATCCACGAGATTGTGTAACAAAACTCTCCGCACTAAACTTAATTTCTTGACGCAATTTGGAAACCATAGATCATTGGTTATCGACGGCCTATGGGCGTGGTCAGGAAAGAGTTAAAGCTTATTTGGGAAATGCCAAAGAAACAGCCAATTTCGTTTTCTCCCGCTCTTCGTGGTTTTTACGAGCAGCTGACCGACCCTTGCTGCGGTGTGCAAACGGCAAAAAAGGATGGGCATAAAAACATGATTGCAGCCAAGTAAGAAGATGGTGCAAGCTGCAAGAATAATAAAGCAACAGCAGCGAAATTTTAATCTTTTAATTATGCCTATATGTCTACATCACAGACATGGGCAATGTTTTTAACGCAATATTTTCAGTATTATGCTTCTATTTCAGCAGCGTCATATTGAAATAGATGCGTGTTTTGGAATCGCTCCTAAGTTAAAGTGTGTCTCACTGGGAGTACTACCTTGCCCGGAGAAAACAAAGGTTGCACGTCGGTCTTCAATGTTAAGGTACAAACTTGTACCGAGCGATCGTGCCAACGGTTACGTTCTGCGTACACGGTTGCGGTGACAGTGTCCTTCATGCCTCGCAGTACCTGTCATTCGGGCAGTACCTGGTGTCCTCCCGTCAACCTCACGGCTCCGGCGCACCCCTCCGCTGGTCCAAGTCTCACGAACCGGAGCTGCCCGTGCACAGCCACGTGGGGCGCTGCGTCTCTTACGATGCCAGCCAAGCGACCACACCGCCCAGTGCCAACAGCCTGGACAAGAGTGAGTTGTCAATGTCGTTTGCAGCGTTTGTTTCGCTTCGAGCAGTGAAAAAAAGTGAATGTCGTTTCAGCAAGGTGCGTTTCTCCGCAGCGCTGCCATGCGCTGCAGAGAAGTTTGCCCGAGCGCTGTAAGGAAGCACAACTGAGCATTGCAGAGAAGCCCCGGTGACGTGCCTGAAAAAAGATTTATAAGTCGATTCGGCGTTTTGGTGAACACCGGTAAACCCCCGATAATTAACCCCCTATTCGGTTTTATCCAAATAGGGAGAAATTGAAAAACCCCAAAATTGAAGTTGCCTTGAAAAATTTAAACCCAAGCTTCGTTGGAAAAAAAAAAAAATCTTTAACCGCGGCTCTCTTTTGTGTTGGCTCAGACACAACCTGCTCTGAATTGTCTGCAAGGCCGCTTCTTTCTTCAGAACCACACGCCTTATCTCTTTTCCTTCTTTTATCGGTACTGGGACATTTCCAAATTATTCGGGTCACCACGCCCATGTTTCATGGATGTTGGGGAATCCCATGTGCTTATGCTTGTGCCATATTTTCTTCAACGTAAGCCCGATAAATCCTGATTTCTCGCCGACACCAAAGGTTGACACAAATAAAGCCTAAATCTGGAAAGGAAAAAAGAAAAACTGAAAAATTTTAAATTATTTTGGATTCAAAGAAACAAAAACCGAGAAAACATGGAACCTTATTTATAAGCGTTACAGGCATGCAGCTCTTTCGAAATCAAATTTATACCGAAGGTTCTTTGGTGTACTATTGTCTCTTGGGGGTTCTACTTCTGCATTAGTTCACCTTTTCTGGTGCTCTGTTGCCTTTCTTATTGCCTAGTAAAGACACTAGATCAGAGATCTCCATTGGAGCTGACTACCCTTTCACTGTTTAAGCATGTACATTGTAATTATGATTCTCCCACCAGCCACCTGAGAAATTTTTTGAGCAGCTGACACGAGAATCCTCGATTTTCCGGTTCCGAGGGTTCCACATTGCGAGAGGGTGTAGATCAAAAGGGCCTCGGACAAAATGTTCCCAAGTGTCTTAACACACCGCAGTTCGGAGGAGTGAAAGCTTGCGCTACAAAACATAGGAATCCAACCCTCGTTCCTGCCTGTTTCGATATGAATGAGCGTCGTACTGGCGTGAGGTCATGTATCACTTCTGCTTGATGCATGCTAAAGACCCAGGCTAGTAGTGATATACTGCGCTAGCTCAATTTCTCATGTAGAGCAGAGAAACCAGACGCCCATTGCGGTCGACTAACTTCCTGCTGTCCAAACATACACACGACACCGTTACTTTTAACACTGCGCTTGCAATCTTTTGACGTCACTCGAGGGAATATGGGAGGGGGCTGAGTCTATGCTTTTTGGTTGCAGGCTTCGAGTGGAGCAAGGATGACACAATTCTACCCCACTGCTGCGTGATTCCTGTCCTGTACACGCCGGACTTGCTGGACAACCCGGAGCTGATAGCGGGCAAACACAGCACCCTGCTCACCTTTCCCTCTTACATCGTGAGTGGCCTACCTTCCCTGACTGCTCAGTATTATTTGTGGGAGCTCCCCGGTGTAGCCATAGTGGATCCCCAAAGTACCCTTAGGTGTTCCCAGAGTATTCCTAGGTGTCTCCTGGTGTGCCCTCTTAAATTACCAGGAATACCTTCAGGAGTTCCCCAAAGTTATCCCGAGGTGTTCCCGGAGTATGGGTACCCCCAATGTGCTTAGGGGACCCCAGAGTACTCCCACACTTTTTTTCACTGTAACTTGGCAAACGGAGAAGGCTACAGTCCCTGTGAGCCAATCAATACGTCAGAGGAAAACAGATGACTATAGACCTTTCCAGCAGCAATCTCGAACAAAGCGATATACAGCGCACGTCCCCGATGGATGAATGGATGCTAGCAGCTGTACCCTTTATAACGGGCGGTAGCTTGCGCCACCTAGCCTAGAAATGAACAACCAAAAGTATGATCTCTTTGCTTTGCCAGTTCGCTTACCCTCTGCAATTTCGTAACTATCACCAGGTGGTGTGGGATATCACCAGGATGACCTTTGGGGTATTGGGCAAAAAACCTAAAAACATCACCCCCCACCTTTTCCCTCCGGCGAGGGTGTCACCAATTTTCCTCTGGTGAAATCTTGTTGCCGTTACTCCAGTACCGGGCCCACTGGGAGACAGGGTGGAGACTTTAGGCCGAAGCCACGCGGGAGGGAGTCCCAATTTTCCTCTGCCCCGCCTCTCCCCAGCTGTATCAGTCAGTTGTACATCTTTCAATTCTCCCTAGATAATATCCACCAGTCATCAATGCCCTCTTTGTTATTAAAATTCACTTATCATCCATTCTTTCATTCTCGTGTGCGAACCCCAGTGCTCCGACTAATCTGTAGCCCCCACCGAGAGGGCGGGAGCAAGCCCCATACAGTGTACACCTCAACACCACATGTTCTATTGTCTCGTCGTCCCCTTGTCATACGGCACAGGGCATATCTATTTCCTCATGCTTCGTCCTATATGTCCTAGTCCTCAATACTCCCGTTCGTTCTAGCCTCGAATAACAACGAGCTCCCCCGTGGGTTTGAGAGTGTACGTGAGTGTTGCCTGATTGCACTGGGCTGTGGGTTTCCTTGTCAGTAGGCTGTAGTAGCCCGTGTAGGTGCAATTCCGGACGCTGGTGGCGGCTAAATTGCTGTGTTTTATTGTTTCTTTTGTGTTTTATGGCGAATAGAATTTCTCAGGGCTTTTAAGAAAGCATTGTACTATTTTTGGGAACAAAAACAAACACATTAAAGCTATTTTTGGTGAATCCATGCACACAGAACAAAAACAAATGCAACTGGAATGTTTCCTCATTTTGTGCAGATTTATCACGACGTCATACACTCAGCCGTGTCAATGTACAAATGTTTTAACTATCGAAAATACATGATTCCACAAGATAGCCAAAAGGCACGGGTACTCACCGCTTTTAACATAAAATTGAACAGCTCTCATCAATCGAACAACATATTGCACATACCTCACGGCGGGCAGTCCTCGGTTTCCCACCAGCTGCATTGAATTTGACCAAGGAAAATAGTTAATTACGTGGGGATTTCGAACATTACTGTTATAGCACTTTTTAGGCGCGTTGTGCATTATAGTTTGACAAAAACGTCAAACCTTTGGGTGTAAGAGACATAATACAGCAATTATTGTTTGAATACACCATCCGACCGCACTCCCTGGTGCCTGCACCAAGGCGCAGAAAGAGAGGTTCATCACAATCTTTGATTAGAATGATTTTTATTACGAAAATCGGCCACCCACAAGTGCAATTTGAGGTTTTCTCTTAGGATGCCTGGAGCCTGTAGATTGAGTTATCACCATAAATAGACAGTTTCAGAGTCCACTTGAGTGCCCCTTTAATAATCAGATGATAAAAGCTTTGTCTTAGAGTGCAGCTCTTAGGCGCTCGTTTCCGGTGTCAGCGTCGGCGTAACCGCACGTTACATTATGGGACATTTCCCATAATGGCGTCACATGTGACATCACAAGGGTCTTGAGTGACAAAGAGAAGGAGGAGAAAATTTTTTCAGCTAAATTTAGCAAAAAAATTTCCCACTAGATTTAGCAGAAAGATTTCCCACTAAATTTAACGGAAAGATTTCCCCACTAAATTTAGCACAAAAAATTCCCCACTAAACTTAGCGGACCCCACTAAATTTAGCGGAAAACGTAAAAATTTCCTCACTAATTTTAGTGGGGAATTTTTTACGCTGAATTTAGCAGGAAATGTAGCGAAAATTTCCCGCTAAATGGGAGGGGAGGAGGGGAGGGACATACCCTCCCCTCCTCCTCCCCAAGAGCTGCGCTCTAATTCGGAATTACAGGGAGTTATAAACGCCTTTCATTTTATATCTGAATTAATAATTCCAGTTTTATTACAACCTTTACGACTTCAATGAAACATCAACTTGGGTGCGCAATATTATTCTGTCCTAACATGATTTCCGTGGAATACTATTTGGTTTACCTTCGGCTCTGTGGCCAAAATAACCATTCGGAGCCGTTCATACTGTTCTTCCTCATTCGGCATATGTTGTTGTGCTTGGTACTTTTACACGCAACAGCAAGTCCTGTGTTTGAGGGAATCAAAGCTGCCGTGTAGTTGATGAGAACAAGACGTCACGCAGAAGTGGGAAGGCAAAGTAGACAACATCTCTTGTTAGACAGGCCCAAACGCGTCACTCCTAACCGGGGCTTTCTGGGGGGTCTTGGGGGATCTCAGACCCCCCACTTATTCTGACAGATAGTCTGAGACCTTCCTCCACAGACCCGGCATTAGTGAAATCAAAATCGTATCTTGCAATAAAATAGTAGCTTGTTTTCAGGGATGTGACATTTGGGGATTAGCAATTTGAGGGTTGCAAGTAGAGTGTGAGCAAAGTCAGCAGTGGGGTTTATTTCATGTGCATCTAGTACATCTTGCAAACTCCCCCCCCCCCCCCCTCACACCTTCTTGTAGGGACCCCCCTCAACTTGGCACTGCTCCTAACGTACAATATTTGTGGTGGTGGGAATAAAAATTAACTGTAAATTTATGCTCCAAAGTTTCATTTGCTGGTCCAAAATTGACTTTTAGCTTCTCCGAAAGATGCTCCAAAATAACTCGGACCAATCAGATCACTGGGATTGGCAAGGAAATACCAAACTATAAAGCAGCAATGTCTCTCGTGCAACTTCATAATTTTATGGGGCACTCTAATTACTTACCTGCTGACATTATCTGTCTGATCTGCTGGAATCATTCTGGTGTTTAGCAGTAACTTTATAATGTCACTGTGATTGTACTTCGTTTCTTCTTTTCCAGACGTCGGTCATTGACTACGTGAAGCCGTCGGACCTCAAGAAAGAACTGAATGACAAGTTTCGTGAAAAGTTTCCCTTCATCAAGCTGACGCTGAGCAAACTCCGAAGGTATTCACGGTTGCCTCTCTTCAAGCTTTGTTAAGGCCCATTCACACACTTGCGACTCTTTAAAACAGAGCAACTTAAAACCCGTCTCTTACGATGGGAGAACGCACTGACACGCTGGCGCCATCTATGCAGTGACCCTGGAACTGCATTTCACTAGAGCGAAGGTTTGGCGGTATTTGCGAGGTCACGTGTTTGTACTACTTATGAGAAATACTCATTTCTAACATTGACGAAAGTTTTTCAGGCCAAGCAAAAAAGAGTGATGCGCGAAAGACTGAAAATATACGGGACCGCCCAGTGTTCCACTGCTACCCGATAGGTGGTGCCAGTGTGTCCTCTCATCGTTAGAGATTTTAAGAGGTTTTAAGGCACTCGGTTTTAAGAGGTGTGTGAATGGACCTGTAATCCTTTAAGCAACTTGGACGAGCTGAGCTCGTCGGCCACTTTCTGGCTGAAAATGCCATGGACGAGCTCAGCTCGTGCAGTGGTTTTTTTGGTAGCCCTCAATTCCACGAACGAGCTAGGCTCGTTTGAGTAGTTTTTGTGGCGCTGACCATAGACGGCAACACTCGTTTTAGTTGGCAAATATTTTTTTTGCCTCCGCTGATTTTTGCGTAATAAATTTTTCAGATTTTATGTGTTATACTAGAAGAATAAAACTTCCAAATAAAAAAAAATATGGAATTTTTATATTACTTTAGAAAAACAAAAGTGGCACTTAAGGGAGGACGCAAGTCTTGAAAAGCAAAAAATCGCGAAAAAATCACTTTTTCAAAAATTGAATATTTGGATTGTTCATGCCTTTCTCCATCTCTGCTGTACGTATTGAATCCCAAAACGCCAAATAAATACCTATAATAACGCATTTTCGATGCTTCCGCGGTCGCGAAATGCTGATCGATCAACCTAATCGAGTTCAGATTCGCGCGTGCCTAGTTTCCGAACCGTTTACCGGACGGCAGCCATCTTGGTCTTGTTTTGTTCGTGAATTCTTGCTCTCTCTTTCGCAACCTTTCAAACTGGCGTCACGCTCGAGGCAGCGCCGTTTCGTGAGGTTTCCCGCCAAAGGAGCGCGGCGCCGTGATTGGCCGATGCGCGCGTTCGGAAAATCGGGCTGTACTATTGGCGCCGAGAGGCTCCGGACAGTTCCGAGCAAGTTCCTCCTCTCCCGCTTGCTCGTTCTCTTTCTCCGCGCTCGGTCTCTCCGGCGTTCCCCTTGTTCGCTCCGCTTTTTGTCGTCTGCTATCCGCAAGTTTCCTCCATTGCTCTCGTCGCCTTTGTTTACATTTTTCGATCGCGTCGCATATTTTTCACGCTTCTTTTTCTGTGATGTGGAGGAGCAAGTATAACAGCAAGACTCGATATGCATATGGAGCGTGTAAGCGCCGGATGAAGCAAGTCAGAGCGGCGAAATCGAGGCTCGACCCGACGATCGCCGCGAGGAGTGAGCCCGAGATCACCGCGCCTGCGTGTTCATCGACTGCCGCCGCCGAAGAAAACATCGTTTTTTGTGCGTCTCAAACCACGATAGAGAACACGACTGTTCATCTAGAGACGCAGTACGTGTCACCGGAACATCGCAATGCCGTCCGTGCGAAGCTTGCTTCTGTTTCCGCGACGCAAAGGAAGTTTGAGCTGCTTCAGCAAGCCCCCGCTATCGCGACAAGCTCATCGGCGAAGTTCACGATTGTGCAGCTTGACGCTATAAATGAGCTTCTTAGCTATACAGTCTGCCAAAGCTGTTCGGCGACGGGCGTAAGAATTCGGGAATCGACCGCTCTGGGACTTGCCGTCAAGCTTGAACTTGTGTGCCCCGTCTGCGAAGTCGTGACTCACACGTGGTCATCCCCGCGCAAGGTCGACTCCAACGCATTTGATGTGAATTTGAGAGTGATTTCGGCAATCAGAAGCATTGGCAAGGGTCAGACTGCCCTGAATGATTTCTGGGCAGTAATGAATGTATCACATAGAGGGCTCCACCACAAGACCTACCAAGATCACTTGAAAAACATTGTTAGTAAGGCGGCTGCAGCTACTGCTGAGAAGATCTACACTGAGTCAGCCACTGCTGTGAAAAGCACATACAGGGAAATGAACCCCAACTTCACCAAGGATGTTGCTGTCGTCTACGACGGCACATGGCTCAAGAGAGGCTACAGCTCCCATGTTGGTGTCGGGAGCGTGATCAAGTATGACACTGGCCTCATCCTAGATGCTGAGGTTCTCTCCGATCTGTGTCACGGCTGCCAGACTGGACCCAAGCCGGGAGAGGAGGGGTACTCTGAGTGGCATCAGAACCACGAGTGTCAGAAAAACACCGACGCAAACTCAGGAAGAATGGAGGTTGATGCGGCACTCGCCATTTTTGGGCGCTCTCTGGAGAAACATGACTTGCGCTACACAACACTAATATCCGACAGGGACAGCAGAACTTTCTGTGCTCTAGTTGAAGACAAGACCTACGGGTTTCTCCCCATAAAGAAAGAGGAGTGCCTCAACCATGTACAAAAACGTATGCGGACTGCTCTGCGGAAGCTCTTGCAGAACAGCAACAAGCCTCTTGGAGGAAAGGGCCGCCTCATAAAGGTGCTCATTGAGAGGCTGACTGGGTATTACGGATGGGCCATCAGAAGCCATAGTAACGATGTGGAAGCCATGAAGCGAGCCGTGATGGCCACATATTACCATGTGACTTCGACGGATGAAGATCCAAAGCACGACCTTTGTCCAGGAGGACCGGAGTCCTGGTGCCGGAACAAGGTCGCCGAGGCAAAGGGGCAGCCACAACCCAAACACAAGTACAGCCTCCCCAACTACGTTGCTGAAGCCATGTTGCCTGTGTATGAGCGTCTGTCGCAGACATCGCTTCTTGAACGCTGCTTGGGAGCCAAGACGCAAAATGCTGCAGAGAGTTTCCACTCCGTATTGTGGGCCTTGATGCCGAAGGAGCAGCACGCCTCACTGGTGTCGGTACAGACTGCGCTGCATGAGGCAGTCGTCAGGTTTAATGCTGGGTGCGCTAAAGCACACCTAGAGATGTCCAGTGCCATAAACCTGCAGCCTGCACACCTGGCTCTCCGGCGGGCTTCGGAGAAGGACTCCCTCCGCTTACACAAGGCCACCAAACGCCACAGTGCAAAAACCGAAGCACGCCAGAAGAGGTCGTTGCAACGCAGCACACAAGACTATGCTGCGGGTTCCTTCTGACACTATTGCCGTGCCTCAAACTTTCAGACTCTTTTTCTCAGGAACGCATTTTCTTGAGCCGTGACTGTTTCTGCCATTGATATTTTCTTAACCAGTGGCTCGATTTGTATGCAGTCTTTTTTATTTTGGTGCCAGAGAGTGCTAGAAGGGCATGACAATCTCAGTTTCTGCGATAAAGTGTAAAATTTTTTTTAAAGTTATAAAATGTCTTTGTACTTATTTGCGAATTTGGTAACATGAACATTCAAACTTTCACTAAAGCCGTTCCAGAAGGAAATTTATAAAAAGGGCTCTGTCTCCCCCTTTGGTATATATTCAAGCACTTGTCCAGTGAATTTCATTTTGCTACTGTGCTCCAAAAATATCTCGGGATTGGCAAAACAAAAAAACATAGAAACTCGTGTTTCTCGAAATCCAACAGGCATAATTGAGTGAAACATTGCAGTGGTTATTAGGGCCCCTGTACCAACCTAGTCTGCAAGTTTCGTGCCAATAACTTTAAAAACAAAAAAGTTTTTTTTCTTCCCCACATCCTCCCTTAAGAGGTTAAGCTATCATTGTCTTGCAACATATTTGTTACAAATCGGTAGTGGTGACGTGCTATGTTGTATAGCATTCCGTAATGTTCCATAATACCCTTTTCTTTCCCCCAGCCTAACATCTGAGCAACATTTTGCAGCATTTTCAAGTTTGCTAGGAACATGTGTGCTATATTTGTTCCTCACACATTTACGCATGTGTGTTTACTTTCAAAGGAATTGGTGACCATGCAGTGTTTAAGGGGAGCCTCTTTTAATTATTTTGTACACTTTATGCACTACTTTGGGAAGCTTGGAGGTACGATTAAAGAAAACAACATTACCATGGAATATTTTCCTTTTGCTTTACCAGACCTCCAAACACATTTAAACAGCTTTTATTTTTTTATTTTTTCCACACAGTTTGAAGAGAGAGATGTGCAAGATCGCTTGCGGGGAGGTATGTGCCTCTTGTTTTTCCCCTTTCCTGCTGCACTCCTTAAATGTGCAAGCGTGCATGTTCGAAGGACTGGAGTGTACAGCGGCCCGAAGGCCCTGAACCGTCTGTAATTCTCATTTGCGTTGCTCCACAGTGCGGAATCGACCTGCTGACAGTGTCCCAAGCCTACGTGTTTTTCGAGAAGTTGATACTGAAGGTAAACCTCGGCCAGGGTTGACTATACCTTTTGAGAAAATATACTGTCTACAAAGTAATACAGTCAAATCTCGTTAACTCATACTCGAGGGGGACCCAAAATTTGTTTGAATAAAGCAAAGTTTGAATTACCGGGAGTTTCCTCCCACAGGGACGCATAGGATGGCACCTGCGTGTTGGTTTGAATTATCCACAAGTCTGAATTAAGAGAGTTTGAATTAAGGAGATTTGACTGTATCTGGAAACACTAATTGTGCTGTTGGCCTGCCATATTTGTAATGTTACGGTGTGCCTCAGTACACAATCTATTTTTACACCAGCTATATTGTCTTCTTTTATCTGTACATTGCGCGACTGTTGACGCGAACACGGTGGGCACCGAATCTTACCGTTTAGGTTAATGCCTGGTACGAGTCCTTCCTACTGCACTAGCAGTTGTGACAACAGACGTTTGGTTAGGGTTATAAGAAGAGAAGGAAAATATTCGGTAATCACACGTTTGTACGCTAACAGTGTCGCACTGCACGCAAGTATTGCTGCATGCCACAATCGCAATCTTCGAGGCACCCACTCTAAAACAATCGTGCCGCTGAAAGCCGGCATTGACCTATTCGAATATTACTTTTTTTTTTTCTGCGATCCATAATCGAATGGAACAGCCTGCCGCAAGATGTGCTTGAATGTATATTTTCCTTGCGGGTTTCGAGGCCAAACTGAAAAAGTTGGCTTAACAAAGTATTATTTAAATAATTTCACAATGTTTGTTTGTTTGTTTTTGCTTCATTCGAAATGATCCGTGTTCGTATGCCGAGATTTTTTGTTCTTCATAATTCCTTGTAGATGTGTGTGTGCAAGGTGTGCATACTTGTCGAAAACTGATTGCCAACAGGCCAACAGTATCGATAAATAAATAAAATTATTAATAAAATAAAAATCAATAGGAGTATAATTCTTGGCAAATCTAGAAGAAATGTATATTTCAATTGACAGATTCCATAATCGCTTGGAATTTGTCAATCCAGGCATCCAGACGAATTCGTAAGCAGCCCCAGTTGTTGTAACTGGGGCTGCTTGTGCAGTTTACGAATTCGTCTGGACGCCTGGATCGACAAATTTCAAGCGAGTATAGAATCTGTCAAATTGAAATATACGTTCCTTCTAGATTTGCCAAGAATTGTACTCCTATTTCAAAAAACCTGAGACTGGCGAAACCCAAAAAATGGGACAAAATCATACGTTTGAAAGAAACAAAAGAGCGAAGAGGACAGGACAAGACGGCTTTCCTGCTCGCAGTGAAAACGTTTTAAATTTAGATTTTTTTGCTACCTGCAAACAGCATGCTCCCAATTTTTGAGGGATAAAACGTATGTATACATATGTTGCAAACAGCATGCTCCCAATTTTTGAGGGATAAAACGTATGTATATATATGTGGGTTGCACGTGATGTCATTGCACTACGCTGGTGGTCATTCCCATTTTTTCTCGTAGAGAAGAACAAATTCGGTGGCGCAAAATATGTGTTGCAAAAGGTGTGTCCTCAACAGCAAGGCCACCACAATAGCAGCTGATGTGGCGTCAGTGCAAGCCACGTATACAAGTTTGCTACCTGTGTGTGCGTTTTTTTTTTTTCCTTTCCTCTTTTCTACTTTTTGTTGATTTTGGTTTTCTTACTGTCCCCAACACCGTCTCAACCCTCTGTTAGCTCGAGCTTCTGCATTGTAACGTATAACAGCACAAATAAAATTAATAGAACTTTGTTCGCTGCGGTAATTATTGTAACCATCAAGTGTTATGGAGCTTCATGTTTTTTTATAAACTAGTACACATGCTACCGAGCTCAAGTACTACATTGATGAAATGTGTGATAAAATTTTAATTAACTGCGATGATTTTTTTTCAGCTGCTGATTAACAAGCAGAACCGTAAGCTTTGTGCTGGGGCTTGCCTGATGCTCTCTGCAAAACTCAATGACGTCAAGGGCAATGACATTATGACACTCATAGAGGTAAGTAAATACCTTTTTATTACACGTAGCATACTTAAGCGAGACCTGAATGCAGTTGAACTGATGCACTCCCATGTAAGGTTGTACCTACCATTTCATCCTTAGCCAAGGATGAATTAATACTGTATCTCAGTACAGTGGCCCTGTTTGAAATAGAATACTGATTCTCATACTGACAAATACTGCCCCTCCGTTAGGTGCCGATTTCAGTGCAAAACAGACATAAGCATTCAGTGCTGTGCATACGATAGTTAATTCAAAATTAGCCAGTGTTGCCAAAAGCTTGAAACTACCGTAAAATACCGCGGAAGCGCTCATTTCGTTCAAGTGCCAACTGTTCACATTCCTCAAACTTGGGAATTGTGCAAATTATACGTTAAGCGCCCATGTCTAGACTAACCCATTTTTCAGTGACAGTGGGGTGGGTACTGCCCCGGTATTTTTTGGTAGATATTTTTTGCATTATGTGCTGCCTTATTAAGCTGTGCATAAACAGCCAGCTGTGTAAATGTAAAATTTTTTTCCTTCAAGTGATGCATATCAAAGAATCAACGCTAGCTTCCTTTCGGTCTGAATTAACTCTTGCACACTATGGAAGCCTCTTACTGCATATTGTCACAAAGTACATCAAACGAGAATCCTTGTAATACAGTGTAGACCGCATATAACGTATGTCGCGGGAGTCGTGAAAATCTGCACTATAAGCGGTACCGCGTTTTAACCAAAACATCAATTTTTCAGGCCAAAATATATGCCATGAGACAACTTACCTTTGTAAAAGAATTTATTTTATGTTAGATGAAAAATAAAGCTTAGTTTGAGGAACGTCTTTATTTCACCAGACTAGTACACTTCTCTCTCAAGTGTGTCACACATTTTGAAAGAAATTAGTGATTTTTGCCTGGCGCAGCCTTTTAACGGCGTCGCGGGTTGCGAACGGACGTTGCGAGCGTTCAGGATTGCTAACCCTAATCACTTTTCTCTGGCGATAAAAGTGCGTGAAAATTCGCATCCTTTATACGGTACGCGCCAGTAATACCTTCAACTTGAGCACAGGCATGAAATGCTCCAAATAAGAAATCAGGGCGATGTTCGAAAACACAAGTCGAAGTAAACAAACACGACGACACGGGCGTTTCTGCCGTCTTGAGAGTGCCGCCACGACATCGCCGCACGAGTAGGTGGATCTTCCCTTCTAGTACGTGCTGGGTTATCATAGCGACACACAATGAAAATTCACCAGTCAAGGATAGCGCTTTTATGCAGAACGATGAGCTTCCACCACGCCGTCCACGTTGACAATTACAACCGACGCCATGTTTGCGGATAGAGGAAGCCAGCATGCGACCGGCATGCAACGCGCGCGAACAGTTCTCCTCGACCTGCAATTGGTCTGTTGTTGCAGTTGTTTCCAACGCAGCGGTGGGACGCACGCACGTGAACGACACGTGCGTGCGTCCCTCCGTCGCTATGGCAACTGAAGCCTCTCTCTTCGCTTCTCCCCGCTTCTTCGAGCAACCTCCTCGCCCCACGTCTTGCCCCGGGAGTGCCGCTTGCGACTAGCGTCGTTATCGAGTGTCGCACAGGGAAGCATGCTCGCTGCGTTGGTCAGTCGGCACGGTCGGCGGGCTGTTTCAGAAACTGCACTATAACCGGTATTTCCCTTCGCGCGCCTGCTTTTTAAGTGGTATGTAATTACATGGAGTTCTATGGGAGGCGAACCAGTGGTTTAAAAAAGCCGCGTTTTACTTGGTCCTGCACTATAAGCGGTTACGTTGTAAGTGGTCTATACACGTTTGCAAGTCCGGCTTCAGGGCGCTGCCATCTTGCCTGTCTGGGGTGCGCTTGGACCAGTCATAATCCGATTACGAAGCCTTGCTAAGGCGTCGTAATCGGCTTATGGCCGCTCCCGAGAGCGCACCCCACTGAGGAGGATGGCGGCGCCCTGAGACCGGACTTGCAAACGTGTATACTGTATCCGCAAAACAGAGGGCGACCTCTTCCACGGTCCTTTCTGTATTCTAAGAATGTGCAAATATTCTTGACTCCTAATAATTCACAAAGTGTGTTTGATTTACCTTTCTATTTGCAGCGCACTTTTACTGTACAAAGTAGCCGAGTTTTTCGAATATTCAAAAATTATGAATATTGCCTTTGGGATTCCCTTCGGGACCGCACCAGCTATCTCTAGTTGACTTAATTGCTTCCCCCACGCGCAAGCGTCAAGCTTCGCTACTTTACAATGATGCACTCAAAGAAATGGGCGATGCAGCGAAGAATTTTGGTTAGTTCAACAAACTTGGAGTTTGCTCACTATTGTAGGACAGCCTTCTTGACTAGGGTTATAGGTAGAGCCCTGCGCAGATAACAGTTTGAGTATCCGCGTCCGCAGACTTTGTATCCGCATCCGAACCGCATCCGCAAACTTTTTACATTATTGTATCCGTATACGCATCCGCATACTTTGTATCCGTATCCGAACCTCATCCGCAAAATGTGGAACCATGTCGATGTTCTTGCTAACCACCAGAGGTTACGATTACACTTAGACTAGCAAAATCAGGGGAAATCACGCCGACCGCGTTCTTTTTTGCCGCACGTGGGATCTGAAACTTTCACCTGTGGCCCCTTAACTCTCCCCTGAAGTCTAAATGCCTAAAGAAAAAGGTCATAAAAAAAAAAAAAAAAAAAAATGCGGAAAGAGACTGAGCGTATGCGGCCGCCTCGAGTCTCTTGGTGTTTCGTGTCAGCCAGCGGGCAGATGCGCCGCTAAGTCAGAGTCAAAGGCCTGATTGGATCGACTAATGTGTTGTTCGAGAAAGATTGCAACCTGCAGGCGCCCAAATATATATTTTAAAAGAAAGCTTTTTTTTTTTTTTTTTGCTTGGGGCGGCTACGGATGTTGCGCGCGGCAGCCGCTGGCATTGCTGGCGCCCTGGCGTCGTAACCGGACGAATATGAACTACCAGACTTTCTTGGCTAGAACTCTAAGCATACAAAAAAGGAACGGGCAATTTAAGGGCTGCCTATGTGCGTGCGCCGCTGATTCCGAAACTTTGCAAACTTTGGCGCCACACGGTCGCGCTCGTTGTCGAAGCACTTCTTTTGTTTTAGGGGCGAAGCTCCTGAGGGTCTAGCCTTGTCCGTCCGGCGTCCTTGCTCACATCGATTGCACTGCCTCCGGGATCGGCCCACTCTAAAAAAAAACACGTACGCCTGCACGGGGGTTTAAACTCAGGACCGCTTGCTTACGAGGCAGACGTCTTAACCACTATGCTACACTCCAACGTTGCATGTAGCCGCTCAACGTCTATACAGGAGAAGGCGCTGCGGTCAAATGCGTATATAATCGCGTTAAACTTTGCACGCATTGGCTCAACGTTTATAGACGAGAGGGCGCTGCGGTCAAATGCTCAACTGCGTATATAACCATGATCTATACCACACATTCTTTTTCTGACATGGACCGTTGACTTAAGCGGTGGAGATGCGTTCCACGGGTTCTAGCGGATCCAAGCTGATCCGCTAGAATCGCTGGCTCTGCATTTCACCGACCATAAAGCAGTAATAATGAAGTCGAAACGCAACTCAGCACTACCTATGAGCAATAAAAAAAAGATGAGCACCATCAGCACTACCTATGAACAATAAAATCAGTATCATCAGCACCACCATAGCTTCGCCCCAATCAACATCATTCACCACGTGGAGATGCGGCCTCATTTTTGGTATCATGACCACACCACTCTCTGCAAAGAGGGGGAGGTTTCTTCTACTTTCTTGTGACTTGTTCGTTTAAAGTTTTCTTTGCCCGAGAAAGTTTTCCGCTCTTTCCCTGTCAAAGAACTAGCTTTCTCGGGACGATTGATGCCCTGCATTCTTTGACTTTTTCTATAGATAGCATTTTTGACGAGATGAAATGCACTAACTGAAGTGATTTTCAGTAAGAATCAGATCTTTCTTAGGATTCCTATCGTTTCTTCGAAACACGTTTTGTGGAAATACGGTTTGTGGACAACTTTTCACTGACATACATTTCATGGACACACGGTTCGTCAACACTGTACGTTTTGTGGGCACAAGCCCACAAAACATGTTTTTATTAAACACAAGTATGTGAAATGTTTGTGATGAAAAAAAAAAAATGTTTCTCAGGTAGATTCGCACAAAACGAGAATCCAACTTGGATTTATCAAAGTATCTGGGCCCAGTTCACAGTAAATTTAAAATATTATAAAATATTTGATTCAATTAATGTCAGACATATGCTATTCACATGAGCACACTGACAAAATGTGTCAAACAGCACACAGTGGGTAGCATCACTTAAAAATATGACGGCATTTTCCTTGCAGAAGATTGAATGCGGCTTCCGCCTCAACCGGAAGGACCTGCTCGACTTCGAGTTCGGAGTGCTCGTTGCGCTCGAATTCTCCCTGCACCTTCCCACCTGGCAGATCTACCCCCACTACCAGCGACTCCTGTACGAGTCCTGAGACGCGCCCGAAGGCTGCGGCGGCTCCTTTCACACCCTGCTGCAGCTGCACTGGCGACTTCACCGGGTTGCGCCATTTCACGCCTCGCCCCTGTGACACGCTGCTGTGACACTTCTGTGATGCCTGTGGGCACCTCGGTGTTACGAAACGTTACCTGGGGATCAGGTTGGACCCTCGGCAAGAAGGTCGGTGAGATCGCCGATTGCCGTGATTGCCCGGCACCACGCTGCGATCTCGCTGACTTTGTCGCCGAGGATCCGACTTCGAGCCCGAGATAGCTCGCACGTTAGTCGTCTCTGCGAGGTGGCCAAGTGCAGTCAGTCGTGCGAGAGGCATTTGTCGGTGATAAAAGGCCGGCGAAAGAAGCGCGCTTTTGGGTCGCGGCGCAAGACGACGGCAGTCAGTAACTATGCGTCGTCGAACCGAGTGTCGTGTTTCTCATGCTGCTGCCCGCCTCGGGGAACGACGCGACTCTGTAGTTTAACGACGCATAGTCGTTTGTCGACTGTCGTCGTCACGCGTGCCCATATACGATTGACGTGCGGGCAACCCGGTGTAACGTTTCGCACAACCAGGGCGTCTGCATGCCTCACACTAGACGTGCTTTGCGCTTCCACTTCATAACCGTGGCACTTTGGAAAGGGAACAGTCTTTCGTGCCTCCGTCGAAGTTTCGACACAGATGCTTTGGTCCGACAACTGCGGCACCCTTGTGACCCTCGTGTGATGCGTCTCTGTGACACCTCATGCCAGATGCGCTTCCGTTTCATAACTGCTGCACTTAGGAAAGGAAAGCGCTTCCCACGCATCCCTCGAGGCTTTGACGCAGACGTTTTGGTTCGGCAACTACGACACCCTTGTGAGACACTCCTGTGACGCAGCTCCGCACGTCCTTCCTCCGGCTGCGCAGCTCGAGCGCTTCAACGAAAAAAGAGAGTGTGAACCGTGTCTGCGGCGAGGGCCTCGGGTCCTCGCAACTTTACGAACCTTTCTCAAAGTTGTGTATATGTTTTCGCTCGTTTATTTTTATGTATGGTGCCGTGATCGATGCCATTCTTTCTTTCCATCCGACCCTTCGTTTTCCGTGCGACACCGGAACACTGTGCTCGAAACGAACTGTGTCCAACGAGCACCCTTGCAACATACGCTAAAATCCTTTGCCTCTTAATGTAAAGCATTGTTTATTGGAGTGTACGGCATAATCTGCGGGCTTGGATCACTTCAAATCCCAGTGGCTGAAGCCTGTAGGCCCTACGGGGCTTCTGGCCTGATCCCTTTTTCATTCGCCGGAAAACCTTGGGATTGACAGCGATACGATTGGCTGTCTGTCTTTCTGTCGGTGGTTTTGGGCCGAGCAGCAACAGTGCCCAGTTCTTGGCCTGACTCTTTGCAGCGTGGGGTCTACAATCCCCACCCCATATAATGTGCTGCCCGTGTTCCACATAGAATGTGTGTTGGGCCACGCCCCATGCATGCTGACATCTGGGTGTCTCTCCCCCCCCCCCCCTTGTTTTTGTTGTGTATTTCATATTTGCCATGCGTCAAGGTCAAACTGCCAACAAATCCCCAAGCGTCTCAACAGGCTTGGGCATAATTCTTTTTGTAACAACAGGTTGTGTAGTGCAGCGTTTCTTTGTCGTGATCTGAGCCTGTTTTAGTGCCCTTTCGAGTCTTGGAAACTATGTTGCTATGTTTTGCCTCTATATGATGACGAATTTGTCTGTATAGTACTTTTAATTTTGACCTGGTAAGATGGACTGCATTGCACATGATCTGTACAAAGTCATACACACTCTTCATGGCTAAGTATGAACCACAATCCAGAAGTTGTGCTTTACTCGTAAGGTGTCTGTATGCTATCGATATAAATGAATCAGTACGTGCAAGGTATTAGCAAATGTAGAGGTAATGTAAAGCATGGGAGTGCAAGGATCTGTTGGTATTCCGGAAAGGTACTTAACATGCTTTCGATACTGGTAACAAATTGGTACCGGTATTATTATAGGGCTGTTGATATCATAAAGATAATGTTTGGGTACTAGTAAGCAATGGTAAGATCACTGGTTACAGGCAGTAATAAAGTTTTGGGTAACAGTGAGGTCTTGCTATACTATCATGCCAATTGTACCTAACTGGAAGCTAATTAGTATGTCAGTACCCCTTACACTTTGTTTGGTATGTTTTCATTGCCTGAGCAATAAAAACAAATACCAAACAGGGTAAAAAGAAATATATATAAAATTTGTTTTGTTCAAGATTTATTTTATTTTAATCAGAATTCGATTTAAATCATCCTAGCTGTAAAAATAGATTATATACTCTTAAACATAGCAAAAACGGTAAATAAAAATAATTTTGGGAATTCTGCGGGGAAGGTTTGATGTAAATCATCATAGTAAAGCCAGTGATTTTAATCACAATTTCAATCATCTTTATTTTTATTTTTCACCCTGGTGAAAAGTAAGGTATTAGTCCTCCATTTCCATCCCATTCAACAACTGACTTTTTCTCTTGTTTGTTTCCAGTTGTCTTTTATATTTCAGTTGAGACGATTTCACAAGTAAGTGGAATGACTCGATCGCTCATGTAAAGTTTTTAAGGACAACTTATTATGCTGAGCGAGGTCGCTCGGCTTCTTTTGGTGCTACTTTTATGAAGGGCGATGCAGCGGCGCGTTTCTAGAAAGTCTTGTGCTACTACTAGGGAAATATTGTGCTGCTCTCTCCCACTACCACCTGAAGCGTAGCGCAGTGACAGAAAAGGGCACGTATAGCCGACAGATTATTTATTGAGGAAAGCAGAGGTACAGACGTCTGTGATTTCTTTGGCTTTGAAGTGAAATGAAGCTCGCAACTGGAAAAGCGACATTCAAAGACCCGCAGTAAGGGAGATCACACTTCACTAACTTCTGTGCTATTACTCCAGCTCCTTAGTACTCGTTGAATGCCACGACCATATACCTCCAGGACCCGAAGCTCGTACAATGTAGAATGAACTCGGCATGCCACTTTGGCGTCGTCAACTTTGCCTCCGAAGACGCGCGACCATTAGTACTGCCTCGTGTTGTTGCCCTAGGAATTTCCGAGACACAGATGACCTCCTGAATTTCAATAGAACACTGAAAGGCTAGCGCAGCAGTTCTAAGCTTTTGGCCCTCACAGACCCCCCTCACAGACCCCCAGACCCACTTGGAGCCCGTTTGAAGACCCCCAATGCATTCTCTATCGGTTGTCTTAAAGGACGTTTTTTTTTTTCTGTACTTGGCTCAGATTGCCGTGAACGGTCTTGAGGACCCCCAGGGTCTGCGGACCGCAGCCCGAGAACCGCCGCGCTAGCGTGTCATATATGTGAAGCGTTGCCGTACTTTAATTCCAACTCAAGTCTCCCAGCTACGAATATGGCCCCCCCTTCGAGTTATTGCGTGCCTATGTAGTACTTCTTGCACGGCCATATATCGCAAATTTTCCATAGCGAACTGCGCAGGTCTCCACCACGGAACGTCGCTCCCAGTTTGACTTCTGAAATGTTAACCCTGTGGAAGTAACGCAAATGTAGTGCGTGACAAATGTTTCTATATTGTGAGATGCGACATTTGTGTAAAGTCGCGCAGCCGCATTTCTTCGAAGCAGGTCACGACGTTCCGTGGCAGTACTTAAAAAGGAGCACTACGGCGGAGGAAGGTTGTTTGGGCAGCGGCGTATTTATTCCCCACTGTAAATGCTACGGCACCAATTTACTCTCAGAACTAGAAATTCTCCGAGCTTACGAGGCTCCGTAGAACTCCGTGCCATCTCGCTTCGCACAGAGTCGCCATTACCGTTCGTGGTTTGTTTTATATCTTTAGTCTGTACCAGTGTCATTTTGTCGGAAAAAAACAGGCACATGACCGTTCGACTTTACCACCACATGTAGGATGCCCGCGGTGTGCAAGACGGCACAAACATTTCGTCGAGGGCAATCTGTTGCTTGCTCAAATTTGTAAAGCCTCTTGCGTGTGAAGTATCTGCTCTGATCTGGATCGTCAAATGACGCCACGTTTTATGCAGTTTGGTGTATACTCCACGTTTTCCTTAAAATCTATACTTTGTTTTATCAGATGTTCAAGCAGTCTAAGGCACGAACATGTACAATTACAAACCCACTAAAACGCAAGTCACTGGGCCTTCCCTTCCCTGTACGGTGCGCCCCAAACTTAATGCCGCCACGAAATGGTCCGGTCTCTTCACTTTTTGAGCTATTCCTGAACCTAGCGGTCAAACTAGTTGGTGATGATTTGCATCCCCGTTGAAATCCCAACCAGGGGAAGGTATTCCAGCAGCTGCAGCGACCAATACATTTTTGGGTAGCATGCAATCGATCAATATTTGCGTAACCGAGTGGCGGCGTTAAGTTTGAGGGGCACTGTACATGATTGGCTTAGCAATGATGGAACACATACAAAAACATGGGGAACACTACGACGTATTTTTGATGCCATTCGATCGGTGCCGTGCGCTTGCAAGTGTCAACTGCATCCATACCCAAAGTAAAACAAAGTTCGGTTGACTTCGGGACAGTGTCATGCGCTATATTCACATTAGCAGCTCCATTTCATAGCATAAAAGTTTTAGCGGCGCTAGGATTTGAATCTTTTTTAGCCATTTCGTTAGGTGGTTACTTCTCTCAGCATGCATTGTTTGTACAAATCCATTTTCGTTGCACGGACAACCAACGGGCCAAGTAGTTTTGGGGATCAACTTAATAAAAAGGTTGTAAGGCACCATGTACAGTTTCATAAACGAGTTAAAAAAAATGTTTTAGGCTTTTTTTTTTTTTGTTTGAAGATCAAGTTGAAATCTGCTAGTCCCACTAGTCTCGTCGGCCTGCGCCAGTTGCACGGAACTAATTTCGGCGACTTTTTCCCAGTGTCTACCGTAGAATAATGCACATGGAAGTTACGTCGCTCAGTGTCTGCGACCTTGGAAGTTCAAAGGGGTTGCGAAGGAGCATTTGCTTGTTTAGAGAAGAGGTGAAGCAGTGATAAAGTCAAAAGCACCTATTTTGTGAAAAAAAGATGTTCTATTGTTGGGGACTTAACCGCGGCATATATACAGCCCGCACCAAGCCTGTACGGTACTTTTTGTTTTTGTATTGCATCATTTAAATGCATGCCTTGTTACGAGCCTATATAAAGAATCTTGTAAACAAACCGTGGTGTGTTGTATAGTTCACTTTATTTGTAAACAACCCTGCTGTGGTTTATAAGAAGAAAAAAACCTACATACAAAAATGCATAGACAATGGAGATTCCATCTTGAGTATTGCACTACCGTAAAATACCGGAGAAGCACCCACCCCCCTTCCACTGAAAACTGGGTTAATCTAGCCATAAGTGTTTGTCCGGTCAAGTCGGGAACTTAATGTATAATTTGCAGAATTCACAAACTTGGGAAATGTTAAGAGTGAGTGCTTCCCCGGTAATTTACGGTAGCAGTATTTGGCAATCGGGAAGGCACATGTGGATCAACATAGCAAAAAATGTTTCAAAAATGGATTGTCATTTTTTACACATAAAATCATGTCGATAGTTTCACAACCTATATAAGGGGGGGTATGCAAATACCAAAACCTCTTAACAAGAGTAGAACATTTTCTGCATGCTAGTCGGTGACCGGATACGAGTTGAGACATTCTACAAGAAACAACCCACTATGTCACAAGCAGTGACATGGTGCTCAGAAGTTGCTAACACTGACGCCTCATCATTTTTAAGTCATTTAAACACTACATGCCCACCCCCTTTTGTATATGCAATTTGCATTTCCAACATACTATTTTCTTTGCGCGCCTCTAAAATTAACTTTTTGGTAAATGCCCCCAAACAAGTAAGCTGACAAAAATGCCCAAATATGTAGGAACAAAAAGGATCATCCTGCACAAGAATGCAAAGACAATGAAAACTTTGGCAGAGAAGCAGAAATTGAGAAAATATAAAGATCTCTAAGTCTTCCGACCGCTGTTCCATCTTAAACAACAGAGATAGTCCCTCAATACTTTCCAAAACACTGACATGCTTGTCCCATGGGCAAAGTGGCCAGCACATTTCGCAACCACATGGCGTTGAGACATTATAAGTGTATCCTGAAAGAGCTGCAAAAAGGAAAACAGACAAAAACCTTTCATACTCTGTGTTGGCACTTGTATTGCAAGCAAATTCAGAAATGCCAGGCAAGTATGAAATTACTTCAAGAGTATACATGGGTTGCATGTGACGTCATTCAAAGAGCGCTCTGATGACCACCAGAGACGACGGCAAGAAGGAGCTCGCTTCTTATCGGGACCCTCTTTTGTGCCTCCCGGATTTGCACAGGCGTCGCTATTCTCCTCCCAGAATATTATGGAAGATTAAACCGTCACTCAAAATTCTAACAAGAGCAGCTTACCTCTCCTACTCTTACATGGTGGTCAAAAATATGTGATGCGACGTCAGTGCAACCCATGTATTGTAACATCAATTATACTCTATAGGGCAAGCAGATAAGAGCTAATACTGGCCGTGCCCAGTGGTTTCTGATCTGACCATAACGTTAGTCTGAAATGTTACACAGCACCATGCCTCCTGCATAAGCCACAGTGACCGTCTAGTAAGTGGAAAGCAGGCTGCCAAGCAATTCTATCGAGCTACTGATCAGTAATGCTGAATTAATTATTTACCGAGTTACTTTTATTCATTGTCAGCTCCCAATGAACAAGAAAACTGTGGCTACATTATTAGGCTAAGCGGCCAACATTTACGTTTGTTACACTTGCACTTAAAGCAATTCAGAAGAGATGTACCACCATATTTGCCCAACCTCACAGTAATTTAGAGCTTACTCAAAACTAAAAACTACCTAAAAAAAAAGTGTTAGATGCTTTTTAGGCAGAAAGATGTTGGAAATGTTACACGTTGTGCAATAACACTCACTTCATGAAGTCTGGTGCTTTAGATATAGCATGCTCGAACTCCGCGTAAGCAAGAAGGCGATCTTCGTCCAAATCTGCTTCCTTCAAAATCTGGAGAAAAAAAATTACAATGCTTTTGAAGCAACTGCCCTAAAAAGAAAAACCCAATTCAATAAAAATAAATAATGAATGTTACCCACGTTTTCAATTAACTGCTTTATCTCGTGCTGCTGCAGCACTTGACCTCCTTTCTGCGTCAGTCGACTGATGATCTGCCGAAGATCTTCGGGTGACAACATGTCGTCTCCGTTGAAATCTGTGAGAACATACAAGACCATATCCTCAACACCATCTGACTATAGACAGTTGTTAACAATCATACAAACCACAAGCCTGCTAACACATTATTCGTGGTCAAATGACTTTCGTTACTTTGCTCGCATCCATGATATGGTACTCCTGTGAGCAGAACAGTAAGTGGTATCATTCTGATGCATCTATAAAATGGCGTGGGGCAAAACCCCATAAGCCATATCTTTTCTAAGAATGTTTTATTGAGGAACTGGCAGCCAGCAGAGCCTGCAAATACTGCGTATCCCACCCCAGAAAATTTACGGGGTTTGCTTGCGCCGCAAAAATAAACAATGCATCCCCAAACGATCCTTCTCTGCTGAAATTTAGCTCTAGCAACCGCCATTTTACCATTAAAAATTTCAGAAAATTGCTTGTCGGTCGCTCTGAAACTTTGGCATCTGGTTCGGGCCGCTAGCGCTACATTTGGGCGGAGAACATTTTTTTTTTTTTTTTTTTGGTGGGGGGGGGGGGGGGGGGGGCGGGGGGGGGGGGGGGGATGGGGGGATGGTGATTATGAAGAACTGGCCCCATTTCCTCACCGAAAATTGCCTGTAACTTTGAAATTGGACAACGGTAGGTTCCAAAAGTTTGTCGTCTGGTACCAATCGCTCTAACACTACTGGGCTTTCAGCAATGTATAGGTAGTTAGCTTTTGAGGTAAGAAAAAACACTTGTCTTTTCTCCCAAATACCTAGTACTTCAAAATCGCACTACACATTTCAACGAAGTGATCAGCACGTACCAAAGATTTGGAAGGCATACTCTGTTTTCACACTCCGCGGGGCCTTGTCGCTGAACACAGACATCATGTCGAGGAAGTCTTCAAAGGTCATGTTCCCATCGTTGCTCGAGGAGAACACCTTGCATATCCTGTCCCTAAATGGGTTCACCTCCAGTTCTGGCATGTTGAGGATCTTATCCATGGGCAATTTGGCATTTCGATCTTTGGCCACCAATTCAGGGGCCAGCATCTTGAATCTTTGGTGGGCGCTGCACAAAGGGCAATGGTGAGACCGTCGATCTACCCGTGCAATGTTCAATGAACTTCAGTTTCTGAATCTGTATTTGCGTAATCGTACAGATGCATTTAGGATACCATTAACTTCCTGTTCCTTTGTATAGCGATTTTATGTTGCGTGTAAATGAGAAAAAAGGAGCTAAAACGAGGTTCCCGAGATATGTTTGAAAAAGGTCGAGGTACACCTAAGCACTTCATATGAGTTGTGAATGCGAAAGCATCCCTTACAAAAATGATCTGCTGACATCACTTGGATATAAATGAAGTTGCAACAAACTATCAGGGTTGTTGTTCTTTTTTTTTTCTCTCTCTTCGATTATTTAATTATAAAAACAAACGCAATACTTTTTTTTTTCGTCTTCCGCCCGCGAAATGACTCGATCAAAGGATGAAACCGGTGGGAAGCTTTTTCAGTAATCCCGCCTTCAGCGCGAGAAATTACCTTTCGAGCGCGCACACGCAGCCAAAGAATTAAAGCACGCATCAGAAGGCAAAGAGCGCGTGCCGAGGGATGGACTGGCCTTCGTGACCCTTCCGTTTTCATACATCCTGTCACTCCGTCAGTGATTGATGAATCATTGTTACACAAAATCGAAGTCCAGATATCGCTTGCATCGCGAAAGAGCGAACACAAAAGTCAACACTCACAGAATGATCTCGCTTTTCGTGAAGTATGTCAGCTCCTAGAAATAGAACGAGATGGGTGGCGAGTTTAAAAAGTGACCGAAACGGCCAAGACAAGGTGCGAAATTACATGCCTGATAGTCTTCGAGCTCCTCTTCGGTAAACGCGCTGTGATGCTGCCCCATGACTCACACATACAACACGGAAGTCGGGCCGCTCACCAAGCGCGCGCAGAATGCCGTCGTAAAAAGTGCCTAAATTAAGAAGCACTGAAACTTGAAACTTCGCCAGGTCGCGACTCGCTGTCCAGTGACCCGTCGCTGGGAGCGTCTTCGTGGCCGTGACCAACGTTATGCCGTGACGGACGAGCGGTAGGGGCGGTAGGTCAAGAAACACCCGACGAAAAATTTTGTACTGTGGAAGTTTATGTTTGTGAAGACGCACCAGAGTTTTTTGTTATTTTTGGACAATAAAGTTTAGGGAGCGGCAAGTAATTACCTCATATTCGCGCGCAACAAACAACACAAAACGAAACTTTGTTTTCTTGTTTTGCACATCATTTTTTTAATGTTACGTATCAATTTTATATATAAAATAAAAATTAAAGACAATTTTACTTTATTCAGTGATTCCGGCAATTCCACACGTTAATCTGCAAAAAAGAAACCCCGCGACTTTGCCACTGCGCGAATCGGATATTCTGGGTCTGCCTAAGGCTGCCCATCGGCATCAACATCAACACATTTTCGGTCATTTTCTCTTCCGTTGTGTCGCGTCGCTGGCGTTGTCGCCTCCGTCCGCATCGAAGATCGCCCGTAACTTTCAGCGTTTTGCCCAGCTCCGGTTGGCATGCCAGCGCTCGTGGAACGACCCAAGATGAGCCTGGCCATGTGGGCCGCGCTCAAGAACCATATCATGCGGCAGCGCGAGAAGAAAAAGCAGGAGCAAGAAGCAGACGCGGCCACGGAGCGCGTCCGACGCGAGCAGGAGCAGAAACGACGACAGGACGCGATGACGCTGGAAGAGATCAAGGACCAAGTCCAGCAGTCGGAACAGCGACTCCATAACCTCAAGGAGGAGAAGCACCAGCTCTTCATGCAGCTCAAAAAGGTGTTGCACGAGGACGACACCCGGCGACGGGCCCTCATGAAAGAAGCCAACGAAATGGCCGCCCTAAACCACCAGCAGTACCTCCAACAAACCGCCGCCCTGTCACACGCCGCCGCAGCTGCCGCGGCGGCGTCGGCGCCCCAACACATCTACATCCAGGAAATGAACCGGGGCCACCCTATGTACAAACTGGCCCAGCCTATGCCCCAGTCTGCCGCCGTGCTTCAACGCGCGCAACTGAAGCGCCCGCTGAGCCCGTCTCCGCCGCCGCCTCAGCAACAGCAGCAGCAGCCCCCGCCGCCGAGCTTCCCGCAGCAGTACGCCTACAAGGCGCAAATGCCATCCTACGGCGGCCCCAAGTTGATCCCGGCGTACGCGGCCGCGGGTCATGGCCCCATCTACTACGCGCACGTCCCTGGACAGAGCAGTGTGCCAACAATGGCGCCCGCGGCCCCCGTGCCGTACCCTGCTTACCCGACGGCCCAGTTCCCACACCACCACCCCGACGCGGCGGCGGCGGCTGCGGCGGCGGCCGCCGCTGTCGTGAAACAGCAACAGCAGCACATTGTGGCGACGCACAGCTTTCACATGACCCCGCAGGGTGCGTACCCGGGGCCCGTGGTCGCTCAGCAGCTCGAGCACGGACTCCAGAAACCGAGGTTCCACGAGGAAAAGTTCTATGTGTCCCAGCCGTCCATGATCCCCATGCGGACAATGACGTCGTCTGCTCAGTCTGCCATGGCGATGGCGGCTCAGCAGCAGCAACAGCAGCAACAACAACAGTCGAAGGCTGCCTACCTGACGCCTCAGCAGCAGTTAGCTCAAAGACACCCCGGTTACCCCGGGCAGCCGACGAGATTTTACTAGTGTCGGATCAAGCCTCGGCCTCTAGTGGCTTCTAATCTGATTCTACCGGTGCTAGGTTGCGTCGCTTTTTGGCAGTGTTTAGAAAAGCACGTTATGTGGGAGGAAACTGAATTGTTTGGGCCAGATGTGCCTGCGGCATAACTACGGTTCCTGGAAGGCGTCTTCGGCTGGTGTTTTCAGCGCCCTATTCCGTACATACATTGAAGGTGGTCCGAAGCAGCAACAAATGACGTCACTGAAGCCGGCGTATCATGCCATTGGTTATCCCAATCCTGGCAGTTGGTCGTAGAAGTCCCAGTAAAAAAATGTCGCTGTCATCACGGCGCCCCAACTCTTGGCTGCTGAAGCTTTCGTGGACTGTCCAGCCGGAGAGCGACCCGCAGCAGAGCAGGCACCTGCCACGACTGCATTGACGGCACCGCGATCAGAGCCATCGACAATGTGACGCTTCTTTCGACGTCATCGGGTGGAAATCGAGGGATCACTTTTTGTGGCACGGTACACGTGCCAGACGGAGACGCGTTACAGGCACCATAGCTTAGTGTGGCGGTTGTTAAGACTGAAGCTTGGGCTTGTTGGTGAAACATGCTTTCAAACAGCTAGAACGGCGCACACGAAAGATGACCGCGCCAGTGCTGTCTGTGCATTCCTTTCTTTCGTGGTCACCTTTTATACGTGCCGTTCTCACCGCTTGACCATGCGACGGCCCAAACTTCGAGCATGTTGTTTGTGGGCGAGAAAGTATGTTGCCTATTTTGCTAGAAGGCTGCGCTTCCTCCAGTCGAGAGGGGATGACTTTACACTGGCCGGTCGGCACAAAGCAGGGATTCGCGCATTTTGAACTTTTCTTTCTGATTAAACTAAGGAATGGCGTAGTGTTTCCCCAAAATGGCTGCCCTTTGGGAAGTTGTCCGGAGTTGATGCCTATCTCGAGAGATCGGTGACTGCCGCTGTCGCTTTCTGTTACGAATGTTACTTCTCGGTCGTACCTAAAAGCTACTACTTATTACGTTCGCTCACGGCTTTAAGCGTACAAAACATTGAATAACCTTGTAGCTCTTATTAGAATTGGCATCCGTCTGGAGAGCTGTAACTAAAGGCTTCCTTGTTAGGCGCAGCTGCTAAAGCACTCGCATTTATCAAACTTGGAGCTACGGACCGTTGCTTTTTGTCGCTGCAGCTGTCAATGGGTGACTGGCACGTTGTCTGAAGACAGCAGTCACCTGTTGCACTGTAGTATTTTTCCGCACAATTTTTCCGGTCCCTTTATGCGCGCCGCAAACACGTTATTTTTGTAACATTCATTTTTTCTTGTTGCACGTGAAAGATCTATGGCATGTTTAGGAGAAACTTGGTGCCAGGAAGTTACGGTTTGGGATTCCGTGAGCCTTCTAGACCCGTCGGCAAGCCTATCTGACGGAGCCTACTTACTGTTGGCGGCCAAGCCCCTCTGCCTCCCTCGCCGCAATTCCTTTATTTTTTCTTTGGCTCAAGAAAAGGGAGGTTGTGGTGATGTAGGGACATTTACGGTAAACAAAGGCTCAATCTTTCGACATCTGTGATTTCATCTATTCTTCGGTTGTGCTTTCCCCTGCGTTGTCTCTTTAGGGGAGCTTGTTTTACGTTTGTGGGATCTGTTTCCTGCCATGTGTACTCTGCTGCTCTTTATTTTTGTACAAATAAAGACGTTATCCGGCGAACGATTGTAGGAAGCCTTGTTACGCATCGGACGCTTGTAGACCTGAATGTATAACCGAGCTCGATATGTGGCAAAGATAAAGGTTATCAGCATTGTCTGGCTGAAAGCAGGTGCTTGCAGAAGCAGTTGTGGCTTGTTTTTCTGTTATCTCAACCCTTAAAGGGATGGTGAACCGAAATTTGGATTTCAGAAAAAACAATGCAGGAGATGTAGGCGGGACGCTACAATCCCTACACCGCTACTCGTAAGGCGATATCTCGAATGGATGGCCGTATTTTTGGAAAAAGAGGTCGAGATTGAACCAGGCCGACGAGGCGCGTGACGTCAATATACCGAGTTTCCTCCTCTCTTTGCTTCGCTCCCTCAAGGCCGCGAGGCGGAGAAGACGCGAGGCCGTTCCCTCTCCTTCTCGGAGAAACATGACGACATCATCTCTGTCAAATACGCCTCCTTTTTTTGAAAAATATGGTCATCCGTTCGAGATTACGCTGTATGAGTGATGTTTTAGTGTTTGTAGCATCCCGTTGCACGCGTTTACCGCGTGTTTTGTGGAATCAAAATTTCGGTTCGGCATCCCTTTAACCTAAGCCCTTTTTAAGAAAAAATCTGGTGCCTAAGAACACGTAGAAAGCTAAACAAGGCTCTTGCTAGAAATTTATTCACCTACTGACGCAGCAAGTGGAGTGAAACCATCTTTCTGTGTTCGGTAGCCAGCTGTAATTAAAACAAGACCTGCTTTGAAGAATATGGGGCATTTCATTATACCAGCTGGCAGTTCTTCTACAGCTAACAGACTTGTAAAAGTAACTACCCTCCAGCGGCCAGTTCTAACCCGGATCAAAGCTTTTGGCTGAATTGGTACAAAACCGAGGTAGAATATTTTATAGTGAACCCAAACAGAAACAAAACCACATTTTCATGTTGCAGTTACTGGTTCATTGAAAGACTGTTCTACGTAATGAAGTGTGAACTGCCCCTGTTTTTATGGGTGGCGACGCAAGGTCAATTTTAACATTCGTGGCAGTGACGGTGGTGCAGTTTTGCTTAAATAAACAGCAGCTATGTGGAGACAGTTCGATGGTAATGAAGCAAAAAAGTTTCATGTCTGTGCCACATGCACTAGCATTGGCATGAAGGTGTGCACTTCTAGCTGACCGTGCCAAGAGGATTAAGAGGTATTTGTTTGCTTTGCTGCTGCTAAAGAATACTCAAGAAAATTGAAGGCAAATGCAAAAGGGTTTTATGAAAAATAGATCGCCAGGCTATCAGTGTGTTTGTTCAGTAATGGCAGAAATTGAAGGTGTCATCAAGGAGACGAGAGAATAAAGCCAAGAGGAAGCATGACGCGGGTGCCGCGACGAAAAATTGCCCTGACCTCTTTGCACTGCTTGGAAATAAAGATCTTGTTTTTTTCATGTTTCCTAAATGCAGCATGTTGCCCTTTTTTTTTTCTCTCTTTTTTTAATAAGCTTTTTTACTGCCCTTCACATCCTTTCATCCCTTCAACTTGGTCATTTGAGACAGAAAGTTTGGAAGTATGGTGTGTGCCAATGATTGATGTTTCGAGTAGGTACTGTTTGGAGTGGCTATCTGGTTTTGTAATTTGCATAGTGTAGATTCTGCAGAGAGAAGTCAAGATAACGAAAATAAATTATGCACACATTTGTTCTGCAGCTTCTATTCAAAGCACGGCTTCTGATGACTAGTTTTGTTGCATTCTTTAAAGCAGATGACATTTATACTCCGTTCGACGTTAAGCTGCGACTAGAAGCTCCGCCTTCAGCGTGAGCTCGCTGGCTTCTGCGGTGCTTTGGTTGCAGGTGGATGCACATTAACACTTGTATTAGCAAGGGCAGAAAGCTTGCACTGAAGGCGGAGCTTTCAGTCTCAGCCTGAGGGTGAACAGAGTATAGTTTATTGCACTTTTTTAGTGAATGGGAGCTATGAAGTTTTCTTTTTGTTTAACATAGAAAATTAACAGGCAGCCACGGTGCAACGTAAATTTATGAACCAGATTGAACCGTTAACTGGACAAAGTATTTCACAGGCACAGCTAAACCATAACCAAACCAGAACAATATAATTACTGAACTCGAACACAAATGACGACCGGTTCGACACCCTGATCATATAGTCATATAGTGAGCTGCATTACTATCTCTTAGCACACCTATTTGCAGAATGTTTTACTCAGCTGCAGTGTTCCAAGCCACACTTGAGCACATCTTGCAGTCAGGTGATTTACTATAGCTGTGGTTTGGAGATATATCTGTGTATGCTTCCTCTAGTTTATACATCAATAGCACAAAGCAGCAAGGCTTAGCCACTATTGGACATAAGGAGAAGTTTCTACAAAGCCTCTTTGAAAAGTGTCTACTCTTCAAGCATATTAAAGTGAGTCACATTTCTGCTATGGACACACGAAGAACACCATATAGACTATGAATGATTATTTTTATTATGAATGCAAATTACGAAGTTCTCGTAGCCACCGAAGCCCGAAAAAGTGGTAGTCGTCAAGTGCCACTGGGTGCGTAAGGGCAACCCAGAAATTGATCCGCAATCCGCCCCGCTTCGCGAAGTCCACTCAGCAGTGCTCCGTGGACGGTCGCCGGGTAGTTTCGTATTGTGTGCTCCCCGGCAAAGAACAGTCTCGGTGGAGTCGGGGTGACATGATTGGACGTCGGTGTCACGGGAGCTGCAAGGATGTCGTAGTCATTCCCCGAGGAACCCGTCGCAACGAAGGAGTATGAACCCCTGGACCACGGGTCAGCGCGCCATCTGGTCACGACTGTCTCCTTTGGCTGCGAGACTGCATGGTTGCCGAAGATGCCCTTGAGCACCGCAATGCAGCGTCCGATGATGACGTCGTCGCTCACGTTCTCCATGATGGTGGCTGCCTCTCCCGCCACAAGTGCCAACAGTACGGGCGCTCGGTACAAGTTCCAGAAGAGGAAGAGCTCGCCACGGCTTCCCGTAGTGCTGCCCACGTGCCCAAAGAGGTTGGAGTTGGGGTCCCAGAAGATGCGATCAAAGCAGAGAACCACCTTGTTCAGGTTCCCGAACCCGAGGCGCGAAATAGCTGCTCCCTTCCACTCAGGAAGCGGCGGCACGAACTGGACCGTGTTGGGAAGGTTGGGATTGTTGAGGACGGACTGCTTGAGGACCCCCAGCGGGAGTGTGCAGAGAACTGCGTCTGCCTTGAATGTTGCCAGACCCGAGTTCGTCCTGGTGTTCGTGGTGGTCACTTCAACCCCCGTGCCTGACAGATATACCTGCTTGACAGCCGTGTTGAGGCGGATGTCGAGACCGTCTGCCAGCGATACCGGTACGCAGGAATAGCCGTTCCGCACGGTCAGGTGGCTGCCCGTGAACTCGAAGTCGTCGTCTTGGTCCCAATGCTTGAGAGAGAGGTTGTTGAGGGGGGTCGCGTTCGCAAACTCGAGGTTTGCAAAGTGCCAGTCCAGGACCTGACGGTCGCGCGAGGACAGGTAGACGTCGCTGGGTGGGGAAGCTTCGAGCTCTTGCAGCTTGTCTTCGATCTCGCGCTGCTGGTCAAGCAGGAGATCCCAGTCCCGACAGAGCAGGGTCAGGTCGTGCATCCGGCTCCTGTGGACAAACTCTTGGGTGACGTCCCGCTGCTTGAGGTCTGTGGACTCCTTGTGGATGCGATTGAGTTCCTCGATGCGCTCTTTCATCTGCACCATTTTGGTGTGGTTGTCCTTGAGCTTCTCCTGCAAGTCCAGGATGGCCTTCCAGTGCTGTATCTGCCTTTCCTTGACACTCTTCTCCTGGAGCTTGATGACCCACTCCAGGGCCTGGCCCAGTGACACTGGCTTGTTCTGGACGTAGTTGAAGTCCAGATGATGAGACAGGTATGATGTGGCTTCCAGAAGCCGGTTGAACTCGCGTTCGACCATCTCGTCTTTGTCCTTGGGCACGGTGCTTCCGTTGGACTCAAACAGTGGACACTTCTGCTTGATCTTGTGTAGCTCCATTTTAATCTGCTTGCTGAGGACGGTGATGGGGTTCCCACCGAGTCCCGTAACCACCATGGCGCCCAGGTCAGCAACGTAGCTGCTCTTCCGGAAAGTGGCGATCCGGCCTCCCACCCTGTCTCGGGCCTCGAGGACCAAAACCTCCATGCCGAACTGCTGGAGCTGTTGCGCGGCGGCCAGTCCAGATATGCCCGCCCCGATGACGATGACCTTGCCGTGCTTCTTGAGTGGAGGCGGCTTGAGACGCTCGTACACGCCGAAGTTTATCAGCCCCTGCCGTTCCAGGTAGGAATGGATGCGAAGCACCAGCGGGACGTCGCTGTTGTACGGCGGTTCCATCTGCGGCAGCGCATTCTCGAAGACCAACTGTTGCTTCGGGTTCTCCAGCCAGAGTTGAAGAAGCCTGTTGCGGACGTGGAGAAAGATCTTTTGGGTCTGGGGCGGTCCCTGCACAATGTCGGGAAAACAGGCCGCTTCCTGGGCCGTCATCTTGTCGAACGGCAGACGACTCTGGAACGCCGCGCCCTCCAGGCCACTGAGGTCTTCTTGGTCGCTGTCGATGTCATCCACTTCGGCGTCTCCAACGGGACGGGTCGCCTGTTGCGGTGGAGGCTGCTGCTGTTGCTCGTCGGTGTCTTGGAGCTCGGGAGTGCTTTCCGATTTCTCGCCGTCCAGCTTGACGTCTGGTTTCCGGCGCTTCTTGCGCGTTTTGCGGCGCGCTTGTTCTGTGGCCCGCTCCGCCGGAGTCATGTTCTTTGTGGCAGCTGCCGCTTCATTGACAATCGCATGCGCGCTTTGTCTGCGTTCCTCGGCTGATCTGCTCCACGACGGGTTCATCGTCTTTTCTTCGCTGCGTTCGGTTCGGTGTTACTCGCTACGCGTCCGCGGCACTTTTGCAGCGAGTCCGCACCACGCGCCGCGAACAACTTCGGACAACACACCACGCTCCTCCTGAATCGAAGCGAGCCACAGTGATGCAAGCTACTCCTTTTTTCTTTTTTGTTTTAGGAATTTCCCACCAAGCTTGCGCAGTTTCCCGTTAGGAGAGGAGTAGGGAAGAGTAGACGCGTCAGTGAATCGCGAAAAAAAAAAAAAGATTAATAAAGTAAAGTAAAATTATACGTGCCACAAAAAAAAAAAGTACTTTATTTTAGTAAATTTACTGTTTACACGCTATGACTCGAGCTGGTTGTTTGATTTGTTCGGGATGTGCATTCGGCGCGGAACCACTATGCATGGACGCGGAAAAGTTGACTTTGTTCTGTTCGTATTATTGGTATTATTGTTCCCGTGCTATCAAAGTGTCCAAAGTTTATTTTGGAAAAGTTTCCACTGACGTTTTCACGCGTCGTAGCCGGGTGACAGCCGTGCACGAATTTATGCCATTCGATTTCTCGTCGTCGCGTAAGTATGGCGGACGACATAGCGACAACTTCGGGTCAGCGTCCGCCCGGGGACAAAGTTACGCTCAGGGCATGCGGACAAAGCTTTCTCGCCTCGCGCACAGCTCTACGAAGCGCGTCCTCATACTTCTCAGCCATGTTCGACTCCGGCATGAGAGAGGCGTCTTCGGCGGAGATCGAGATGCACGACATCGAACCGGAGACACTGTCGGCGCTCGTGGACTCGTCCGAAGGCCGCCCCATCTCCGTCATCGAAAACAACGTGGCCGAACTCCTGCGGGCGGGCGTCCTCTTTCAGTTTGACCAAGTCACCCGCGCCTGCGTCAGCTACGTCTACAAGAAGCTCACCGTGCACTCCGCCGTGCGGGCCTGGCAGCTAGGGGACGCTTACTCGATCTCCCAGCTGCGGCGATCGGCCCTCGCCGTGTTGATGTGGCACTTCGAGGAGTTTGTCGACTCGCCGTCCCTACCTGACTGCCCGGTCGCCTTGTTCAGGCGACTGCTGCTCAAGGAACGCCTGAACGTACGAAACGAGAGCATTGTCTACAGAGGCGTCATGATCTGGGCGCAGGCGAACGTTGACGCGTGCTCGCACCGAGAGTTTGTCGAGCTCATGTTGTGCGTTCGGGCCTCGTTGCTGAGACCCGACCAGCGCGTGGACATGTACACTCAGAGGACGCCCGAAGGGACGCCCTTCATGTGCCACTTGCCGCTGGACTTTGGACCCAAGAACCGTCGCCGGCCGCACATCGGTGCCGCCTTGGTCGTGTCCAAGGTCGGGCCCTCCGATCAGATTCCCGACGACGAGCTCGGCCTCTTCGTGCAAGATGGCTTACACACCTTGAAGCTACGCACTCTGCTGCCGGCGCGATCACGGAAGCCGCTTCAGGGCTACGTTGTTTGCAACGTGGGTATGTTGACGACAATAGAAACGGCTCTTTGGTGCAAGACCATTCTAGCAGCCATCTTTGTCCACTGGGCTGTCGAACACGTTCCGAGGTTGCGCATTAGATCTCTTTTGCAGAATAACAGACGCCGCGCATGCGCACACGGCCCAGTGGCTCAGCATTTTTGGCTTGGGCGATAAGCGCTGGAAAGGTGTGTATCCAAAGCCACTCTAAATGCCTACTGACATGGAGCCCACCGGGCTTGAAACATTTCAACGTTCACGCTGCCTCCAGACCCTGAGGGCAGTGTTGCTTTGAATCTAGTTCTGGCGAGAGCTTGCTTTTGTCGATCCAAGTAGGTCCTAGCATTTAAACTTTCCGACACCACGGTCTCACCTGAAATCACAATGTCGCATAAAGAAGGACCCAAGAGTTCCTTGTCTCGGGGCTCATCACCACGACACCAACTGTTGCAATGACGTCATCTACTTCATGTCGCCATCGAGGCCACGTTCCACGTGTGGATACGAAAACCCTAAGGGCTGGAACTATAGATGCTATGCATTTAATAATGATTAATTATTTTTCGTTGTAAGCAGCAGGTGTCGACACAAGCAGGCCGTGCAAATTTTTCAGCAGTAGGGAAACGTGTAGCGAGACGCAAATTCATATAAATTGTTAACCATCGCGAACAGTCCCGTTGCAAAACACACAGCAAAGATTGCAAAAAGGCACAGCGGAAATTTTGAACGAAGAAATCGGTTGAAGCAAATTGGAAAGTTGAGGTGGTCGGTAGCTTGATCTTTACTTTCTGGTTAGTACACGCACACATTTACGTAGGCAAATACCTGCAGTCATTGAGGCTCTCTCGAAACAATTTTCTAAAAGCAATGTTACTAAAGCCATCTTTTTCTTCTTTTTTTCTGGAGGGGGGCGGGGAGACTTCTGTTTTGCTTGTGTTTTGTTCTTCAACTTTGTCGAGCAAACATGGCATTAACCTTGAAATTATATGCGATTCACTAATCCAGTGACCTTGAAGAAAAGCGTTGGCCCACAGTTTTCACATTGTCGAACTTGGGTCCCAGCTAAGAGGTTTGCCATCTGGTGCAGGCTTGTTGGAACATAGCCACTCTATCCACTGAGATTTCAACAGCTCATTTTGGGTCGCCTGGTGGTCCAACTTATCTTTATAAGATGTTAAGTTAGGCTACCTGAAATTTTAGGTTAGTCCCCCCATTCCACCTCCTTTATTAAGTGTGGTGCCTGGATCTGTCTCGGGCTGATGTGTTTAGCGTCCTGTACCACCCACGCATTGAAAGCGGTCCCAAAGTTGCAACGAGTGACGTTGGTAAAGCCGCAGGGTTGTGCTGTTCCTGGCAGTTGGAGGGTTGTGTTGTTCCTGGTAGGAGGTAGTGACGTCGTGATCCTGGCAGTTGGTCGTAGCAGTTACAGCAAAAAAGCACGAGCAGACGTCAGTGTCGCTGTCACCGAGGCATTCCTAATCCCGTCTGTCAAAGCTTCCATTGGCTGTCGAGCTGGGGAGCGACTTGCAGTACAACAGGTTTCTGCCCAGTCTTGTACGCGTTCCTGAAAAAACGTAACCGATTACAATTACAATAACTTCATTGAGAAATGTAACTGATTGCCGTAATCGATTACTGCATCGCAGAAGTAATTGAAGGATTACCAAGAGTAATTGATTACTTTTGAAGTTACTTTTCTTATAAACGTTTTATTACAAAATGAAAAATGCACATATGTGTTCAAGTTGGCTGAATTTTATTTCTTTTTGTCTCTTGCTTCAACAGCGGTTCTCCGTTGGAAATTCTCGTCGGTTGTTGTCCCACATTTTTTGGTGAAGACGTCTGCCATGACGCCGAAGACCTTCTCAATAAATGCGCTTGAGGGAAGAGCGGCGTCGTGGCGCACAAACGCTTTGCACACCGGTTCGTGGTTGTGCGGTGCTTTGAGTCCTCTAAAAAACTAAGCGCTTCGCTGTTATGACCTCCTGTCGAAAGCATATTGACATTCTAACCCTTCTGGTATCTTAGTATCGTTTTTTAGTTTTTTGGGGGGTCAAGAGAAGCTTCCAACATTGGCGCGATATAGACGAGTGACGCGCGTGCAGACGGGGCAATTTTTTACGTAAAAAAACTCGACTCAATTTTATCTCTTTTGGTGGCATATGATTGATTACTTGCAGTTGATTATAGAAAAATAGTAATGGATTTACAGCTAACGTTACCATAGAAAAAAAGCAATTTAAGCGTTAAGAAGTTGCAAGGAAATGTAATTGATTACAAGTAATCAGTTACTTGTAACTCGTTACATACAAGTCTGCTTCTACCCCATCAACCTCCAGTGCTGTGCCGCCACCAGGATCTTGGCAGGCAACAGCAGAATACTTCTACAACGTCGTCATGTGGAAGCCAAAGGACCACATTTGAGGACGCAGTAAAGACGCCAGTCGAAGACGCTTTGCAGGCACCAGAACGTACACTAATGCCGTTGCCGACCTTTCCTTACCACGTTCGTTGGATTGAGACGCTCCTTCTTTGCCTCACCTTTTCTCCCCAGGCTGTGCGGTGTACTTCCTCTGCGGCGAGTTTGGCGTCGGCTCGGGAAACTGGCACCGCGACGTGTGGAAGTGGGACTCCGCGGCTTCGGAATGGGTCAACATCGGCACCAACCCGGCACCGCGGCGCCACTGCAAGGTGGCGGTGGTGGGCAGCCGCATCTACCTGTTCGGAGGGTATGGGAGGTACCGTGTGCCCATGACCAGCATAGACTTCTTTGACACGTCCACTGGTGAGTGCAGCTTCCGCCCCAACTTCGCGGAGACGTCTTTTCTTCGACACCCACGATGCCGCTTTATTTGGAGAGAACTATAGGGCAGTTTCACGAAACGCCTTTTCACTTCCGCTAAGCACACGCACTGCCATGTTGATGACCGGCGTCTGCGACTCACTGCATTGGTTTGCGTACAGACGCTGAGTTATTAATGCCGTTTTTGGTGTTGGTGAATCTCACAAGCATGGCGAGTGACTTTGTCGACAACAGAACAAGTTTCACTGGGGAATCTATTTTGGTGGCATAAATTCGCGCTTACTCCGCCTTTCTCTCCTCTCGGAGTCGGGAAATATTCAGAGGTTGGAGCTTTTTCAACTTTGCCGAAGATCCCTGTTTCGCAAACACTAAGGGGAACATTTGTTCCATCCAAAACTCGTTGCTCGGCAGGGACACTTCCCCGCAGTACTTTTGGCGACCTTCTGCGCGTACGATCGTTTCTCTGATGTTAAGTAGTTCCTTGCAGAGAGGAAAGGAATGCGAAACTGCAGCTCTGCCCCTATAGTTTCTTTACCTGGGAGCCAACAAAGGGTTCCTTCTTTCATGACCATCTTTGCCTTTTCAAGCTCGGAATCAGATGCCAAAGAAGCTGCCGGCCGATTGCATCTGGTGTTCCAATCAAGGCCTGTTCACACGTACACAGCAGTTATAACCCGGTGCTGTAGACAAGCCATTGACTTTGTGCTGTATTGGTGCTGTATCGATGCTTCCATGCATGTGAACCCCCCTTTTCTCGTTTAATCATACAATGCAATGCTAATTCGGCACTGATGCTGCACTGGCTTTGTGATATCTCATGGCTAATGTGCACATGAGTTCTAGCTTTCCTTGTTCGCACTTTCTTATTTCCAGGAAAAGTTTATGGAACATTATTCTATAGTGTAGGAAATGTTTCAAGTGGCCCTCTTTTAGGCCAATTAATACAGGGTTTGTACATATTGTCACAAATGACAATTGATAAGGCAATAATAACTAAAGAAACTAAATGTTTAATGTGGCCAAACTTGTGCCCAAAAACTACAAAAAATGGAACAGAAGAAAGCAGAGCGTCGCGGGCGTCGAAGTCGGCGTGACAGCAGTCAAACGCTGGGGCAAAATTGACCAAGGATCGCCATGCGGAGCCCCTTATGTGCGCACGTTGGTTTCTGATTGTAATATCATGTAGTTCCTGTCTATTGTTTTTTTTTTTTTCTTTGTCTTTAAGCAATGTTGGTTAATCCTATTGGTTACATCTGTGTATTGATGTAATCCTGCAATTTTGTTTGGTTTGGTTTATTTTACACAGTCAATATTTTTTATGTGCATTTTATCCATTGATATGTACCGAATATGAAGGAGATCTGTCTACACTTATTTTAATAGGCACGTCATGGCCCTTTGTTTCTGTTTTTTTTCGTGCCACTGACACGACAAGGGAATTGTTTTTCTTCATTGTTCAGTCAGCACTGAAAGATTAGCACAAATAAGCAATTGCTGGTTTGACAACATGTGACATTGCAGTCGTGCGAACGCAGTGTGAACAAGTTTGCCTGGCGGGTGCCGTCTTTGTAGCATGGGAGGGGCTGCAGACATCTGCCGTTTTCAAAGCGCACTTTCAAAACACCCTTTCTCTGCTTCAGGCTTTTGCCGGCCATGCATGACTATGCTCATGAAGTCTCTTCTTGCTTGCCAGTGGAGAGCAGCAATATCTTCTTTCGTTTTACAGTTTTACCGTCGTTGGTGTCTTGTAAGACACTGAACTGGCAGAGATCATAGGTTACAGTATTGATGTAGTAGAAACAATTCTTTGGAAGCAATAACTGTCTGCCGAAGCTTCCCTCCCCCTCCCCCCCCATTAAGTGGAATAGTAGTTGGAAAGGCCCAACCACTCTTGCTCTTGGTGTTTTCACGGTGACACAGTGCCACGTGTGGCGATTTAACTGTTCCAGTTGTCAGTCACTTGCGCTTCTTTTCACAGCAACAGTGGGAGCCTCCCCAGGGAATTGTGTCATTGTCCTTCATGAAAACTCCGAGCACCTTGAGCGTGGACACACAGCCAGCACATGTTGAAAGAGCAGTGATTGCACACCAGAAGCCTGGTTTTCGAAAAAAAGCCTCTAGCATGTGCCAGAGGTCAGGCATTCGAAAGAGACACTCCGCCGTTCTTACTTTGACAGTGGCTGTAGCGAACAGCCCTTTGTTCCAGCGCGTGCACAGGACCATCCGAGCAGACAAACCTGCACGCCGTGTGGGTAGACCTTGGAAAGTTTGACACAGTTCTGAAGAACGTGACCACCAGTTGCACTTCGCCGAGGAGCCTTGTCATAGACAAAGCACGTACCGGACACGGGAGCGGAATCGAGAGTGGAAGCGAAAATTACTTAAAAATCCTCTGAATCGTGCTTGGAACGACATTGATGCCAGAATGGATGCTTTTCGGCGTTCAGTCTGGCAAGTTTGATCTCTATCGTCCTGTCAGTATATCACACTTATGCCCAACTAATGGCAGCCATCTTGAGGCTGATGATGGAAGAAGTTGAAGCTCACTACCAAGCGCAGAATATACGAGGCCTGTGCGGTCGAGGTGTTGGTGCGCAACGCACGAATTATATACAATAACTGCGTAAGCGTTTATTCCGAAGTGTGACCTGATCAATTCCTTGGCACAAGTTTGACTAAAAATCATTTTGATTTAGAAGATTTAATCAAGTGCTTGCGGATTACCGTTTTGCACTGGTCAGATTCACGCCATCGAGACTGAAACAAATTAAGAAAAAATTATGGAGCGATCAAAGAACCAATTTTCGTCTGTCATAGACGTGCGAAGGCAACGGTCCCCGACGAAAAACAGTTTTGTGACCTCCATTGGTTTGTCGAAAGTGGAACTGATTTTCGAGCCACCGAATGGCACTGAATTTTGGGGAAAAAATTAAAGCCGTTTACAACTCCCTGTAACGCCGAATTAGAGTGCAGCTCTTGAGGAGGACGAGGGGAAGGGTACTGAGGGTCACCTCCCCATCCTGTCTGCTACTCCTCCCTCTGAGCGGCGTCGCCGTCGCCTCACGAGGGTCACGTGGCCTCAAGGGGGTTACGTGATGTCACCGGGGTCACATGGCCTCACGGGGGTCACGTGACCCCTATGAGGTCACGTGACGATGACGTCATCAGTGATGTCACTGATGACATCATCAGTGACATCACGCGTCCCCTAATGCACCGCGCGGTTACACTGACGCCGCTCAAGCCGGAAACGGGGCCTAAGAGCTGCGCTCTAAAAAGTCCAGACAGTGAATTGCGCGCGCATCGCCGCGACATGCATTACACAATAACATAAATGCATGCCGATTATTTTTTTAGTGCCACTGCCTACCGTACTGATACCTTCCTTCTGAGGCCTCCGGTACATATTGAGGTGGCAATGCATGCGAGCTGGTTCATTACTTCATCAAGAAATGGAGCAAGAAAAACGCAAAGACGAGCGGAATAAATCCTTTCTTCCCAGGACGCTGGCACGTAGCACCGGGGGGTCCGGTCCGGTCCACGCCGCAGGCCGTCGTGGCCTCCGAATCCGTGGTGTACGTCGTGTTCGGGGAGTGCCTCGTGAGCGTGTACGACACCGAGAAGTCCGTGATGATCGAGACGCCCTACACCCTGGACGGGTGGGCGTTCGACTACCCCGACGGCTCCGTCTTCCCCGAGATGGTGCCCAAGAACGAGGGCCGCTTTAGAGTTTTTCTGCCGGATTCCGAGTTCAGCTGGTGTAATACCTTCCTCTACGAGGACTCGTGGAAGTGCAATCCGCCTGGCGGGGGATGCCCGCTGGAGTTCGGCAGTGTGTTTGTCTACAAGAGTTCATACAAAGACTGGAGGAATGAAGGCGCCATCCACACTGTGGGCGAAGCCCATGTGCAGAGGCAGATCCGTCTGGGCTTGAGGCCGGGGATCAAAATCGAGGGCTGCGTGGCGGTCCCCGGCTTCGACCTGGGGCCCGACGACTGAACGGTCTGTCTGCTGGACGTGTTAGGAGCGCTAAGGCTGCGTTTCTTCTTTTTGTCAGTGTGAAGCTCGCTTTTTTGCCAATGCGAAGCACGTTTTCTATTTCTTGCTTCTGTACTTCTGATAGCACTGTGTGCAGCTTAGATTTGGCACCATGAAGCCCATTTTTGAATACCGTAACATCCCGAGAGATGCCCCTCCTCCAAAAGATAACTCGCCTTATATTTTTGGCATTATTTGCTATTCTTTTTGAAAACCCGAAAGACAGCCCACCTCTACCAGCCCACCTCTACTAACTGCAGGGCTCTGTCCCATGGTAACCCCGGCAGAACTGGTGTTGCTCTGCCACAACGTGAGATAAGTGGGCATGGCAAACTGGGAAGGACAGATTGCCCCTCAATGTGAAAACAAGGTTGGCAGGTCACAAAAGTAGCATTCTTAAAATTTTTCTTCAATGCACACAGAAAGTTAGCCCACTCCTCATTTTCATACAATATCCTCTCGCTTTTAGGTGGGCTCTCTCCGGGATATTACGGTAGATCTGAAGTTCCGTTTGGCAGTGTGAGCTCATTTTTGAAAAGGTGTCAAGCTGATTTCCTAATCGGTGAGTTTGGCGGTGTGAAGCTCATTTTCAATTAGGTGTCGAGCTAATTTTTTAATCGGTGTGAAGCTCAGTTTGGCGGGGTGAAGCTAATTTTTAATTACGTGTCGAGCTAATTTTTTAATCGGTGAGAAGCTCAGTTTGGTTGCGTGAAGCTCAGTTTGGCGGTGTGAAGCTCATTTTTAAATAGGTGTGAAGCTCATTTTTTAATTGGTGTGGAGTTGAGTTTTGGTGGCACGAGGTAAACTTTTTAATCCGAATGAAACTAATTTTGCCTTGTGGAGCTTTTTTTTTTTTTTTTTTTATCATTTCAAAGCTTAGCATTGACAATGTGAAAGCTCTTTTTTTTTTTTTTTATCGGTATGAATTTTAGTTTTGACATGGGGATGAAAGCTAATTTTTTTTTCCAGTACAATGCTCAGTTTTGGCACTGTGAAGCTAATTTTTTTAATTGGTGCAAGAATTTTTGCCAAGGAGCTCTTGCCTCGGTTCGTCTGCCCCTGCTAGCCGAGCAATCGCACGGATGTTTGTTTGCAACAGTCCATTCCGCAAGTTCCACAGAGCATCTTGAAAAGCCACAGGCAGGGGTGGGGGGGATGCACCTTTGGTACAAGTTTGGGCAGACGAGATAATCCCCAACGGACACAGAAGCGACATTCCGGGTTTCATAATGAAAAGTTTTTGTAGGGGGAATCCCTTTTGAATTGCAAGTGCTATTTCTTGCTTCTGTACCTTTGATAGCACTGTGTGCAACTTACAAGATGGAGCGTAGTGGAAGTGAGATTTCTCAATTCGGATGGTGCTTGTTTCCGCATAGGCAGACGACTACAACTTTACAAGAAGCTTTTGTCATTATTTACGAGATATGTGCAATTTTGTTTTTATGAAGCTCAATGAAGGAGGTACACCAGTCAGTAACGGGATCACGACTGATTTATTTTTCATAGCCCCCTTCAACAATGTGAGATCCGTGCCAAAGCTGCGCGCCCGGTCAGAAAGTTGCCGGCAACGGTAGGTCGCTAATCACTTTGCTGACCTTCGGAGACACGGTAACAATAAATACTGGCCGAGGCGTTGATCCCCCTGCTCGTCACTACGAGGGCACAATGCACCCTGTTTCATATGGCCCGTACGATGCACAGACATGGGAAAAGAAGCTCTCGACCCTTCTTGCACGCAGTTCCATGTACACTTTCATCGACAAGAGACAATCAAAACTTCCTTAGAAAAAAAAAATAAGAATACGGAAGGCCTCAAAACTTGTGCTTGCGGGCTAAAATGAACCGTGAAGCCGGCAAGGAATGCCCTGCAAAAGCTCGAAACAGTGGCTGGCATTTCGCCAAGAGTGCAAAGTTACCAAGTATCTGAGAGAAACCAAAGCTGCTGAATTGGCTACGTTTAGGGTGTCGGCATTACATTCCCCGATTTCCTTGTCGGCGCCGCCACTTCGGTGCTTAGTGCAAAGTGGGCGCAGTTGGCGATGTTGCTCCGTCACAGACAGTTCTAACGTTTCTAGGGGATGGAAAACCGTTTCCTGTGGCTTCAGATGAAGCATAAGATTACTGGCAACTGTGGTATTGATCACTGAGACGGCCGAAGTGCCGTCACTCCGAAGAACAGCTTATTGAGTGGCTCTAAGTGAAACGGCGACCACCGTACCGCGCCTTCCCGGGAGATTCCGTCGTTCCGCGCCACAGAAGGCACACAATGTCCCGCACCCTCCCGTTTTGCACAGCGCCCGTCTTAACTGGCCTCGTCGTTCTGGTGGCGCATGAAGTGCACGGTGCCGGCGTTGTCGCCGGCCTTTCTGGCCTTGTAGTAGGTGAACGCAGCGAACCCGAGGGCTCCGAGGACAAGGCCGAAGATGAGCATTCCAATCAGGAGCCCCGCCAGTCCGTCTGCAAGCAGGTACGTGATTGATTCGGAAACGTTCTACATCTACGTGAAGAGGCAAAAACAAACTTTACACGGAAGCCAGGTGGCTTTCTGTGCTAGGGAACGTAGTCTTGGAGAGTTACTCTTTGAAAGTAATTCAGTTAAATTTCAACGAGCATTTATTTACGGTTACATTCACTGGCAGAAGTAGTATGGCAGGGCAGAGTTTCGGTTGTCCTGCTTTCAAAGCGAGCTTCCTGCTTTCGACGATGCTTCGTCGAAAGCAAGAAGTGTGTACATTGATACAAAGTGTGAATTTGCATATTTATCGCCAACAGGTTGAGAACTATCTGAACTCGGTTAAAAATTCCCTCAAAGGTGGAACCAAGTTACAAAATTCAGTTGCTGAGAGTGTAATTAATCACGGTAACTTATACTTCATGAGAGATGCCAACAACTCACGTGATGTGTATCCGCTGATGGGGGTTGTGCTTCGTAGGTACTTGTTATGGTGGATGAAGTTTGTGACGTGGTCTTGCTCTGCAAAGGGGTGGGACAACCTTTCAGTGCTGGTTTGCACCTATGGGTCTGCCACACACTGCCGTGGTCATCTGACTGGAGTTTAAACAGCATTTCAAAGTTTCCCCAAGCTGTTCATAACCTCTCGCTTTTCTTTTCATGCCATGTGAAATGCAATTTTAGTTTTGGGTACTAATTTGCTGCTGTAGTAGTAGTAAGGTCATTGTACAAAGAGAATATATAGTATCGAAATTGGTCCAGTGGTGTTTAGAAACATGAACTGAAGGAGGCAAAACAGAGAAATCAACACAACACCCATATTCATGTTAAAAACAAACCATATGTTTTTCCTTTTCTGGTACCTCAAACACCTGGGCCAGTGTGGCACACTGCTGCAACCTTGCTTTACAATATTCACCATTTTACCGTGCAATAGAACCTAATGAAATGAAAAAAAAAAATTATTTTTAATATATGGTAGATGTTTTTTTTTTTATTTATGAAAGTTTAAAACTCCCTTACCAGAGTTATTAGCACACCACACCTTTTGTTCATGGTAGGCTCATGACTCTAATACAAATTGTTCCGCAAAAGAAAAAAAAAAAAACGCTTTTTATTACAGTGTGCGAAAAGGTGACATCGACGGCTCTTATTGCGTGAAGTAACACCCGCTTTTATGCACTGCTTTGTGGTCACTGAGGTTGAGGGATAGAGAAAAGACCACATGCACAAGTCGACATCCCCGTCCAAGTCTAAATTGAGACGGGTACCGCTACGAGTGGTTTGTTGCTTCACATCCCACGGTAGTACATGCAAACCAAGTTTTACGGCGAGTAACATGTGGCAGCGTCCCCCGCCAACTGTACAAGTAGAAGACACTGCTGCCTGGCAAGGGCCATGTGACGCTACCAATACAGCTGAGGAGTGCCTGTAGCAGCTTTCGCTGTAACACCAATGTAGCCAGGCGGTCTTGTTGCATAATTTGACTTTGCTTGTGCATGGTTTGCACACACTAATGTTAATAGGAACCATGGTGCTTGTCCTTGCTCGCTTCCAGCGGCCGGTTGTACAGCACGACTCTTAACGCAATAGAAAGATTGCGGACCAACGTAAGAGCAAGGTGCCATGGAATTGGCGGGAGTGGCACTCACGGTAGTAGAAGAAGCAGGCGGAGCTGTCCCTGAAGTCTGCTCCCCTGTCGAGGACGGTCAGGGTGTTGAGGACGCACTTGCGGTCGGGCCCGTCATTGCCGGGGCAGAAGTTGAAGGACTGGCAGGTCTCGCTGGGGTCTGTTGAGCAGGCCTTGGCGCACTCCTCCAGGCTGATCAGGTCGATGGTCCGGGAGTTGGGGTCCACAAGCTCCTTCCTCGCTCCTTCCGTGTAGTCGGCCGAGAACTTCACTGCGTGGAGCACGAGGAGTGTGTGCGGCGAGCGTTTTGGGGAAGGGGGGGGGGGGGGGGGGGGGGTACGCCGAAGCAGTGTTTAAGGCTTGAAGGGGCACAAAGTGGTTTCTGAGATCGTCTATGTATGATCATGAGTTCATTTGTGGGCTTTGAGCTTTCTAAGAAACCCAAGATTAGATTGGTAGAAATGGAATCGAAGATCGCGACATGCCCGTTTTCGTGCGATTCGGCGCAGAAATTGGGGGGCACCTTTGGACATGCGGCAGCCAATTGCGGACAATCGCTTCCTGTGCGCGGATCGTACGCATTCAAAAATCGGTCCGCCGTTGGTTGGCCCCCCCTGCCACACGTCTTAAAATAAACAGGAAATTGCACGCAAAAATTAGCGCGTGTAATTGAAAAACGACTCCTGCTCTGTGCTTCATCAATGTGGAGTGTTTGTTCTAGGCTCTTGTTCATAGAAGTAACGGACTAATTTTGTGGGCCCGTCAGATGAGCCTCCCAGAACACTGTAGGTTGCATTCAGCGTGGATTTCACTAGTCTTTTGTTTTTCTTCTATTTCACACTCCTGAAGCAACGTCCTAAACTAGTCACGAGGCAAAAACTGACCCGTACGTTTGTGCTCGAGTGTGACCGTTACGTTCCAACTACCTATGACGCACCAGTTGCTATGGCAACCAAGGTCCGCACAATACGTTGTAGTGGAATGCAAAAATCCGTAATGCAAAAATCCTCAACTGCTTATTCTTTTTCTTGCACGTGCGGCCTAGCCAACAGTGGTCGCCATACGTATACAATAAAAGAAAAACGGGTGCTGCCATCTCTCGGCAGCAGCGCAAACTAGTCTCTGAACAAGCCTGGGTCGTTCAAAACAGCCAAGGGTCGAGCGAGGGTGCACTGACAAACTACACTCGTCCTAAACAGTTTGGTGACGGCTCTACGTGGATGATCTGGGCTCATCCAGAACGGTCAAAGAATTAAAAGTATTACAAAACAAAATACTTATTTTTTAAAGTACCTAAATACAGCAGATGTTTGTCAAAAAGACCACTTTCCACGAAAAAAAAAAATGCTCCTAGTCCAAAATGTGAATCTCGATGTATTGCAGAAATTTCGGGGAGGTAAGCTTATTTTGTGACCAACGTGCCCTTCCCAAGCACTTGACGAAGCAAGTTTTTGGGGAGCTCAGTGTTTCTTTAGCAGAGAATGGAGGCAAGACCCCACGCTCTGTCGAAGAATGCCGAACAGCTTGTTCTCCCTGCGAGGGGTGCACTCACGGGCGTAGTGGGAACAGGCGTCGGTGTTGTTGACGATGTCGTGCGGGTCCAAGTCCAGGAAGTGCTTGGTGTGCAGGACGCAGCTCTTGCTGCCCGGGCAGTACTCGAAGCCACGGCACCGGATCAGAGGGTGGTGCTTGCAGGTCTTGGCACACTCGGCTGCAGTCTTGACACCCGACTTGCTCTCGTCGCCACCAACGCGGCTTACGCTGCCGGGAAACTTGTCGAAGAACTGCATGTAAGATCCTGCGGACAAAGCCAGCCATCACTGTCGAGGGCTTTCTCTTCTCCGTCCTGTGTGCCGTCGTCGTGACATTTCAGACGGATTATTCGCAGCTTTCTAAAAAAAAAATAAAAGTGTGTCTCAGTAATACTTGATAAATGACAAGATGCATAATGTATTTCAAATGAGCTAGACGCATGCTGTGTGACGTCACAAAAGGTGACGCCATGTGACGCTGATATCATGTGACTTGGTGTCTCGTGTAATCACAGTCATGAGACGCCGTGACGTCAAGATCATTTAAGCAATATAGCTGCTATGGGGCTATATTGCTTACGTGACCTGGACACCTTCTCAGGAAACTCAGCCCCATGACACATTCGCTGTTAACAAACGTTTCTAGGATGCGGTTGCATCCTAGAAAAGTCATCTACTACGCTGTACCACCATGACATTGAATGTCTCTCTCAAATCGACTGCAAAATTCGGTGCCTGCACGCAGCAATCTTACATTTTCATTAAAGGTGTTTTTCTGAGGCGCATTTTACGTCATGAAGTTTCAAAGCTTAGATCAGCTCTTTCCTCCGAAAAATAAGGTCAATGAGACTGTCGTTGTCGGCTGCACCACAGTCGACGACGGAGTTATTGAGGGTCGTGCTTGTGGCGCCACCTTTCTATAGGCACAGCAAGCAGATGACGACGTCGTCTGCTCGCTGTTTCTGTTGTTTCACTTCTTTCTTTTTTTTGCCTGCTTAAAGATATTTGACATTGATCAGCCAATCGGTATGCTCAATTCTTCAACTCAACCCGATGCTGTTGAATGCAATGCCTTAAAGGCTGTTTCACACATTTGTGTTTGACTGTGCTCGAGTGCATAACATTTCCTTGTAAGGGCTTAAAGGCCGACCCGTGGAATTGTCTTGTGCAAGCTGGTTCCCAATTTCCTCTTCCGTTCCCTCTTGCACTCTTCTTTTCTCCTCTCCCCACAGGAGCGGGTCTCTGACCTGCTCCCCGCAGAAACGAGGAGGGTCTCCCTCTATCTTGAATAGAAAGGAAGAATCAAGGGAAAGTTTCATCCTTTCTGGCTGCTCGTCTGCCTTTAACACGCTGGCACACTGGACCCATCTATTTGGCTGCCCTGGAACACTTTTGATAGTGGCATTAATTGCGCATCATTCTTTGATTGTGGGCTTGAAATAATTCTGACAATGCTAAAGGTAGGGTTTTACATTTTAAGTAAATATCGATAAAGCCTGAAAAGTACAGCAGGCTCGTGATAAATCAAACTTCTATTTAGTTCAAACAAATATTTATATTTTGGTTGTCCCGCTATATTTTTTAATGTATTTACAAGCCGCTTAATTTGAGCGGTGTTTTCGTGTCATTCCTACTTTTTGTTCTCGCGCCCCCGTTAAGCGCGCTTCTTACCGAGCACCGATGCACTGCGGAGAAGCAACACCTGCAGAGCTCGCTTCCGTAGGTGTTGCGTCTCCGCACTGCGCTGGTGCTCGGTAAGAAGCGTGCTCAGCGGGGCTAATAGTCAACAATTGGCAAGATCAAATGTCTTGTCCGACGCCAAAAGCGGACGTCGAAAAATGCCATATCTCTAGGAAGGAAACAGACCCCGGAAAAGCACCCCTGGATTGGGAAAAAAACAAACCCCGAAAACGCGGAACCCTATTTACGAGCGACTTTTTCTCATAGATGCTGCGTCAATTTGACCTCGCAAAACCTACAGTCTAGTTCTACGCAGTTCCAGAGTTACCGGACAGAGATGGCTTCAGTGTGCAAGCATGTTTTCTAGTTTCAAGCGGTTACGAGGAAATCCAGCTCGTTCGGGTAGTCAAATGCAAATGTACAAACCAGGCTCAAAATGTTTCTTGGCTCCAGTGTAAACACTACTAGTCCTTGTGCTACGCTTTATAACTGAAAGCGTTTGTTACGAACGTTCTCTGGCCAAGGAGCCAAGCGAGCACGTGCTCAAAGCCGGGCGTTCGAAAGATGCGTTCTGCCGTTTTCACCTTGCCGCCGATTGCGGAGCACTTTCACGTGACATCGAACTATGTGGTCGTTGGACGTTGGCATGACGAAAGGCCTCTGTGCACTACGTATTCAACGGCATGCACGAGGCAGCTCATAACGACGAAATGGCAGTCATAATGACTTCACTGAAAACACCCTATGCGGAGAGCAAGTCGTCTGCTTCTTGCGTAGGAGTTGTGGCGACGTCAAAACGAGGCCGAGCTCCGATTGGCTTTGATTGAAAGGATAGTGGGTGGACCTTGATGCTAGATGCCTCGAGGTATACCCACTATTTTTTTCAATCGGCCATAAAGAGCTCGACGTTCTGACATCATTGCAACCCCTGCGCAAGAAGCAGACGAACTTGCTCTCTGCATAGCTAGGGTGCCCGAAATATGTCTCCGACTGCTGCGCTTGCCGTATCCAAAAGAGTGGACCCTCGATTTCTGCTCGACGACGTCGTACAAGTGTGACGCTATCCGACTGCATGACACTCTGGCTGTCGCCAATTCAAGACCACTTTCGACGCACGGGCGAAATAGGACACTTAAAGCACCAGTCCGAGACACGTTCCACGCATCATACTGTAGGTCGCTACACGAAGGCGACATGCCGTCGCTTTCCTCCTTCGACGTGACTCACTGATGTAGACGTTGCAGCGGGAATCGATCTCCACGTTCTCGGGGTCGTCGTCGTCCATGACGTACGCGGAAGACAGGCGGCACTCCTTGGTCGTGGGGCAGTAGGAGAAGGATGTACACTGGGTGCCGCTCTCGGTGATGCAGTTGCGGTAGCACTGCTGCACCGACGAGATCTCGGTGCTGGTGAAGAGGGGCACTGCCTTCATGGTGGTCTCCTTCTTGAGGGACAGCGTCTTCTGGGGCAGGGCCAGTTCGTAGAGAGCCGCTTTGCTGCGCTCTGCGAGAGGAATTCGAGCCGTTACCCAAGGTACGGTGCAAGTTGCTGTCAGGCACCAGTTCGTCTTATTAATTCATTTTAATTGAATCAGGCGTTCGTTTAGACGGCCGCAAGTTAATCAGCTCCAATAGACAGCTGCAGATCTAGGCTTGACATTTACATATATGTATTAAAAGGGCACGGAAGTGGCGTCTGGTTGGTGAAGGTGATTGCCTGCACCAATCGGACGTCGACCCAGTCCTCCGGGTGTCACGACCGCACGCCAGTACGGTGCTCATCTGGATCGAAACGGGCAAGGGCGGGAGTGGAACCCAGGATCCTTGGGTCCTGCCGCATGTGCTTCAAGCCGGGCACTGATCCCTCTTAGTTGCATTAGATTACTAGCAGAGACATAAGTTATCATGTTGCAAGGAGTTTTTGTCTTCACACTATATTATACCTAACCAACCTGTTTGTTTTTTTGTTTTTGTTTTTTTCACATTTTTGTTGTGTTATGTTGGGTTTCAATGAGCTTCTGCTATGTTGTCTGGAAAGCGTCTCCAACCAGTCTGTTTACCGCATCGTCACTTTGGCCCCTTGGGTTTTGCTCAGCAACGTCGCACCTGTCATGCTGTTGCTTCCCTCCTTCCTGGAGAAGTGCGTATGGCAGACAGTCGTTCTGTGGTAGATCGAACTGCAGCCCAACAATTGACAGAGAGGGCGCCAGCCACGAGCTGAGATGTTGTAATGATGGCTCTGTCTTCTTCGCTGGCACTTGTACAATTAGAATTGCCATGATTGTGACGACCGACAGCAAAACAAACTACTCATGAAAGTGCTTGCTTATGGGTTTTGTGTACCGCCAAAGCGGCGCAGAAGTGACTACAATGGGCGCAGCGGGGCTGAGAGGGAGGATCAAGGGACGCAGCCGCAAAACGAGAGCGCCAGGCCCAGCAGCAACAGGAAGCCATTTTTTTTTTTACAAAGCGCCAAGCTGGCAGTTGAGCACCAGTTCACGACCAATCTTTTCGGTGCGGTGTGTAACGTGTGTGACTGATTGGATTCAGGTGGACCTGAGCAAAGGCACTCTAGATGGTGCACATTTAACTCTTTCCTGACCACGGGAAAAGGAGCAATTTTCAAAGGATCCGTGCAAACGCTTTTATTTTCCCAACTAATTTGTGTATGAGGCAATATGACTCATCAAAATGTGGCTAATTAGTTGTTTTTTTTCAAAAGAAACAGGGGCTGCTATAATGTGGGAAAAAGATTGTACAATTTTATTTCTTGAAAATATGTACAATGTATGTGTGGAACTTGTGTACAGTGTATAACACATATGTGTAAGACGTATGTGTACAATGTACAACACATACAATGTATGTGTGGAACGCCAAAACTTCTACAGCTATGTCAAGTTAAAGTACAAATAAATGAGAATTTTGAATATACAAAATGCGCCACACACTTACAACTATTACTTCTGAAAGTTGGTGTACTCTAACTGACGTTGTCTATTTTTGGTTTGTAGGAGAGTTAGCCTCCGTAACATGTGAGCTTTTCAAGGAAGGAATGCTTCTATTGGTGAAACACAGATAGTACATTTCACATCCCCAGCAGAATGCTTTCTTTGTGTTCTACCTTGGTTTCGTCATAGCCTCGATTGCAGTTCCATCATATTTAGCATTTTGTCCAGCTTGTGGGGAACATAAAACGTGAATGCCGGCTCAGGGCAGCCTTGGAAATTATAGTAATGCTTACCGACAACCATCTGTTAAGCAACGCCTATAACATAGTTTAAAATGTCCCCAGATCCCTCGAGGTCTGTGGACACTGACTCACCGTTGAAAGGACTGGCATCCGTGTTGAACTTGACGGCTTTGTAGGTGATTTTAGTCTAGGAGGGAGAACATGGATTAGCACGGCTTTTCACCGTCGTCTTCTCAGTCATTCTGGCTTCGCACTCCCGAAATACAGTCTGGGGATCGTTACTGCATGCCAGAACAGCAAGGCTCATTTCAACTAGCGTGCACAAGTTGCTTGCAGTGCTGTCAAAGGCACGGGCACACTGTTCTGCACTGTGCTTGGCTTGCAAAAGCTGTCTTGCAAAAAAGCACTTTTTGAAGCCACATGGTTGTGCCCGTATTTGTCGCAACGTGTAGGCTCGTGTTTCAAAATATTTTTAATGCGAAAGCATTAACTGCCTCATGAAGCTAGCCAACGTCATCAGTTTGAAGTGCGAAAACGGCACCTTAAATCCTTTCTCCAAGCAAAGCCAACTCTCAGCTATGAAACAACATGCAAAGCCTAGACACGGCACCTAGTTTCCTTGATTCCAAATTAGCGAAGTAAAGCTGATGTATTTTCGGCTTCAATCTGATTGGCTGGTGCGTGTTGACAAGGCTCCCATTGGCCGCTGCGCGTCAGTTTGAACGATCGCTCACCCGATGGCGCTGTGTGCCTGCAAGGCAGCGGCTCCACCATTCCACACCCAAGGTCAGCACGCCATATGCCGCAGACGGCAGAAGGGAGCGAATTCACAACTCATAAGAAGTGCTTAGGTGTACCTCGAGCCTTTTTTTTTTATGGTGTCCTGTTTCTTGGGCAGCATTCTCGTAATTCAAGCTCAAGACTTGGAACTCTCAACTCTATTTGTCAGACTAGAGTCTGCACAGGATATTTAGCAGCCAATTGGTGTTCCTTTTGCATATAATTTCTCATTGTTCTTTATTTTCTTCTTTCTCTGTTTGGTATGCACCTAGACAGCCCCAATACAAGTGTGGTAAATAAAGCCCTTTGATAAAATTCATGCTTAACATTTCTTACAAGCATTGTGCAAACATGCGGGAAGCGTGACATGAGCGAACACTCCGCCGCCGTTTGCTTTCAAAGGCCACACGAGGAACGGGTGCTTTTGTCGCTACTTGTGAGACAAACATGACAATATCAAGGGGCTTTAGTGGCAACAGTTATGTTGATTCAAACTCCAGAAGGTCACAAACTTTGCTCAAATTATTGGAAGTTTGAATTATCAGAAATTTGTCTCAGTGTGATGCAAGGTAAAATTATGATTTGTTATATGGATGGCTACACATTTGAAGCAGACATCTAACGATTTTATCTACCCAGGCCTTTCAATCGTGAGCAGGTATGCTGCACATGAAAGACTGGCGAAATGTAAGAGAAAGTTTATTCATCCCTCAAAAATGTTGTCTATTGTGAGACTGTTTAGAGAGTGAGTGACCCCTTAAAGTATGAAATATCCAAGTTTGAATTATAGCGAGCCTACCGTATTCGTTAGGTGGAAAAATCTTTCACTAACCCCTGTTTCGCCGTCGACTTTGACTTCAAGCCCCTTCTTGACTTCGGCTTGAATACTGTCGAGCACAGCGGAGATTTCTTTGTAAGGCAGCGACATGTTGGCTTCGGACTCTGAAATGGCAATTATTAATCTTAGGCGCCGCGTTACCCGTGGCAGAGTAAACTATTTCATTAGTGCCTGGTATTTGCTCGTTGCCATGTACAGATTGTGTGCCCCTCCAAAATTTTATTGTTTTCTCTGCAAAAGTAAACTGTGCATCACCAAACGCTCATTCTTTACCCAAATGTTGCACTGGTGGTCCGTATCGGATACCAAAGTTGCATAGCTCACCGTCGTTTTATTCAGAAGTCGTAGGGAATTTTCTGAAACTTTCAACGGGACAATGGGGCCTTGTTACTGGTGTCAGACGCGATTCATCTCCACATATAGGTCACTATTTTCCCGTTGAAACTTTCCGAAACTTCTTCCAGCATTCATTTGACACCATAAAACTTATCGTAGATTGCCGTGCACAAGTTGTACTCCACAAGCACCAACATGAATGGATGGATGCTAACGGCTGTACCCTTTATAACGGGCAGTAGCTTGCGCCACCTAGCCTAGGTCCCTTTCTCAGTGTTGCCAGTTGACCCTTTCAGTTGGAGCATTACGGTAAGCACCAGACAAAGGATTTTAACCTATAGTTTAGGTTACTAATTCAGCCACATCTATCGATGTGTCGAGCGCGTTTCGGCGACCATTGAAATTTCGCCAAATTAATGCCTTAACCGTTCTGGACAAGCCTAACTCGTCTATATGGAGCCGTCCCCCAACCGTTAAAAACGACTATAACTCGTCTGTTTTCCCCGGTTCACGCACTCCAACATTTTGGACGAACCAGGCTCGCTCATGGCTTAGATTGCAGCTGTGTGAACAAATGGCAACCCTGAATTTTCTTAAATTTTGCTATCATTTGTTTGTGGCTAGAAATATGATTTTGAAGGCAGCAAGCTTGAATTTGAAAACAACAATAATGAAGTGGCTGAGAGTCAGAAATTCAAAAAAAAAAATTGAAAACGGTTAAGAAGTTAAAGAAAGTGGCCCGTTTTCCCACGGATTGAAATAATGATGCCACATGGCACGGTTTTGTGTACATTCAACACGCACTGCACCGCCCATAAGTTAGTAGAGCCTTCCCCCCCCCCCCCCCCCCTCTCCCTTAAGCTGGTAGGAGATTGAGCACTGGATTACAAATGGACCTGTCGCAAAACAAGCAGTGCAGGTACGGAACCGGTTGATGACGAAAAACATGCAGCGAGCATACCGACAGCATGCTCTCCTAAGGGGGGACACTACCTGGACATGTCTACTTTTGAACTGCTCACTCATTCGGCGAGAAATTTGCCGGTGGTGTTTGTAGCCATATAGAAGGAGGGCATGCAAAGTTTCAACCCTGTGAGCCAATTTTATGAGGTAGTATACCCTCAGAACGTAGTTTTGTATGGAATCTGCTCAAGGAATCTATCGTTGAGAAATGGTGTTGATCACCACATAGTTTTCTGATGGAATGCATACCGGAATACTTGTTGCCGGTTACTAGGAAAAGAAATGTAAAAAAATATGCATTTTTCAAATAAAAAAAAATTCATGAAAGTTTTTTTTTTTTTTTTTTGCATTTGCTAATTACAACTTTTTATAATAAAGGAACATGAAAATGCAAAATCTAAGTTCATAGTAACTGGCTCGATAAAATTTTGGCATATAATCTGCAAATATTGAGTCTCGGTAGTTTCACACTGAAACAGTAGTTTTACTAAGGTGGGATTTGCTGCCAAAAGTGAAGCTGAGATAAATGCCCTTGAAGTTTCTAGACAATGTTTTAAAAATTTCTTTTCGCAACTTAAATGTCAGAAATTCTTTCCAGCAGTGTAGGTGATGTCTTCCCCAAACGTCTGATATACTGCCATTGCTTTCAACTATTTCCACTTATGGATGACGAGTGCTACGCAGTGCAGCACACCTCACCAAGATATAAAGAATAATTATTTTTGACATTGTTTGTCCGTGCACATTGACGAGACTTTCTGAGAGTGTTCCTTGTTATTCATACATTCCAAATCTCTGCAGTTCTGAATATGCATTTTTTGGAAAAAAAGGTGCTGTAACAAAAAAGGAAAACGGTAACAAAACGTTGTTTTAGCAGTCGGTGTTAAACGCTCGCGCCAGATTATGCTCTTTCCGGCGCTCCAGAACGAACAAAAAAAAAAAAAAGCGTTGGGAACAAGGGGTCAGATGTCATCACCCTAATGAAAGCGCACATGAAGCCATTTTAGGTGAGGAGATGGCGTCGCGTGGTAGATACTGCTGGGGCAAGGTACAGGACTGCACGCAGCGTTTGGGATTTTTTGTGGGCTGGTTATGCACTCACTGTAGTACTGCTGGCAGCCATACACAGTGACGGGCTTTCCCCAGAATAGCCTCAAGGTTGTTGGGGCCATGTAGCACTCATGGTCGCAGTAGAGGAAAGTCCTGCGTGAACATGGAGTGTTAAACTCAAAACATGGAACTAAAAAAATAAAAGAAAACATTTTTCTACAGCTGTGTGGATGGGACACGAATGTCCCAAAGAAAGAAGAGTTTTTATGCAATGTTTATGTCGCGAGACATATTTTAAGTTCGGCGAGATTGTGATATTTTTTTCAGCACATGGACCCGTTTTGGATCCATGTTTTCAAATTGCTCCAAGAGACACTGACCTCCCAAAAAGTATGTTTTTATGTGCCTGTACCAGGGTGTAAAATAGACAGGTGGGGAAACGGCCCATAGAAGCCTACCGCAGCGCCGTGACCGGATTGTGTACTCATCTGCTTGCGGGTACCGCCGATTTGCGACAGATGGCGCTGCGGCGAGAAGAAAAAAATCAGAATCGGAGTTACATGGAACTCTATGGGAGAGTGCGCAAAACAAACCGAGAGCACGACAGTCCTCCACTGAAGATTTACGAGAAACCATCTCCGTCAGTTTAGCCGGTTGCCACCGGTCGCCCGCCCGGAGTGAGAGTTTGCGGTGCTCCACATAGATGGCGCCACAAAAAAAACAAACCGAGGGGGACACAATCCGGTCGATCATTTGGCTCTCGTTTCCCCACCTGTCTATCTTACACCCTGGCCTAGACTGTAGATACATGACACAAAATGAACTATCATATTGCAATACTATATTTACAATGCAAGTTTCATTTTGATTGAGGAATGATTTCAAGACATGGTTCTATTTGGGCCTGGCATGCCATTCCGAAATAGAAGCTTCTTGTGACACTCAGAATGAGTCTCAGGGCCATACATAACATTGCATTCAAAATTATTTTCTTCAGGAAAAGTTTATGTTGTGATAGACACGTTCTATCCAGGTACTTCGAAAAAATATTCTCGCAGCGTTCAATGTCTCTTTAAAGGGGCTCGACACCTTGAGAAAAAATTCTTTTTTGCTAGAATGTAACCTGTAGAAACCATCCAAGGAACATTTTCTTACTAAATATGATGGAGTCAAGATGAAAGCAGGGTACTGGCACGGTGGAACGCCACTTCAAAAACATAGTAAACGGCACAGTTGGAATCGCGGCCAAGACCGAATATGTTTTGTCGGAGACGCAGGACACTTTTTGTCGGAGGCACTTACAGACACATTTGGTCGTTGAAGCACTCCTGGGCACATTCCTCTTGCGAGGGCATCTTGACGAGATGTTTCATACTGCTTCCGGGGAACACGGAACCCGCCGATTTGAGCTCCACAAACCTCGCTGCAAAAGTAATCCTTCTCGTCACTGTGCGTAGCTCTGTGTTCGAAACCACTAGACATACAGTCTAAGCTCGTTATAACAGACCTTGGTTTTGACCAAGATTTCAGTCTGTTGTAAAAGGAGTATGTTGTATGCAGATATGAAGTTGAGTCAATGGTACATAGAGGAAAACTAACCGAACTTCACAAATCAGTATGTTATATCCAAATGCCTGTTGTAACCAGGTCTGTTATAATGAGCTTAGATTGTAATAATGAATGTATGGGAGCAAAGGGAACAGTGTTTTCCTCACTGCCAAAATAGACTATGCATCCCCGTCTGCTTAGTCTATGTCCGATCGTAGCGGTAGAGACCAGGTGCCAAAATTTTGGAACTTACTTTTTTCGGAAATTTTTGTCGAAGAAATGAGTACCGACAAAGCCCGAGAGTCGACGGAGAACGCTGCCGAGATTGTGCCCCATTTTTGCAATGAAAATCGCCTGTAGCTGTCAAATTAGGTAACAGCAAGTTCTGGAACTTTGGCAACATTTGGGTAAAGACTGAGCGTATGACGACGCATTTCCTGGTTTTGTGGCGAGAAAAACGCGGTTTTCTTTTCTTGCTTGGGCACAAAGAGAACACTACATTTGTAGTGGGAAAACCTGGTGCTCACACTTAAGTTATAAAGCCCAGTGAATGTTAAAAGTGTAACGTATTTTCCAGTGTATAAGACACTTTTTTCCAAACTTTTCGGCAGTGCGTCTTATACACAGGTGTGTCTCGTATACTAATTTTTACTTAGAAACTTGCGAAAAGTGGGGGGTGCATCTTATACACCAGAAAATGTGGTATGTAAAAGGGTTGCAAATCCTCCATAAGTAGGGTGACCAGACGTCCCGTTTTGGCCGGGACTGTCCCGTTTTTGAGGTCCGTTTCGGCCGTCCCGTCTTTTTGTCCCAATAAAGAATCATGTCCCGTTTTCGCAGGAGTGCATAATTTCGAAATTGGCACAAAGCGAGTTGAAGCAAGTGGACACTATGCCAACTTGTTACGAGTATATTTAACCAAAAAAAACGTAGGTACTTTAAAATATTTACCCAGTAAAATTGAGAGAAACTGTTCTTGCCCACAAACACGTTTCTTTGTATTGACTCGTCAATAGAAATATTTTTTTTTTGTTACTGAATACAGCACGCATGTAGTACGTTAACGCTTTGAAATAGCAGATCTTGCATTAAATTTTTTCTCTAAATGTCAATCTTTAGTATGCCCCCCTCCTCCCTCTCCTCCTCTTCTACCTCCCCCCCCTCCGGGCTGGGATGTCCCGTTTTCTACCTTGAGGAATATGGTCACCCTATCCATAAGCCATTACAACAAAAATGTTAGTTTAGGTCGTCCTGACGTGCATGAACAAAGAGACCGTCTTCACCTGGGACAAAAGTACAGACACACAAGTTGCTGCTAAATAAACTGGGAGTCGCTCTCACTAATTTGGAATCAAATTATCCATAACCCGATTATGATTGGTGACGTTACGGTTATTCTCTTTCTTGCTCTCTACGGAATGTGTGCCGGCGCAGTGTGTTTAAATATCATCTCGTCCCTTTCCTGGTTGTCGCGTCACGAAAGTGAATGCTGCGTGCCATGGCACTTACTGATGGCGGCTTGCTCGGGAAGAAGGAGGCCCACAACATGGAGTGTAGCATTATCGATGAGACCAACCTGCCACGAAGAGAACAATTGGAATGTTGAGTTGTACGAGGCATTGTCTCAAGTTCTGCTTCCGCTGCTCATTGGGTATCCCATGCTGATGGGAAACCGAGCAGAAGACCAGCTTTGGCCTACTGCCACGGGACGAAACTTCCGGGAAGAAACTTGGCTTAAACGGGGCACGTTTATCCACAAACTATGTGCTATATCAAAATCAATTGGTTGATTAATTCGCTTTCCAATAGTAGTTCCAAATAATACGCTATTTAATATTCGCTTCAAGATAAACTGCAACCGTCGAATGAACTTTTTTACTGAGCACCGGTGAACTGAGGAGAAACGGCCCTCGTTGAGCTCACTTTCACGGGTGTTGCTTCTCCGCAGTGCGCACCGGTGCTCGGTAAGAGGCGCACCCAACGGGATTAACCCGCCCCGATTAACACTTACAAAAGTATGAATATTGCAGTCACGTGCTAAGGAGAAAGGCACACTTTCAAAGCGGGATGGTGCATGTGTGAGCTTGATGTATTTAAAAAAAATATGGGAACTTTGTGAATGTTCATATCTACATTACATTAAATTTTTCAAAATAAAACTGGCTATTATGCAAGAGTATATGTTAGGCAGAGATGCCCTGACAACTGGTGTTCGTCGGTCATGATATCTTCTTTTTTTTTTTTTAATTCGGGATTGAAGAAATAATTGCGAGGAGATTTATAAATCACTTTTATTAGGTATAGCTGGGCACCTCTATAGGTTTATTTTTATGCAGATTGTGTGGTTGCAGAACATTTATGTGTATATGAGATGTGTCATCCTAATGTAGACATTGGATTTCCCGGAGCGACAGTTCATAAATATACACCCTTCCAAAGAAATGCTCCTAGGCCGCTGCCGTGCTGCTAATGATGATGCATCTGGTGCGACTCTCGCACCCCCTATCAGCTAGAGATTTTCTGCCACTCTCTTGGGCTGTAGAGACCTACTCACGCGATTCTCCACCTTGAATACGGTTTTGCACCCAAACTTTTCCGGCCCCTCTTGAAAGTTTCTACTTAATTTTTTTTTATGCACGCTGCATATCCTTTTTGTGTTACCTTCCACAGTGAAAAATAGGGCTGGCAAGTGTAGAAATTCAGGTTAGTTGGTAGTGCCTGCCATTCAAGCGTTTCTGCTCGACATGCACAGAAAACGAAAGAGGGGAAGGAAGTTGAACGGCCCTCGATGCCATTTTGCGAACAGTGACAATTGTTCTCCCCCCTTCAAGAGATAAGCCGCGTAGGGTCCTTCTCAGACTCAGCCAAAAATAGTTGTTTGGGTTTGGAACAGGTCAGTCAAATCCGTTCCTTTGCCTTGGTGCTGGTGTGAAAAAAAAGAAGCTCTCCCCAAAATGTGCCCCAAAAGAAAGTCCTCTAGGATTCCGCCGCGATCGTCAAGGTGTGACTGTCGCTGACACTGTAGTGCCGTGTTATTTGAGATATTTCTCAAATAAATCCTTTTTGGATAGCACTGCACCGTCTGGTACATACAATATATTGTTAGAACGTTAACACCTGCTAAATTGTATGTCCAAGTCCTGACCATCGGTAAACACGTTATTTGTGTGCATGAAAGATGCGTGTCTTTCGGCTATCTTTTGTTGTAAATTATTTTTGACCACTAAGCGCTTTGTCGTCTGACACGCGGCTACTTGGGCGCCGCCGTCAAAACTTATCGTAATATAAAATGAACATTCTAGTCGCATTCGTTCTGTCGCACGCATACCCAACAAAAATAGTTTACAATTTTTGCTTGTTTCAAATGTGGTACAACGCTTTCTCAATGTCCTTGAAAAAAATCCATAAAACGCAAAAGAGTGCAGGAAAAGACGAGTATCTAGCCGCCAGCAAGTTTGAAGTTCCGCCTATCAAAATCACAGTCCACTCGATAAGGGTTAGCAGGGACGCCTGTAAGAGACTAGCCTCGAACCCAGTGTTTGGGCTCGAAAAAGGTTCTTTTGTTCCTGGGGCCGAGTGTTTCTTGGAAAGGTGTATAGGTTGGAAAAGGTTATTTTTTATAAATGGAGAAGTGGATGTGAGAAAAAAACCATAATGGTTTGAAAGAATAGTTTTTCCAAGCTTTTCACTACTGTTGCATCATGCTTAAATGAAAACCCGGCTAAACTTGTGAAGCATGTTTCCAAGCTTCCACTTGTCTATTTATCAGCTAATTTTAATTTAACTATATTTAAAGACTGACCCTAGAAAAAAGTTCAACGCCTTGGGACGGCAAGTAAACAACAAATTTGACGTGAAATAAAACCTATGATGCCCAGCTATACCTAATATGGTGAATTTACAAACCTTGATATATGTGAATTTCCTTTCTTAAATGTCAAATTTAAAAAAAAAAGATATCACAAATGATGAGTGCAGTTTGTCAAAGCATCTCTGCAGTTTAATTTTGAAAAATTTACTACAATAAGCATATCAACATTTAGAAAGTTTCAGTTTCTTTTTGCATACACTAGGCGCGCGTGTGCACCATCCCGTTTTGAAAGTGCACTTTTCCCCCAAGCATGCAATTGTAATCTTCATACTTTTCCAAGCGTTGATCGCGGCGGGTTACCCCTTTGAGTGCGCTTCTTACTGAGCTCCGGTGCACTGCAGAAAAGCAACAGCTGCAGAGCTCGTTTCCGTGTATGTTGCTTCTCCCGACTGCACCCGTGCTCGGCCAGAAGCGCACTCAACAGGGCTGACCCGCTGCGATTAACACTTCAAAAAATATAAATATCGCAGTTCATCTGGAAGCGAATATTGAATATGCAGTGTATTATTTAAAACTACTATTCGAAATTTGCAATATTCGCACAACACTACAACTGCAACAAAATCAGAATGCAAAAGAAATGAAAACTACAAAAGGAATGTCCTATTGCAATGAAGTCGTAACGAAAAAATCTGGCTGTTTTTTTTTCAGTGCGGCGGGGAGTATGTTGATAAAAAGTTGTTAATTAAACAGTACTTTAGATTTACTGTAATTCTTTCTTTTGCATTGTCATCAGTGATGGGATGAATTGAATAATCAATCCGCCATGTTTAAAAATACATCTATAGTGGTAAAGAAGAACTATTATGATTTAAATCAAATTAAACAGATTTAAATCAAATGAATTGATTATTTATTTTAAAAAATATTTAAAAAAAAATCCTAATAGTGACTATACCTGTCTTAAAACGGTATCGCTCAATGTACCTGTCTTATACCGTCTTGTACCCATCTTAAACTGATAGCCTGATTTAAACTGCCTTAAATCACTCAATATCCTTCTGCGAAAGGGGGTAACGCCAAGTACGAGACTTCCCTGGAAGGACGAGGCTCACCTGGAGTCGTGGGATTCGCAGCGGAGAGATCTCGGCAGCTGTGTACATTTTTTCCCAGAGGGTTTCTGACAGCTGGGTGTAACTCTTCCAGATGTCTGTTCCCGACACCTCCTGGTCAGCTGAAATATGCGGGTTGCAGATGCATTGTCTCAGGACCCCCGTGACCGTTCCTCACACAGGTGCCATGTGGCACCACATCGCACAGTCATACTATAGTCGTGCTATGCAGAGGGCAAGTTGTCTGCTTCTTGCGCAGGAGTTGCATTGACATTGCAACGATGCCAAGCTCCGATTGGCCATGATTGAAATGGTAGTGGATAGACCTCAACGCTAAATCCCTCAAGGTCTACTCACTATTTTTCTCAATTAGCCAATAAGAGCCTGGCATTCCGACATCCTTGCAACCTCTGTGCAAGAGGCGGACAAACTCGCGCTTCGTGCCTTGGACAGCACCAAAGCGTTGTCGAAGGTGGTAAGCTCGCGCTGGAGGCAAGAAAACTGAAGTTCTTATTTCGTCGGTGACTAGGAGTTATCTCTACCGCTCATAATGCATATGAGCTTGTTTTGCATTTATCGTATTTTCCAGTCTATGAGTATAAGTTGCATCCCCGTGTAAACATCCAGTTTTCTCAGAAGAAAGTTGGCATACACGGTGGGCCACGCCTTTGTACGAGTCTCGCTTGGTTACAAGGTACCACGAAGAATGGCACGCAGTCGCTGCAGCTGCGGGCCTCTGCTGCCATGCTTCGGATGGTCTTCGGACCGCCGGAGAAGTGAGTCTTCAGGTGTGCTCTGCCATTCCTTCTTTCTCATAATTGTCAATGTCTTGCACACTTAAAGTTCAAGTTTGTAAAAAAAAAAAAAAAAAAAAAAAACGAAACACCATATAAGTCGCACGGCTGTGTGAGACGCTACCTATACGCTGTCAAATGTGGTATTTTACTGATTAGCTTATTTTGTGCCTCGCCTCATTAATTAGCTTTCTCCGCCAACAACCGACAAGGTTCTGAATTTATTCTGAATTTAGGTGTGACCCCTGAAGCGAGGAGTTACTTTCGAAGTGGAGTTGTTCACTCTGCTTCGGTGAACGTGTGCTTCTTACTGCTGTTTGCAAATGCTTAGGTACTATCTGTCATATTTTGATGCTCGAGTGACCCTTGGCAACCGTTAAATCTGGTACATACTACCGTAATATCTCAAGAGAGAGATAGCCCACCTAAAATCAAGATCAAATCAAGTGAAAATGAGGAGTGGGCTAATTTTCAATGTATAAACAAAAAAGTAAAATAAGACAAAAATCTTTTAGCAAGTGGATGTGAAGGTGCGTTTATGCTTCATTTAGGCAACTACTGAGATGAAAAGGTCTATAATAACGGTCAAACAGTATTATGTCCACAAGAGAGTGACCACCGCAGCCATACTGGCAGTAGCGTCTAATTGACTACAGAGCCGTCTCTGTAGTCAATTGGGAAAGTTTGGCCAGTGGGTGTGCCGACGAAGGCGCCGGAGAGGAGAAAAGTAAATGAAAGGGAGGAGAGCGCCGAAGGAGCGAGAGAGAAAGAAGGGAGCAGAGAGGAGACGACCGCCATTTTTTCGCAATGCTGTTGGAGACTGGTCGGAGAAGAGCACTGCTGAGGCTACGCGTCGTCTGCTACGGGCCGACTTCTTTTTCGCCTGAATAAAAGTTTGTGGCCATACGTCAAGAAAACTTCATTTATTAGCTTTTTAACCCACCGAGGAATGACAGTACTATATCATTTTCTTGCCAGAGCCAGCGAGATTTGGATGCCAATCCCATGCATTCTGCCAGGAGAATGAACGAAAATGGCGGCCCTCCCCGCTCAGCTGGGAGCGGCCAGGAGTTCACGCGCATGCGCTCATGCCTCTCGCTCTGTGCCGTGTGCTGATTGGCTCACTCGGGAGGAGAGCGGTACGGCGACGAGATCATAGACTGACCGAACTCTCCCCATATACAGCTCTGATTGACTAGGGTCAGCAGATGCATCATTTAGTTTGTTTCTCTTATCAAGTCTGAACAATAGTAAAAAGAAAAAAACAGCATTATTGAGCACGAAAAATAAATATTTCATGCTAAGTGATTACTGGTGATTTTTTTCTGAAAAACAAATTACAGCTTGTTTTCATTTTAGAAACAGGAAAGGGGCATACTCATCAGAAACATTTCGAAGTATGTCTTGCTGACAAAGCAGTCGCTGATGTCCATATTCATCAGGAAGCCTTGGTTGTATGTCTTTTCCTCAGTAAAGTCGAAATAACTGACAGCCAGGTAGAAATCGGGCTGCAACAGAAGAATGATGACAAGATTGGTCCTACAGGTACAGGAATGGTGATTGCACACTTCCATTACAAGACGTGCAGTGGAAAAAGTTCTTAAGGAATAAAAAGCTTTTGCAAAAAACATCCAAACAGAAGAAAGAGCAAAAACACCAAACCCGAATTTCGCTAACTCGAAAAGCTAACATTAGTTTTGACGAATGAGACATCTAGAGTGTCAGCACACGCCAAAACTAATCTGAATTCAGGAAGAAATGACTAAAGACGGTACCAGAAAACAGCAGGCTATTCTTACGGCATACAACCTAAAAGCTTGGAGGTTTGAGGACGTAATGCTAGTAAAACAATCTTATCGGTTTGAATCTGTCAATAACAAACTTTTCATAGTTCGTTACAAACTTGAGTTGCACTCATAAGTGGAAGCAACAAGAGCTCGACTCTTACAGCACATGAGCAGGGTTCCACCTTCATGACTGGAACTTTTCGGGTTAGTGTAAACCTGCAAATTGTTTGTTTGGTTTCTCATATTCTCTAAGGTGGCCTTCTTGTCTTCTCTTATGTAAAGTGATTTTGCCCAGTGCTAATGGGTTCAAGCTAAGGAGATTCTACTAAAAACTTAAAGAAAGAACTAACCATGCAAAGGTTGTTCACGGTTGACCGGGACTTTCGTTCCTAGACAGGAGATGAACAACCTGACAAGCACGAAGCCATGTCGGATTTTCAATGTATTCCCCGTACGCATCTAGGCTCCGCTGCCATTCTCCTGGCCATTCCATGATTCTTTTAGCGTACAAAAGACCAAGCTGCGTGACTCCGGTCGAATTTATGTGCTCGTGCGGTTCATTCATCACCAGCTGTGTCGTCCTTTGCCAAATTGTTAGCACCATTCGTGTTGTGCTTACAAACTTTCCAATGAGCTGATTTCACTTTTTCCTTTCCCAAATATTTTATTTTGCACCGCTGCTCATGGTGGAAAGAAATGTGCAGACAGATTTCTTTCTGCTATAGCTGGAACAGCTGAAGAATTACAATAAAAAGGTTCCGCGAGGACGGTGATTTTCTGAGCTACCCCAACTACAAACTATATTTTCGGAATCACCAGCCTTTACCCGTTCCGATATGCTATTTAGTATCACGAAATTCAGAATAGTTATTGTAAAATTGGCAAGTGAAAATGATGCCAAAATCAACATTCAAATATACCCGCGCTTTTCAGTTCCGTGACGTCGGGGAAAGGCAGGCTTGCAGGTGAAGCCGGCAGTCTAAAAACGGAGTATGCCGAGCATTTTTTTCGTGCTGCTGCGCGGGTGATGGAGCAAGCTTTCAAAGCATTTGTTTGACATCATAAAACTGCTTGTAATCAGTTGGGAACAAGGTCTACAGTTGGGAACAAGGTGGAGACTTTCACTTTGAAAAACGCAGTGAGGACCAAAAGTGCAAATTCAATAACTTTGCAAAAAAAATTTGATTTCGGCCCAATATTTCGGTTACTAATTTAGATATGTTTGTTAGTGTGTTAGCAAATTTTAAGGCAAGTTGAGGACTACAAAGAAAACGCCGGAGACAAAAGTTTCATCTTGCTGCACTTGTTCAGCGATTTCTTATGGACAAAAGTCCCGGGGAACCTCGAACGACCCTTGTAGAAGGACGGAACACGGACCGCATTTCTTTCGTGGTGTTCGTATTCCACCCTTCTACATTTAATTTTTACGATCGACTCGCACACCCCAAAAAGTAGACTCTACTATTCTTAGCTTTGTACGCTTCTTTGTATGCCTCGCAGCGTACTCCTCTGCTGGAAAAGATGGGATGTCTAATTATGTCCCTTTCCTGGGGACCGTGTGCAGAGCAGATGACGTTGGGAATGCAGACTTACGGACCACACTCCGGTACTGTATATGTCATTCGTGGCACCTGCCATCGTCCTGTAGACGGGCACAAATGTCTCGTCTTCTCCGTAGCTCGTTGCATGCCACTTGAGCTGGGTGAAAAAGCAGGCGTACCTGGCTCAGATTTTGTTACGATGAGAGTTCTTCACTAACATGAGAAAGCCGTTTCACGCGTTTGTTTTTGACTGTGACCGGGTGTTTTGTGATCCTTCGTAATTGTTAAAACACCGACGCCGTCCATTGGGTAAACTTAAAACCCTTCCAACCCGCATGTAACTAGACCAAAGGTCTTGCAGTATTTGCAAGATTAAATCTATTTATGATAAATAGTTGCTCATAATGTTGTCACAATTATTTAATGCCCATGGTGAAAGAATTGTGCGCAAGAAATTATAAAAATATATATGCTGGTCAGAAGTGTTCCAAAGCTACCTGACTCTGGAGCGAGTTTTTTGCAAACCCGTAGAGGCCGGTTCGCAAGTTTGTGACTGCGACCGAGCATTGTGATTTCTTGCGACTGCTTACGCCGAGAGAAGACACCGCAGATCAGTAGAACGCGCCGCCACACTGGCAGCATTGTTTGGGCATCTCTGGAACCATTTATGACTAGACTGAAGATTTCCCAGTATTTGTGAGGTCAAATCCGTGCACTATTCATGAGAAATGGTCGCTTATAACGTCATCGAAAAGTATTTCGAGCCCACGATAAAATAATGGTGGGTAAAAAAAAAATTACGAAAGAGACCCAGTTCAAAAGTATTATAGGGCTGCCCAACAGACGATGCCCGTGCGCCAGCAGTTATGATAAAACACAACTCACTTGGCACAGTAGAACGCAAATATGTGAACCGACGTTAACATGTACATGTACAACAGATTGTATATTCCTAGATTTTCGCAAGGCTTTCGATACTGTTTCGCATTCACTTCTGCTAAATAAACTTAAGATGTTAAATATAGACTTAACGGTATCAAGATGGATTGAAAATTATTTGCTAGAGCATTGTCAGTGTGTATTAGTAAATGGTAAAAGTTCGACATACGTTAATGTTACATCGGGAGTCCCACAGGGCTCTGTCTTAGGGCCGCTTTTGTTCCTAATATATATCAATGATATTTCCTTGGGTATTTCATCTTGTGTTCGGTTGTTTGCCGATGATTGTGTGTTGTACAGAAAAATTAGTAACAAAGATGATATCACCCAGTTACAAATAGATTTAGAATACATTACTACGTGGTGCTCTACTTGGAAAATGACTTTAAATCCCAAAAAGTGTGTGCATTTATGTTTTACTAAAAAGAAGAAGAAAATTTAAACCCAATATTGTATAAATAACAATATAGTAAACAAGGACTCCAAGTATAAATACTTAGGTGTCACGTTATCAACTGACTGTTCGTGGAATTCACATGTGGATGACGTGATTGTAAAAACTGGCAGGGCGTTGAACTTTATTCAACGAAGCCTGAAATGTTCACTCCCTAACTTAAAGGAAACCGCATATTTAACATGTGTTAGGCCAATTTTGGAATATGCCTGTGCCGTCTGGGACCCGGAACAAAAAACATTAATAGACAAACTTGAAAAAATACAAAATAGAGCTGCTAGGTTTGTTCTGGGACGTTACGGGCGGAGAGAGAGCTGTACTCAAATGAAGACTGAACTGAATTGGGAACCTCTCTCAGCCCACCGTAAAAAAATTGTGTTTAAAGTTTCTGTTTTTGATATTTAAAAATAAAACTGGAATTAACAGTGAAACTTACTTAAAAGAACCATATTATATTTCTGAACGGAACGATCATGCTTTCAAAATTAGGGAGTTCCGCGCCAGGACAAGCATGTACGCCAACTCTTTTTTTGTTAAAACGATACGAGAGTGGAATGGGCTGTCGGAGCTGCAAGTGTGCAGTGAAAGTGAAGATGTGTTTTTTTCAGCGTTGTAACCCCCCTGCTGTAACGCCCTCGGGCACTGCGGGGTAATCTCTGAATAAAGAATAAAGTTTGCAAGTATGGTCATCGGGCGCCGCCATCTTGCTCGCTTGGGGTTCGCTTGGGCATGGCCGTCATCCGATTACGACGCCTCAAGGTGTCGTAATTGGATTACGGCCGTGCTTAAGTGCACCCCAAGCAAATAAGATGGCGGCACCCTTAGGCTGTTCTTGCAAACGTGTATATATACAACTCCACGAGCAAGTCGACGTGGTTGGACACAAGAAACGTGCATCTTCCGTCATTTCATGGTACATTCTCACCGTGGTGATGTAGAAAGTGGTTACAACACGGTTGAGTAACAGACCACTTCGGTGCACGTTTTCTTGGACGGATTCCCAAATGTCGCAGGCCACACCTCGCATTACGGTCTGGAAAAAAGACAAAACCAAAGCTCAGAAAGTCGCATTTTTGAATCGTAATAATCGCCATTAGACCCTTTTCAAAAGTGTGCGCCACCTAGAGGCTGCTTTGCAATTATCTGATTCCGCCGTCGCTTGGGCGTGCACTCCGAGCATGTACTGGACATGAGGGCTGTATCGGTTTTCGGCGAGTACTCGGTTACGGTGACTATAGCAGCGAAAACGGTGGCAATCAGTTCGTCAAACAACATTTTCTTGTCGGATCGTTTCGTTGACGTGCTACATTTTATCGACGCTTCATTTCGCCGAAAGGCTTTCTGCATTTGTTTTATTGGCAGACCTTGCGACGTTTTGTTAAACGCAACCCCGCTGTTTTCACAAACAAACTTTTAGCGTCTCGAAGAGAGAGACGAGGGGAGGCACCAGGGCTCGGGTAAACACGTCTCGGCGAGTCGTGCGCCAGCTTTCAGCAGGTTAGTAAAATGTCGTCAACGAAATGTCGCAGGGGCACATGTCCACGAAACGTACTGTGTCGACAAATCGTCTGTCCATGAAACGTGTGTCTACGAAAAGTTCTCCATGAAATATGTTTCCATGAAACGATAGGGGCCTTGGCGAAAACGTACAACGGCGAAATGGGCAGGTGGCATTACGGCACCTGGAGCGTGTCTCTGAACTGGTTTGATTGTCGCATCCTCGAAAGCGGCCCCTCCATTTCTGCCGGACGACATCGTGAAAGTGTCGCGCTGTCATGTGCCGTGATCCTGGCGGTGGCATGACAGCGGAGGCGGACACGGCAGATGTTTGTTCCGCCACAGGTAACTCTGCAGCCAGATAATCGATGAAACCCAAAGCAGACGCGAGTTGGGACGTCACGATGACGGCGACCTTCGCGTCCGCTCGCCCTTTTCGCCGACTAGGCCACCAACTTATTCTGTTTCACTTAGGACACTTGAAGTGATGTCACTTAATATTTTTGCCCGGGAACTGTGTAGCTACAGTCGCAGATGGGCTAATAGAATTTGTTTGGTGATTGTGGGCTCACCTGCCCGGCGTAGTAAAAATCGCCCGTCAAGGCCAGCAGCTGGGCCGGGCTCCTCATGCCCACCACTCCTTGCTCGGCCATGGAGACGGAGAACTCAGACTCTGACACATGCTGGATCGTGCAGCTGTCATCCTTGCTGAGCTTGTACATGACGCCTGGAATGGGAGGTTCCGGGCCACCACGCGGATGTAAGTTTTAGGGCAACCGTAATTCTCCGACTAGAGAAACGGGACATGGGGGGCAGTTTAGTGACGTTTTGTTGGGAAGCTAAGTCTCGCAGCTAGACATCAGATAGGAACGCCTGCTGTTCCCGTCCTGTCAGTGACTGTGGTAGGTTCCCTTCGAGTTTTCTCACACATATACAGATTATAAGGCTGCCATATCTGGTTTCGGCAAGGACTTGGCCAGATCATAACGGTTGCACTACACCTAGCTTTCGATGTCGGACACGGATTTGCTGGAAAAACAAACTACCAGAGTTGAAGTCGTGGATCTCCGTGACTCCTTGCACGTTCCTCATGTTGAGCTCCACCTTGGCAACCTTGTTGGTGGCATCGAACCAAATCTGAAAAAAAAAAAATACCCCGTTGAGTGTCGCATAAAGTTGAGAAGTACCAATTTCAATTTAGCATTTTTTGTATAAAAAAAACAAACAAGAATGCGTTTTCCGAACATTTTGAAGGAAATGCGGAGCTCAAGTTTGTCTGCTTTTTTTTGCAGGGGTTGCGGTGATGTCAGAACGCTAAGCCCTGATTGACTCTGATTGAAGGATTGTGGGTAGACCTCAAGGCAGACTGCTTTGAGGTCTACCCACTATTCTTCGAGCTCGGTGTTCCGACGCCTCTACAACCCCTGCAAAGGAAGCAGACGAACTTGCGCTCCACATAAGCATGATGGTGTGGCGATGATGAGCTGCCACTTTATGAGTATACCTTGCGCTTCTAGAACTGAACGCGAGGACTGGGGTTTTCGTGCGAGTACAAAGAAATGAGGACATAGTGTTTTGCTCCAATGCTCGGTTTGAATTATACCGGTTTACAAGTGCACGGGATACCTTGTTGAGTTCGAGGGCGTCCTCTGGTTTTCCGCCAACCTTCTTGAGGTTGTAGATCTCGTACTGGAACGAGATCTGATTGGGCAGGGTCGGGGGTGACTTTCCTTTGGGGTTCTGCTTGCCCTTGCAGCCGATGCCAGTTTTCAGCTGAAATTCAGTGAGGGTACTTTGTCAGTGCCAGCTGATGTACACTGATATGGATAAAAAATTTTAAAGTTCACAATTTAAATACATACTGTAGCTACTTCTATGGATAATACCCACACAGATTTAGGCAATTATGCTTTGCTACAAGCTTTTGAATACCCTCCTCAAAGAAGGTTACTACTTGTGTTCTCGGTCGATTCCATCACCTTGCGTTCAACAATATGGCAAGTTGCAGCAGACGTTCTTCCCTGATCCCCATCGTCAAGGACCTCTGTTCATCCTCACCAAAACTTGATGCTGTTTACAGAAGCGAATTTCCCATCCGTGGCAACTGGCGGTTTTGTTGACATGTGATGGAGTGACTGAGAACCCAGATGGCAACCATATTTATGGAGGGTACTCAAAAGCTTGTACCACGTAATAATTGCCTAAATCTGTGCAGTGATTATGTGGAGATGTAGCTAGATTATGTATCTATAGTTGTGTGCATACTAGAACCTTTTCAATGGCCCTCACAGAGTACTGTAAAACACTGGGCAAGCGCCCACCCAAAAATTGGAGATAACCTTGAAAAGCTGAAAAATGGGTGCTTGTTAGTTTTGAGCAGAAATGCAGAACGGGGCGCGCGATGGAGTGGGCTTCACTATTTTGCATTGGCATGCGCATGCCAGGATTCACCGCTTTGCACCGGCGAACTCTGAGAAGCAGCTGATACGGAGAAACGTCTCGATAAGCTAGATGGTCTCGGAAGTCTGGTGTGGGTACCTGATACGTCCTTTGTTTAGTTTATAAATGTTTGAAGGTTAGTGGATGGCCGCTTCCTATCGCATAGGTGCATGCTTGATATATGCCTTCTAAACATCTTCTATACCTTAAGACATCACAATTGATATGCCTGTTCGCAGCAAGCTCCAGTTTTTCTTGCAGCACCGTTTTGCCTATTAGCAAACTTTCCAAGCCTGGCCGAGTCTACATAAAATGCTACAACGACTGGTGAAAGTTTTACTGTCACTTATGCCAGCCTGTTCATATTCACACAGTTCGTCCCTTTTCACCAAGTTTCATTTCTGTAGGGGACACTACTGCTCTCTATTGTATTTGCTGAAAGTATATTATTTACACTTTTAATATTAAAGGTATTAACTATTAAGTATCAATACAAACATTTGGATAAAGGAACTTCTTTAGCATTTTTCTAGCAATGTCTCGGAGGTGTGGGATAGCGGCTATATGGTATATGGTTTCCTTAAGCGAGCATTTCGCATCTTAGATCACACTCCTGCTATTCACTAAACTTCAACAGTAGCCTCATTTCCTTCTCCACGTTACACTTCATACTAGAGACACTAAAAACAATGAAAATAAGAGATGCCGAAGCAAAGAAGCGTACATGTATAGCTTGGATGAAAATCTCTGCAGTTTTCAGCTAGCTCTAAAACAGCTATAGTGTTGCGTGTAGGTTTAGAGAGTGGAAAGTCAGTGTCTCCGCTCTAGGTACGAAATTTAGCAAGTGCTGTAGTACACCGCTAACCTGGGTCTTTAACAGGCATCGCACAGTAGTGACAGAAGAGAGCACGTCAGTACAGTATAACCTCGTAACTACAGATCTCGATACAGCAGACATTTGGTTACAACATACCGATCTGTGAAGCTTGGTTGGGCTTCCTATCTATGCCATTCAGCCAACTTCGCTTACTACAGATCCTGTTATAACATACATTCAGATATAGTGGACTATATTAGGGAGTTTGGAAGTGGTTCACCGTTCCATTGTAACGGACCCTTTAAAAGCAGTCATTATTTTGATCGTTACGTGGCTTTGGTTCAGTAGCAGTGGCATCCATTCTGTGAAATACTGTCATCGGGCTCGGTGCCTTGCAAGCCTCGTATGACCCAAAGCACGCAGTGATGATGACCATCGATACAGTTCAATAAAACGTCACTGCCTTTCAAAGATCAGAAGTTTCAATAAATCAATTATTTTCTAATATTCATTCACAATCCCTCAGTGGTACTGGTTAGAACAGATGCCAGTCATATGATCCACCTCAAAATCTGTAGTAAGAGTATCTGCGTTCTACATACTCCTTTTGCAACAGACCGAAATCTTAATCCCTATCAAGGTATGTTATAACGAGTTTATACTGTATGGTGCTCATGCATGTTGAAATTGGCCAGGGTGGGGATTGAACTCGGGACCACTGGAGCTTTAGCTCAACGTGCTTCAAGCTGCGGTGTATTAATGCACCGAGCCACCAATCCCCCCCAGGTAACTTTAGCAGCTTTCTTGTGTTCCTTGTGACGATGACGACAGAAAGACAGCCTACGGCCACGCCGACTTACGGCCATGTCGCCAAAGCGCTTGGTGTAGGGCTTGAAGTTGTAGAAGTCGTACATCTGCACCCCTTTGGCTGAAGTGTTTGTCACCCGCACTGGCACCTGTGCCGTGGTGTTGTCGTCAGCCACCCAGTCGGCAGCTGCAACAGTAATAGTCTGGTTAACACATTTGCATCCAACCCTGTGTTGCATTTCCTTGTGACCGCCTAACGTGCTGACGCCACCTGTCGGGCAGCCACGGTACATTTTCGATGCTCGTACATATTTTTGTAATCTTTCTCATTCTAGGGACTATACTAGTAGTTTCACATACTCCGGGTAAATGTGTTATTTAAACCGTAACAGAACGGCGCAGCGAGATACACATTGCGTCGTAGGTTGAGAGAGTCTGAGGAGGCCCCTGGTAACAGCCGTCTCCGTGTATGAAACTTGGTCCGTGCGAGCGGGCCTCGGCCGGCGGTTGAACTTCGCACGAAAGTTCTTATACGCGTAGTCGCAGTATATAGCTGAGCGCGCTGCCAGATACTAGCAATATATATCAAGTAGCAAATATATAAAAATGCTTATTCTTATTTCTGTTCACAAATGCAAACCGTGTTAACGACATCAACAAAAAATATTTCCGCGTACACGCATAAGCATAAGCGTAAATCGCTCGAAGGTCTTTAAGATCCCTTCATTTTCGTACATACATATAAAATCATTAGGTATAGCGTCAGGAAAGATGTTTGCTCTAGCGACTTCGAAACAACCCTTGTTGGACGCATGTTGGTTCAGTTCGTGACAAAAAACGTCGGTCTCAAAATTTGGACAAACAGATTTCTGACTTGTGTCCTGTCTCCATTATGTTCTCTCGTCGTAAATAAAACCGAATGTATTAAGAGACTACAACAGGCATCTTTGTACAGTTGTTCCCCTGCCAAACTTGATAGACGTTGGCAGGCGTGTCAACTTACCCCTGAAGTACACGTCGTATGTGTTGTCTTTGTCGTCTTTGTAGCTGAACTGAGAAACCTTGATGCCTCGGACGGTAGTCTCGGCCTTATACTCCTATAAAACCAGGAAGAAATTATGCTTTAACATTTTGCGCTTTGAGGATGGAGACTCGGGTGTATTTGTCTATTTATTTGCGAAGAAACCTGCTTCACGGTCAGGCACCATTGAGGGGGTGGGTTTTTAAAAGAAAAAGAGTTCATTAAAGAAGCAAGAACATTATCTATAGACACATCTAATGTAGAAAAGGCATTATCTGTAGAACAACTGGAATAATGTAGATTTACAATTTTTTTTAAACCACCTGAGACTGGGTGGAGAACCCAGTCTCTGGTGGTTTAAGAAATGATAAATCTAGACCAGCTCGCCTGCATCATCGCTGTTTTATGCCATTGCAGGATCTCTTTCAGGCTTTTGACGCTTGCTCCAAATTCGTAATTAGGAAATATGAATGTTGACTTTAACATCTTTTTTGGAAACCTTGCATTTCTGAGGCAGCCAATGCTCTTAGGGCGTGCAAAGTTGTATCTGCATGGTTCACGGTGATTTGACGCATCATCTGCGTGTCCCCGTGCGCTAACATGAGCATAAATGTGATGCAACGTAACGCTACAAGGCGTTGCCGAGCATGGATGTTACGAGGGATGAATGAACACAGTTAACTGCTAGTGTAAAGTGGACTCATTTTATTCTCATGCACAGAACAACCGCCCCACAAAACTGGGATGTTTACACTAAGGTCCCTAAAAATGACTTCATCGGTCCCAGCGGTCCCACGGACCCTCGTCGTAGGACCATTGCTCTAAGATGTGCCACTCACCATCTTTTCGCTGGGCAAAGTGTAGAGAATGGACGAGCTGCCGGTGTATACAGTGCCGTCTTTGATGGCGTCGGGTGTGAGCGGCTGCACATCACAGACATTATCTGGCAGGGTACAAAAATGACACAATAAGTAAGGGCTGTTAAAGCCATTGTGTCGCCCGTGCCTCATCAACACATGCTGGGCACATCTTACATGGCACAACTCTGGCCATGACTTGTGGCTCTTATTTTTGGTTGTGACTCGTTGGTGCGTCATGAACAATGAATACTTGTTTAACCACTTAAAACTTGTCATTCTTCGAATTGTTTCTGATGGTAAAGATTATTTGCACTTTAGCCATCTCGCATGCTGTGAAAGGATTTTGACTTAAAGGAAAAGAAATTCTGTTGTGTGCGCAGCGGGAAGTTAGTGTTTCTACTGTAGATGAAAAATTCAGATGGAGCTGAAAAACTGCTAGCTTGAGGCCTTCGATTAATGTGTCACGCAGTAGTGATACACGACCGCACGCCGGTAAGACGCTCGTCGATGTCGGACCCAGGATCTTTGGGTTCTGCAGAGCGAGTTTTTGCCGCACGTACACCGAGCTGCAGTGCATCAGCACGCTTCGACCACCAAGCCTCCAATATTGGATGGAAAAAAAGAAACATTCATTTAACAATATTTGTTTCCATGCGGTAGCGAAAATGTTTTTCGCAAAGTTGGTTGTGCCTTCACGCCTTGCTATTATAGTACTTCGGAGGTCAAAGCAAAATGCAACTTGAAGGTGTTCTTAATTTATGTGTCCTTAAGCTCTCGGCAATGAAGTGATAAAGTAGTGCAGAAGGCTATGACTTCGTAAACTATAATATGCAAACTATTAAGGAGTGTCTGATCTACTAAAATAGTGCTTAAGCTGAAAAAAAGAAAGCTTTAGGGGCAGGGATGGTCGAGGGAATTCGAGAGGTCGAGAAACATATTCGGGTTCTAGGGAACCCCTGTAGATTTCTAGTAACCAAAATTGAGAAGCCATGAACTAGAGCATGTGACATTTTCATACAGGTTATTTTTTTTTTACTGACTATATTTGGTATAATGTGGTAGTTGCAGCAGTCACTGTACAGGGCCCTAGTACTTCCGACAGTTATTAAATATTCCACCTGGCATTTGTAAGGCCACACATCTTTATCTTGTAGAAATGTAGGCCCAAGCGATGGCTGAGAATCAACTGAAAGTTGCTTGCCTACGTCAACACTTCGGCACGCGTTGCCGAGCGATATTCAAGTAATCTATAGATACTGGAACAACTGCCTGCTGTTTGAGTGCCTTTATCGAGAGATCCTTACATTTTCAGGATAAATATTTACGTCGAAAACCTGCCGTCGCCTATTGCTGCAAGGACTGCAAGTGAAGAAAAAATATCAAGCGCAACAAGAGCGTCAAAACACATTCTTCATCAGACTTCTTCAGTATCTAGGTACTCTGTAGAAGCTTCAAATTACAATAACTTAAAATATACAGTGGAACCTGCCTTCAGCAAATTTAATTTACAAAAGAAAAGCATTGTTTTATATCAGCGCTCTTCAATGCGTCAAATGCAGGGGCGGATTTAGAGGGGGAGTCCGGATGTCCTGACCCCCCTCTTGATTTTTACATGTGTAAAATTTAGGGCGTAAAACAAGGCAGAGGGGGAGGGGGTTCCTAAACATATGGTACGCTGACCAACACCTGACCCCCCCCTCAGGAAATTCCTGCATCCCCCCCCTGATCAAATGTATACATAGTTTGCACTGATGTCACGTGGAAGTCATGTATTAACAGCATTTTTGGTGCACAGCCGTACCTTATACGTAGGATTCAGTGTTTTCACAGCTTATTTTTCGTCAAATTCAAAGGGAGGGTGTTTTTCGGAGTTTATGTTTTGCCAAAAATTCTGAGTTTATCCGAGTTTACTTTTGTGCGACTCCAATTTTCTGAAATTCGGAGCAAAATATTGCAGTGTTTTTTTATGTTTCAAAAATAATAATAAAATAAATATCTGAGTGTAAATGTATGCTAGATAACAAAAATAAAACGTGCTTGTATCAATTAATATTTCTTCCGCTGAATTTAGCATTGGCACCATTGCCATTGGCACTACTAATTTGTCACATGATGAAAGTTGCAAACAAGTGTTGCTTCGATAAATGTCGGTACAGTCGAATCTCGTTAATTCAAATTCTCTTAATTTAAACTTGTGGATAATTCAAACTAACATGGGGGTCCCATCCTATGCGTCCCCATGGGAAGAAACTCCCGGTAATTGAAACTTTGCTTTCTTCAAATTTTCAGTCTTCCTCGAGTTTGACTTGACATTCGACTCTACCTTAAAATCAATAAACTCCTGGAGGTAGTCGCTGGGAAGCTTGTATTCATCCCACCCTATTCATCAACCTACCCCGTGGCTGCGCGGGGTGGAGTGGTAAAGGGCCACTCCACCCCGCTTCCCCCCTTTTTCGAAATCTCTATGGTTCATAATAGCTTTCAATGTTACAAAAACACAACACCTCCTTCCTCTCAGAAGCACAAAGAGTATGACCAAAACTGGAAATTGGAACAGTGGCCTTTGTCATGACCCAAAAATACAGTGACCTGCAGTTCTTAATGAACTTTGACGAGATAAGCGATAAGATCCCTTTTGTCAATGGTCCGAGATTTTTTAAAAAAAACTGTGGTGGCGTTTTGTTGTGAAGGCTTCCTCGGGACAATGACCAGACTTAACAGGCCATCTTCCTCTTTTTTTTTTTTCTCATTGGTACATTGAAAATTGGAGCTTATTGGGTAAATCCGAATTGACAAAATGTTTTCCGGCGGGTGTGTTTCTCGGATTTATCCGAAAACACGGAACCCTACTTCTACGCTAACACAACCTCGTATTACCGGAAAAATAAAAATTGTCAAAAGGCTGGAACAGGTGCTTGGATAGTAAAATTGGGGTTTAGTGGATCATTCCGATGATTCTGATAATGATACCAGATACTCCAAACACCACCTTTGCACAAGCTTCATATCGTCGTCAGGGGTATCAGAGGTATTGGAACGATCTGCTAAAACTCTAATTACAACGCTATAAAGTTTTTTTTGGTTTTTTTCCAGTAGGTTGATTTTATTAATGGAGGAGTAATACCAGCGGGGGGAGGGGTTTTGGGGTCATGACTAGCCCCTCCCCCTCTAAAAAATCCAGCCCCTTCCCATACTAAAAATTGCCCCCCCCCCCCCCCCCCTCCCCACCAAGAAAAGATCTTGGCTTTGTTGGGCTTTTTTTAATTGCCCAGTACATGAAACTGCTGGCTTAGCATGATCTCATCTCGTTTGAGGCAGTCGGATAGAGTTGTAACTTTTTTTTTTTTTTTGTGCGTGGCGAGTACATTGAACTTACTGATTATGGTGACCTCCTCGTTGGTCTCACCATAGTAGTACACGTAATTGATCATTCCAGAGATGAGAATCTCGAAGTAGCCCGTCTGGTCTTCCCTGCTGTGAAACTCTGTGGTGAACTCCGAGATGTTCTGAAATGAAAGCCAGCAACAACACAATGGGTTCATCATAAAGCGAACATTCCACAAGGTTTTTCACGTAAAAATGTTCCTACGAAAACTATGCAGGGAAATTTATAGGCTATGGGTCAAGCAGTTAATTATTTTCTGAATCTTTTTACCTTTTTCCAATTAGTAAAGCTAAAGTAGAAAGGCCCATTATACTATCTCAGTAACTTGGTGCAGAAAAAACAACTATTCCTGAACATACCATGTTATAATTTTTTTTTAGAAAAGTTGTGACTAATTGTGTGAAAGAAGCTCGATACATTAGCATTTTTCATAGTGAGCTGAGCACTTTTTCGACCATGTTACCCTGCCCTTTAAAAGCACGATACACTATTAAAATAACAAGTTTTCACCCAAGTGAATTCATACCGATCAGAGATTGGCATGAACTCGGAATATAATTTGCAGGTTCTTACAGCAGCAATATTTTGGTGATCTAGGTACCTTGCGATGATTTTATGCTAGGCCCCCGTTGCATCCGTAGCGCAAGCAGTCTCTTACCTGTGGCTGCTTGGTGAATTCGACGTTAGTCTGATATGATTTGGCAAGCATGGCCTTAATGTCCGGATAGTCTGTAAATAGAAAGTTCCGACAGTTGATCACTCAACTGATTTACTACTGCACTCCGGTCAGAATTTTGTTTAGTGTTCAATGTTCCAGAGAACGACCTAAACGCTTGTTCACATATTTGTGTTCGACTGTGCCGAGTATGATATGACCTCTTGTAATTGATTAACACACACTGACATGGGTACCCCCAGATTACTTCTGACCCGCATATACTATATATATATTTTTATATGCACAATTTTTTAGCATGTGCTTTGAAATAAAGATGACAATGTTACAAGCGACTATTTTCCAGAAATAGTGCGCACATTTCAACCTCGCAAATACTGGAAACCCGTCAGTTTGTTATACACAGGCTGGAAGCGTTCCATGTCTACCCAACAGACGACATCAATGTGCCGGTTCACAACACGCTCAGCACAGGCGAATGCAAATGTGTGAACCAGCCTTCAATGCTATAACGACACGCTAAAACTAGTGAGGAAAAAACAAGGACCGTGTTTGACGATTAGGTACAAACAAATTAATTGTTAAAAGCCTAATTAAATGTAATGGGATCGCTTCAACACGTTCAGATTATCTTACTACTGTTGTTTTCTGGGGACTAAAACAAGGTTGCGCTTACTTTGTTGTGCCGAACACTGCAGGCCGATGCCAAGGAAGCAAAGTGTTGCCACGAGCCACATGCCCTGTGGCGTGTTGCGCTGAAATTGCAAACACAAAGCTTATCAATATGCTATTTTCAAATGTCAGGTATATACAAAAAGTGATATCTGCTTTATATGCTATATGAATGTTTTTCTACAGGTATTACTAAGTTTACTTTGCAGTAAGATGGACAAACACCATTACTCGTGAAAGTGGTAATAATAAATGTTAATTAAATTCCTGCTTTTCTGGTAAAGAAAGCTAGCAGCGGGACATTGGCACCTAACGTTTGTCGATAGTTCTACAACTTTGTAGAACAAGACCTCGAATACCGCCCCTGGCATCTTCAAAGCATTGCCAGCTCTAGACCTAGCCTAACTTCTACACAGTATCTGAGAGCTGAAATATATTTAAAGCTTGCAGAACTGGAGTACAGTTAAAAACCATAGCTTTTCACATTGTCACAGGCGACACTCATGCCATAGATTAAAAAAAAAAAAAAAAAGGACTTACGGTCATTCCTGAACGGAAATTGACAGTCCACCCACCGTTCATGAAGTGTGAAAGCAGACCCCCAAGAAGAGGAGAGAGTCACGCGACAAGGCTTCCCAAGATCCGCCCATCCATTGTCTATGGTTCATGCAAGAAATGGTCGATATCGAGACTATTCTCAATTTGACCAGATAATTCCCCCCCTCTCACCTCCCTCTCCACGAGGTTTTCGTGCGAGATAACATTGTTCGGCTGCCCTGCGGCCAGATATCGTCGCGATAGCGGCTCGATCGCTCAGATGCCGAGGTGCTGCCAGCCAACGACAGATATCTGGAATGCAGCAGTGTTCGAAAGGACTCCGCAGCATTCTAGGTATCAGTTGGGACTGTTCTTCCGTTTTGTTGGACGTTGGACTGTACTTCCGTTTTGAACTCTGCCATGAAAAAATGATCTTTTGCCAGATGCGTGCCATTAAATTCTGCAAGAGTAGTGGACCTAGAGAAGTTTTTTTATTTTATCAGTGAAGGAGGCGAGGCGTAGAATAAGCCCAATTCTGACAGGTCCTGCGACTGCGTGGGACAGTTAAGTTTTAGCTAAACTGAACCCTGCATCATCTATCTGCAGTTTGCCATTGAAAGTCGAAACAATTGGAGTAGGCCTAGTACAGTCCGATTCATTTGGTATAGAAGTTGAATTGTTTTGATTGGTAGATGTCATGAGGCAATCTTGGTATGGTGGGTTGGTTATACAGCAAGATGGGAAAGGAGAATGAGGGGAAGGCATAATATTCGTAGAGTCACGAATGGGAGAAGGCGGTGAAGTGAATTAGAGACTGAAAAGGTCAAGGAGAAAAATATAGTTCAAGAAACAATGCTTCGCACATTACATTCTGGCAGATAACACATCTCGCTGCGGCCGTCCGGCAACGTTGGGACACTGTTTTGAACAGCTCTGCAAGTAGCAAACAGTCGATTGTCTGTGTGCACTTTTAGACCGCTTATCACGTTTCATTTATCCTACTTTAGTTGGGGTGCTGCTACAACACCAGTGGAAAGAAAGGCATAGTTTGTGGAGTAGACTACCGATTTAACTGGACCGGACGTCAAAACAACTGCACCGATATGACACCACCCAGCAACTTGCAGCGGCAATACAGCAACTTTCTCCGAAAACATCCCAATACAAAACTGCTCTCAGACGCACCATTACACTGAAATTACTCTACAGTGGACTTTTTCTCTTTTTTTTTAAGTTTAGCAAATTTGTTGTACGGCTTGTACTATATTATTTATCATTTTCATTTTTTTTTTTTTTTTTGAGGTACACACAAAAGAATAAGTTGGCTTACTGGGTGTGGAAAAAAACAAAAACAAACATGGCCACGTGAAGAGCACTGTTGCCTGACAGATTCACTTCTTTTTTTTCCAGATGTTTCTCTGCTATGCTAGCTTTAATGTGTAGGGTGGAAGCAATAAGCACAGGCCACACAGCAATTCCATAAGCCATTTCGAACGCAGAATGTTCCCCAACCAGGGACAAAAGTTGATAAGCCGACCATCAGCCAAACGCAGACACAGCACTTTTCTCATCACTGACTGGACACCAGTGCCAGCTGAACGTCTTCCTCTAGTGTGTTGCTCCCACGAAGAGAAGACATCACGTGCTCAGACATAAGCGGTGCTCTGCTCACAGCGACAGAAAAGCAGAGAAAAACAGCGGACGTTACGTTAGACATGCTCACTTTGCCACAAGTTGAGGTAGTTTGAGTGTTTGGTTGCCGTAAGCCGGTGTCGGGGCTCTGCTCGGTGCTGCCGCGTTCCAACTGTTTCGTTTTCCGCACACTCTGTCTATAGCGTCTCACACTCCGACAAGCTCAGAGTCGCATTTGCAATGCCACCGCAGAAGGCATCCACAATTAAGTCATCCACGGGGCACTCACCGTGCAGAACACAGGGCTGCTAGGTCGGCCGTGCACACAAAGCCTTCGAACAGTGCTTCCGGGTCCCCAACTGAGCGGGTGAGACTATCAGTAGGAGACGCTGATATCTCATGGCGACACCGGAATAAATTATGCAAACCATCGTTTGCACCGTCTTCATTCTCCAAACGTGTACAGTTTCTCCAAACTTACACATCACATTTTGCGTTACCACTGTCTTTGCCACGCTAGTATGGCAAAGGGCGATTCTCTCTTTCATAATTGGGCGAGGTATGTTTCTATTTGGGTTAGTCGCACCCTGTTCTGACTTTGTCAAATCTGGCACGTCGTGTAGAAAGCAAGCGAAGTGGACGCGTTAAATAAATTGTTCCGGCAGCGTGGCAATCGGCATATGCCGATAAAATATTGGTTGGGTCAGAAATATTTACCGTGCGCTTTAAACTCGTCTATAATTCTGAAATGATGAGGGTATCCAAAAAGTCACGTAGGACGAGCACATGTCCACGAGCCAAAAGTTTATTGCCTGCAGCGAAGAAATAAATTGTTAACTTATTATCAATCCTGCAGTGCAAGGGCCACACATGCAATTCACAGTACTCTTAAGCACCTATCTATGTACAGCAAGCTATCTACAATGTATGTGCTAGATATGCAGTTGCAGTAATGTACAGCAACAAAAAGTTCAAAAGGCAATATCAAGGACAGGTGTAAGACATTTCCCGCTTAATTTAATTGACTCCTTACAAAATTTGCATTGTACTATCTAATCTGGCATGCATGGCACAGTTAAAACAGCTGCTATATAAGGTGAGTACAGCTAAGTTTAGCTGTGCTGAATCTTAAATTCCATGTCATAGACATAAAAAACTGCCATTAAAAAAAATTGACTCTCTGGAAGTGAGTAATAGCAGTAACTTCATTGCAAAGTACTAAATTTTCATATGCTTTGGAATATTTTAGCGAAAGGAACAAAATGATGGCAACAGGAATTGCAAAAAGGTTAGATAGTGAACCACTTCCAAAATTGACCTGTTCTTCAAAACCTATCTAATAAAGGTAATTATGCTACCAATAATTATGCTACCAAAACAGACTAGTTGGTAATGAAAACTAACCTCTGTTAAAGCATTCAAATAAGAAATTTGCAAACTTCTTTGAAAATAGCCCGGCTAAAGGCAAATCCTAAACTTAGCAGACACGGTGTTTTTGCAGCGATATATTTGTTCAAGCTGCATCTCCCCTTGGGAAGAATAAAGGCTTTTTAACATTGCTGTTATGGGACCACAGCTCTTTCCAAGTACCTGAATGTTAGGCCTTATGAAAGAATTAACACTTCTCCCTGATGGCAAACACACCACCATCCCACAGAATTAAAAAAAAAAAAAAAGAAACGAGCTCATCAACAAGGCAAAGCCCAAAATTCTAAAGAGGCAAGGACAAGCTCACTTCTCAGCATTTAGCGCACCAACAAACTCCTCTAGCTTTTCCTGGATCTGCCTGACCTTCTTTAGCTCTTCAGCAAGCTCCACCCTACGACCAGTCAGCAACTGCACCTTCTTCTCGGAGTCCTGGGAAAAATCGTCCAATACCTCCTTGACGCCCTTCTCTAGCCTCCGGGCCTCTCGGTTCATGACCTGTTGGCGGAGGACGTTGGCCGTTGTGTGCATGATACGCTGAACCCGCCAAAAGAGGACCACGTCGTGGCACTCCAGCTCCGAGTCCAGCCCCTGGTGGTAGAGGTAATAACCCTTGCGACAGTCATTGGCCTTGGCTAGAGAGCGGCGAAGGAAATGCAGACGGTACAGCGGCTCCCAAGTGTCGCGGATGAACTTGTAGTCCACGTCCACATCCCGTGCCTGGAGATTCTTGCGGACCGTTGTCAGTTCCTCTTGGGTCAGCGACGGACCGTGCTTCTGGAGGAACTCTGTGCTCAGCAGACGCTCCAGCTCCGAACGTACAACAGCGCGGTGCTTCTGCTCCTCTGTCGGAGACATCCAGTAGAGCCACTGGTCGCGAACTCCCGGTCCCACCATGTCCTGGATCCTGGCTTCTGCTGCATGCAGACGGTCGTGAAGAGCGCTTTCGAGGAAGCGGACCGCCTGATCCCACTGGTGCTTGTCATGGACCACGCGATCTTCAAGGGCGTTGAGCTGGATCAGCCGCAACATGTCAACGGCCTTGTCCTCCCATTCATGACGGTCGATGACTTCCTGAACGACTGCCAGCATGAGTTGGTCGAAGAGTGGATCGTGATCCTTCGAGGCCTTGCGCTTTTGTAGCAGGCCGTGGAACTCGTCTCGAAGCGTGCGCCAGCCAACGTCCACAGACTGCGACGGCAGAAGCTTCTCCGCCCAGAGCTTCAAACGGATATCCACCGCGGTGTTGAAGTTTCCGGCGTTGCCAGTCTGTGCTGCCGGAAGGAAGATGCTGTCTATTACATAGCTGGACATGTCACCCCAGAGGTTTTTGGACAGAACCTCCTCCCAGTGCTTGGGACTGAGTTGGCTCAGATTGACCACTTCATCGAGCAGCTCGCCACGAGAGCGTTCAAAGAGTTCATCACGGTCTAGCTCACGCATTCGCGGGAAACTGTTCTTCCACTCCGTCTCCAGGTTGAACCGCTGCGCCTTGAAGGCGTCTGCCTGCTGTTCCACGGACTCGCGGACCATCTTCCAGAAGCAATCCGAGACAGCAAAGCTCAGGCTCTGCGTCGTGCACTGCGACATGTTCAAAATACCGTCGCGGCAGAGACGGGAGTTGCGGAAGAACATTTCTTCATAGGCCTTAATGGCAGTGATACTGTCGTCGTTGCTTCCCCTGCCAGTCACCACAGCAAAGTAACCGAGGGCCTTCATCGGGAACAGCTTGCCATCGAGGATCTTGCGGATCCGTGTCGGATTTGCCATGTTCTGTTCGGCCAAGTCGACCTTCGTGAGCACGAAAATGGTCCTCCGGCCGTTGGGGTCCACCTGACTGACTAGGTCGGTGACAATGCTCCTCTCAGCATCGACCGAACCGTCTTGAATGCAGAGGATGATGGCGTTCGGATTGTTCATGTACGCGCTGGTCATTTCCCGGATGGCGTCCTTGGTCCCCTCGGCCATTTCCGTCGTCGCGGTGCTGATGATGCCCGGCAGGTCCACCAGGACCATCCTCTGCAGTCCTGGACCCTTGACCGTCATCGAGATGACGTCGTTGCTGACGGTCTTGCCTCCCCGCACGCTGTTCTTCATCCGCAGCTCCACTTCCCGCCGCAAGTCAGAGAGCTCGGTCTCCTTGGTCAAATCGAACTCCCTCGAGCTGTCCTTGAACTTGGCAATGTGGTAGGGCCCTTCGCTGAGTGTGACCTTGACGGGTGCTCTGGTCATCATCTCCCCCGCACCCCTGGGGAAGATGCGGGCCTGGGCAACCATCTCGAGGACGCTGGTCTTCCCGGCACTCTGGTCTCCAACCACAACCACCCTTGGCAAATGGTCCTGGACGTTGTAGCTCGAGTCGTAATCGCACAGCTCGTCGAGAACCTCGGAGTAGAGATCGATGAGAGACTTCTTGATCTTGCGCCTGCTCACGGCCTTCTCTGTCTTGAGCATAATCTGGCGCCGCAGCTCCTTGTTCTCCTTCTCGAGGCGCTCAATCTCCTTTTGATACTTCATCTGGACGTGGATGAGTTCGTCCTGAAGCTTCTGCATCCGTTCGCGTTCGTTTTCCCGCCTAGCGTCTTCCTGAGAGGAGAACAGCGGAGCGACGGCCATCGCGGTCGCGAAGTCGTCGAATCCCGTCCCGTTCACGCTGGGCGAGCTTTCGAACTTGACGGTTCGCAGCCACTCGCTCACACTCGCGAAACCCGTCGCGGCAGCGTCCGCGCCGGACCGAAACTTTTCGGACAGGGCGAGCTTGTCCTTCATCTCTATCAGAGACGCCCGGAATTTGTCGATGCTTTCGGGGGACGGCATCTTGTCCTTGACCCAGCCGAAGTCGGGGAAATCGGGAAGGTTGTCCTTCCACTCCTCGTACTTCTTGGACAGCTGGACGCCGCCGCCGACAGCGGAACCTAGGATGATGTAGCGGATCTTTAGCACGCCTCGGAGTACCCTGGCCACGAGTACGATGTTTCGGCTGCTCTGCAGTGTCGGGATCGATCTGTAGATCCTGAGGCGGTGCCGACAGTTGGCATTGAGCGTGTGGTGTTTGCGCGCTCGGACTAGGCGGGGCGAACTCCACCTGTGTGGGCTGAAGCCAACGCCGTAGCGCGCGACTGGTAGCGCCTTATATTGCAACATGCTGCTTTTTGGTGTGTTTGCGTAAGTAAGGCCAATACATGCGAATAAAAGCGTTAGCCGCTTTTAGATGGCATCGTCCGAGATCTTACGCACCGGGAACGCCATGTTTCCTGCAGACTTCTGTTAGGCCTGTTGTTAGTCATTAAACATTTAAGATGCGATGAAGAGGGCAGTAATGTTGCGTCAAATTAATTATTGCTCGGATGCTCTTTGGCAAAAAATAAATGGGTGTGAATTTTATTATTTGGCGTCTTTACACACAATGTTTATTATTTTTAATAAAGCGCTACCTTAAGAAACGATCGAAGAAAGAGTTGGACAGGACGGAGCGAGAAACTGAATGAAACGAACGCTGACTAATTTTATCGTTCAGGGAAAAAAAAAAAAAAAAAGCGCACTGTGGTATTTGATTTTCGTCTTTGTCGTACCGGCGTGCGGTCGTGTATCACTACTGCGTGATGCACGTTAAAGACCCCAGGCTAGCGGCTGTACCGCACTGGCTAAATTTCTCATCTACAGCTGGGAGACTCGTCGCCCCTGTGAGGCAGACCAAGTTCTAGGCTGTATAAACACACACACAACCCAATTTTTTTTTTTTCGTCTTTGTGTTTTTGTGTGTTTGAGTACTAAAACGTATTCCAAGTTCCAAAACCAACCCTCTACACAGGATAGGATTGGGCATGCGCAACAATTTATAGTCAAGGAAGCCTGACTCACGCAGATTAAAATCCCTTGATGTGTTTTGTAGCGTTATCTACACTAGAGTCACTATAAGCTAGTCTCTAAGCTACACTGGCCGAGGTTGAGCAGTTTCGCGTGGCTCTCATAATGAGCCGTGCGCGGCGCATAATGACCACGGCAGCCACGCGAAGCAGCCGCCGCCGCGCCCGCCTCGCCGGTCTGCGCATTCCAGAGGTGTGACATCATAGCCGCGGCAGACGCACTGGCGCTGCTGACGCCGTCGCGTGCCCAGCTGTGCGCCTCCGTTGCGCAGTAGCCAAGTCTGACGCTGCACCGGAGCTGGCGGAGCCGCATAAGCTCACGCTACGTATATCCTGGCAAAACCGAACTAAGCCACCGCAATTTTTTTTTCTTTTACTTGCAGAAGACACAATAAAGAAAAAGGGACCAACCTGCGTGAGTTTTCAACGCTACGTTTTTGTAGATCGTTCCAAGGCTTCCGATAACGAAACCCACGCGCAAAGGTGTCGGCGGAGTATCGGGTATTGTTATCGGAATCATCAAAACAATCTACTAGAACCAACTAAAACTTCGATAGAAATGATGGGGGTGACGCGTTGGTGTTTCTTGGAATATGAAACCTCTCAGTTATTTGCGAACTCATCAGTCAATATTTAACCTGTTTGCAGCGTATTATGAGGTATTATTTACTACTACACGTTCTTTAGAGTCAATGGTCTTATTTTGCAGCTTGCGAGCTTTCTGAATACATTTATTTTGTTTTGTTTCGCTGTATTTGAACAAGAGCAAAGGTGCAAACGCGCGGAAGAAACGAGAGCGTTGTTAGCGCCCTCTAAGCAAACTGTTGACAAAAGCTGCCGGTCGTCAGCGCCTGTTTGGTTCACAGGACGCCGTGAGTCTTCATGTAGTTTTTTCGTATGTGAGTATCGTTTTTTCTTACCGCTTCCTTGCCCCCTTACGCGCTACTCAAATCTAATACCCGTCAGAAAGCGTCGGAACGCGTGTTCGTCCTTCTAAAATGCATAAATTCCCCAATTTGTTACGCCGCAGCGCAAACACCCCTACTGCTGGTAGCGGACTGCCTCTGTGTGTGTGTGCGTGTGTCCGCGTCTTTGATTTTAGCTACTTCCTATGTCGATCTTTGCCTGTTTCTTTCTTTTTTTTTTTTTTTCCACACCAAGTTCTGTCTTCGGTGTAGCTAGGCTTCCACCTCCTACGCCTAAACTTGGTGAAGCACCGTTAGATTGCGCGTTTATTTAACTCAGATCCGTGTGGGATTTTTTAATATATATATATTTTTTTCTACTACCGTGGCGCCGCGCAGTGCCCTGCCGCACGCATCGTTCGTTGTCGGAACATACTCGCGGAACTGTGACACTTCGTCGGGTTCGTGCTCGGAGACTGGAAATAACTGTCACCCCCGATTAAAATCAATAACACCCGAGCTCGTCGGATGGACAGAATGTCGGGGGAAGAAAGAAAGAACAGCGCGAGAAAAAATATAAAGAGTATCGCTTACGCGAGCGACATGAGCTTCGCGTCATCAGCTCGGCAGTTGTAGCTGGCGACGTTTTGGTGGTTTCGACGGCGAGAAATTTTGCACTTGGTGCGCGAGAGAGTCCATTTTCATCTCACGGCTATTATAGTCGCGTGTCGAGTAAGCGGTATGTATGCATATACTGTCTCGTATATCTTTGTTCATTTGCTTCTCTTGCTTGTACAGAATTACTGTTACTTCGCAAGCTGAACTTTATTTCCTCTCTCACCTTGTGTTCGTGGTATACAGGCTTGCGTCGCACCAGTAGGCACTCTGTGTTGCTTCTCAATCATTATAATAATAGCGAAAAACAACAGATGACCGGGCAGTTTGCGATATTGTCGAGATATCTTCCCTTATTCCGTTTTGCATATCGGTCTACGGACGTCTTAAGATTATTTATGCAAACACTTTTTCTTGAGGTGTTTATTGCACGTCTGTTTATGTAAAGTTCGGCACTATGCAGTTTTTCGCTTGTGATGTTGGTGTGTGGTTATGCGAATCTCTTCTCACTGCAAAAATGTGTTCCAGGCGTTAATTCCCACCTTAGGTGCGACTGCGTTGACAGCGTTCCATCGCCGGCATTGCCCCCCCCCCCTCCTCCCCCCCCCCCCCCCCCCCCCCCCCCCAAACAGTGCACAACGTGATTCCCCGCCATTTCGGTGTGTGGTCGCTGGTCTATTGTCTGGCTCTGGACAAACTTTCTCGTCTTGTTTTTTTTTGTTTTTTTTTTCGTGCTGGAGCACCTCTGGAACAATTCCGACCTGTGTATGCTTCAGTCGTCATTCCTTTATTTTGGCTTAAAATAATTCTAACCATATCACAAGAAACCATTTCTCCTAAAGATGGTGTATAGGTCTGGCCTCGCAAATACTGTGGAATGTTGGGTCTGATTACACGGAAATAAGCAGTGCTCCAGGTGCTATCTGATAGGCGGCACCACTGTATACTTTCATTGTAAGTCTCGTGCTCTCATGCTCACGCTCATCCTTGTGCTCCAATGCAAATGTGTGAGCCAGCCTTCAGGAGGATGAGAGATCAATGACATCAAGTATCTCGTGACTCTCTGGAGAAGAGTTGTGCCTTAGAGCCAAAATGGATTGTGTTACCAGCTCATTTTATTGAAATTTTGAACTGACTCCCTGTAATCCCAAGCCACCCAGCTGGCGTGCGTAGCCGACATATGGCATGTAAAAAAAATCTTGCATCAAAAGATGCTCTCAGGAGTTTAGGATACACACATTTATCGGTGATTGCATGTAGGTGCCTAGGCAAGGATTGTTTTACAATGTGATCTCAATGCTTATCTGCCTGAGTTACTCTAGTTTTATGTACTCGGTATAGAGTGCATGCTGGTAAGGACAGTACAAAAAGTTACTTATTAATCTTCGTTTTTCGTTGCACTTCAAACGGAGGTCAAAATTCGGCAGAGACACTTAAGACTGTTTACGTGTAGGAATGTGAAAGCATCCATACATGGGCAGCGCATTCCTACGAGCAGCGTGTCATGTCTTTCCTTTTCACATGGCGCTCCAGCGGTGACATCATGCTCCTTCAGTATGCAGGCGCGGCGCCCCCACTGGCTCCACAGCTTCCGTGACGTTGCTGTGCTTTTCTTTGTGTTTTATTTCTGAGGCTTTGACCTTGAGCAGCCCTGCGGGCTTCCGTGACAAGGCATCTGATATGACTCATCGCAGCCAATGGGAATTTAGGTGCCGTTTTCTCTGGACAGACAACGCCGGTTTTTTTGTGGTTGTTGATTTAACCTGTGTTTATTATAGCAGTTCGGCTATGGATGTCTTTTTTTTCTAACCATAATTCAATGTCTTCGGGTTTGTTGAAGCGGGTGTTGGGTGTCGCGCCATAATAACCTGAAACAATGGACCAAAATGGAAGAGTGGTGCCCACACAGGCTGTTGTGTGTATATTAAGTCATTATCTTATTTTGGTTTGTAGTCTTGGAATATTATGGGAATTACTGACCAGGTCACTTGTGCTTGTGCACTTCCTCTAGTGGTATTGTACTAATGGTTTTAACTGTGGGCGTTCTGAGGTACTGCTACAAGCCATTATTGGAATGGTAGTTTATTAAGGTGTTTGCTTCAGTTTTACCGAGTTCTACAATAAACTACATATTGATTAATGCGACCCATGCTAACAAAGAAAGTTGAAAGCTAAGCAAGAATGATACGCATAGGATATGCATGGAATAACCTCTATTTCAATCGATGGACACACTCTTTCTCGAGTTGTTTTATGGGCTCTCAGCTGGTTGTACTAGCTCAAAGGAAGCTCATGCATTTTATGCTCTGGCTTTCTTCCTTTTTCTCTCCCACACGCTATGAACTGCAGTGTGCAGACACACTCGGCCACTGATGCCCCACGCCCATATGGGTGCCACTTGAGTTGCACACTTCATTCTGCACGGGAACGTTAGTATTCGGCTGGGGCCAGTCTAAACTTTGCGGGGGGGGGGCTGCATGCAACCCCATGAGAAAGGAAATATCCGGGCCTGCCGCTCTTGCAGCCAGCCCTCTCCCGGCTTTCCCGCCAGTTGTTAGACATCCACTGTGTCAGTCGGTCCTAGCTTTCGTGGGGTGAAGAAAGAGCTGCCTCTTTCACCACCGCTTGCACAGAATCAAGCAGTCTTTCAGCGGCAATCGCGCCCGAAAGCCGAGCCAACGGGGAGAACATCCGGCCGGCTCTTTCTAAGATGCAATGTACCACCAGCGCGCAAGCGGGTTATCGTGGTGCCGACACACTGACCAACGCTGTGGCTGTCTGGGTTTGAATTTTTTTGTGTTCTGGGAGTTGTTCCAAAGCAAACAAGTGGATACGGGTAAAGACTGGGTTGGAACCCCCTCCCCCCTCCTCTCCCTCTTTCCTTTCTCATAGCCCCTAAAAATAGAGCACCCTACGGTCCGAGGGAGGACAGAGAAGCCAGCTGAATTCTTTGTTCTATGTTCTGCGATTTGGGGTTTGGCAGGGGGTTTTGAAGGTGGGGAGGGGGATTAGTTGGAGATGGGGAAGTCGTTCGCGTGTAGACTTTTTTCATTCTTTCGTTCACTTTGTTTTGTTTTCTATTGATCGAGGATTAGGTAACATTGTTTTGGCTTTGGATTTGTCTTGTATCCGATTTGTAGGCGCTGCCCAGATAAATATGTTGGGCTTTGGGTTGCTCACGCTGGATTCTCGTGGTGCGAGAAGTTTATGTAGCGTTTCGGTTTCACGTTTATTTCTGTTTCTTGATGGGAAGGGGTCAAATGCGAGGATTAATATAATTTATTTGACCATTTTCGGCTTGTGAAAGATTAAACGATTCCCCCTCTGTATGCCACTCTTGCCTCTCGGTTCGACTAATCATTATGTCACAGTTTGGATTCGATCGGATGTGCCAAAATTGTGAAATCGCTGGATGCTAGCTGACTGTAACTGACTCGGACGAGGTTGAGAATGCCAGTGGCAACATCAATCTTGTGTGTGCGTTGCGTCCTCTCCGTGCTTTAACCTCTAACATCATCCGTCGAAAGAAGATATTATTGCACTGTAGAAGGAGGCACATTTAATCTTCCTTTATATGTGTTGATTGTTAAGCATAAACCAGTTCAGCACTTTTTTTTTCTTGTTTTGTTTGAATGGAATCAATGGAAAAGCCAGCTTTATCTTGCAGAAACAAAGCGTTTCAAAGACAAGCTCTCCCATCTTTCCATTGAGGAAAATCGACGGGTATTAGGTTTGCCGCTTTGTGTACTTCCACGACTTGAATCTTTCTAGTACAAGTGCATTGGGTTATTGGCCGCTGACACTGTCTTGGGAGTTCCGACCCATTCGCACCCCACCGAGTACCGTTGAAATGGCCCCTAGCGTCTTTACAAGTGTGTGTGCAAGGGCAGGTGGACTAATTGGGGTGGTGCCCTCTCCCAGGTGCCCTTTCCCCCAGCATGGCAGCGAGGAGGTCGGCCCTTTCCTGCCAGCGGCTACGGCTGTGCCTCGACTCTCCCCAATGAAGCCCACCACGCGGCCACCTCACGCTGGCACCCTGCGTCCCCACTAGGTGAGTCCGCCCGCCACCCATCTCTCCCAAAAAGAAGAGCCGTGCGTCCGCCTCCGTGGGGTCAATGTTCCACAAGGGGCAGCCATCTGAAAGGTGCCCATGGCACCTTTCGGCATTCCCTTGTGTTCCCTTCGACAGGGACGGGTCTTTCACCGAATAACCAGAGTGCCAACGGGAATGCTGAGAATGTAGGTACACATGCTGCACATGCTTACCCTATCTGTATAAAAGATCTCTAGAAAATAACCAAAATAAGGCATCGGAGGATGCACGTACAAAGTGCCATTCGTTTTAGTGTTTTTTTTGCTTCAGAACAGTTACTGGTGCAAATGCCAGCATGTGCCGCATGTCTAACTACACACGCGGTGGGCTGCTTCAGACTTGGAGTGGCTCAGTAGAACTTTCGTTTGAATGGATCGTTTGAGTTGATTCGCAGTCGTCATTCATGTCCTAGGGACTCCTTGTCGGCCTCGTCCACACCAGGCAAAGTGGTTAGAGGAGACCACAATGGCGGCACAGTTGAAGACTAACCTCTAGCAGTTTGACACAGATTGTGTTGTGAAAAAGAAAAGCAGAAACATCACGCTTGCACTGAATTGCCCTCGTTTAGTTTACGCCAGCTCACGCTCTTTAAACGGAGCAGCATATCCCCAGCCGGGTTTTCAGTGTTTTGGCGGTACCTGCTGCTTTCTAAGCAGGCAAGTCTGGAGAAAGCGTGCTCATGTTCGTAGGCTGCCCAGTAATGCTGCAGTATGTTGTGCCCTCGTGCCCTCTTTTATGAGGGTGCAGAACTGCATCTGGCATTCTCAACAAAAACACCTCCAATATTTTATTTCTTTTTGAAGTGGGGGGGGGTTGGGAGGCAAGCGTTTTGCTGATTCCCATCTGGGAACTAATGATTTAGGTAATTTCTTATTTTTAGCAGGCTATTTCTAAGACCAGAAGTGGCTTGCTTGAAGTTAAGTGAGTGAAAGTGTTGCCCATCGGTGTCGCCGAAACCGACGCACTAGTAAGTGAGGTTGCTCATTGCACGTGTCATTGTGCTCGTACAATAGCTGTCTTTTATACTTTCCCTCACTTTGTTTTGAACGAGCCGCTCCAGCTATGTTTGATTCGAGAAAATGGACTACTGCCGTGGCTCTGTTTGTTTCTGGTGGAAACTTACAAAAAGCACACAGATACTGCTGTGGCTGTTTGTTTTTGGTGCGAGCCAACATATGCACCAACCGGCGGCTATTTTCGTTTGCGACTCTTTGAAGACATTTCTCATTTCTTGAGAGCTAGCTTTCTGTTATCCTAAACGAAGGACGAGTGACTCACCTCGTCTGTTGTCTCGTTCTCCGGTTCGTTGCGTCCTCATTCACTTAATTTTTCGGTTGACCGAACATCTTTGTGTCGCGGCCAGCTCGCTACCGAGCGTTGGGCACATTGCCTGATCTGTGTATCTGTTCGCTTTGTTGGAGTTCGGAGAAATCTAAAGTTGTGTATGTTCCAGTGTTTGTAAATAGGAGATGGCTTATCAAATTAATGTGTGCCAGTACAGAACCATTTTATATTAATTAGGAAAATCTCAAAGAAGCAGGTAGTTCGAGAGAAAAATGAATTTGGGGACTCAGATTTTTGTGCTTGTGTGTTGTTGCTGTAATGTGTAATTTCTGCCTAGCCCTCACCATTTTTATTTTTGTTTGTTTATCTTGGAGTGTGTATTACGTTCCTGGTATTTCTTTTTCTTTCTTCTTTTTATATTTTACCTTCCTTCCCTTTGCTTTCACATCTTTGTCAGTTCTTACTCTGTTGGACCTGTCAAATCTCTCGGGCCAGCACAGTGCCAGCACCCCTTTTGCTGGTGCTAATGCACCACTGGTGCAAAGTGGCAGTTTGTGGATGGCAACAATTTGGCATTGACATGGTCTGAGTTTTCGGCAAGGCAGAACACCAAGGAAGGAGTGAATGCGGGAGAGGAGGATCTGAGAAAAAAGTCAAAATGCTTACATGTGTATTAAAATTCTTAGATGGAGGTTGAGCTGGGGGGAGTGAGCGAGCGAGCTTATACGAGTTTCTGTCTTGCGGGGGAGGCGAGGTAAAAAGAAAACATCCTTAGCTAACAATGCCGGGAAAAGTAAGAATCCATTTATTAAAGAGCCTGTGATCCTGAAGACTGCACGTTAGCAGGATGTGTGCTGGGGCTCCCAATTAGGGTCAGAAAGGGACAAGGAAAGTCCCGGGCCGGACATTCAGGCGACCTGGACACATTTGACCTTTTGTTGCGAAGAGCCTTCTTGCTTTGTATCGAGGTCAAACGCTTTAGTTGAGTTGAGAACGAGAGGAAGGGTGCCTCGGAGATGAGCGACCCCTCTCAATATTACGACATGTCTCGTTTTCCAAATTGGCACTGCCCGTAAATTGCAAGGGTGTGTCCGCCTCTAAGGGGTTGACCCGCACAAACTAGTTGAAAGACAATTGACCTTTTTTCCGCCCTCCATCTTTTTTTTTTTTCTTTTTTTTTTTTCCCGTTATTTATTTATTTTTTTTTTTCTTCCCCCTTTTTTTTTATTGCGTGAGTGTGCGTTATCTCGGGCATGGAAGTGTTAGGCGAACACCACCGGCATAGGCGACAGTGCGGGCGATGCAGACGAAGGAAGCAGACGACGCGCCGTCGTCTGCTTTGCCGTTTTTCGTAGAAGTCGCCTCTTGGCGCCGCGTGCGTCGAAAAGCGTTTGCGAGGCCGCTCCGGACTTGTCTGACGATCTGAAGACTGCCCCACGGATTGGATTTCGGTTTGGGCCTTGGCTCTGGACCGGATACCTTGTGTCGCCGCCTGCTCTGTCTGCTGGAAGTGCCAGCCGGTGAACTCCTGGAGCCGAAGTGGTCTTGGGTGAGTGCCATTCTCTCTACTCTTTGGTGCCACGTATTGTGGGTAAAACACCTTGCTGCTCCTTCACCCACACGATCCTTGTCCACTACACATTGTTGGTTGTGTTAGCCGCTTATTTAAAGGTCAGGAGTATCGTAGCAGGGCAAGGCGTGACAAAATTTTATGTGACTGTTGTCGGAAAATACCAAGAGGCTTTTAAAGCTAATATTTTTGGAGAAGTAGTTTACGGTCACTGAGCCGAAGCATTACCAAAGCTTGGAAGTTTGTGCTGGAGGCGAGACAAGTGAAACTTGTTCCCGACGATCCCATCCTGTCAGCGGTCCTAGAGCTATAAGGAGGTTGCAGATTTTGCTACATGTGCAGTTTACAGGGCGGGACACAAGCGGACGTCTATTTGTATTTGCACTGCTTCTGGTGTAAATACCCACCGTCCTTTTTCGTAGTCCGAAAAAGGACGGTGAATAATCTCCTTACCAGCCTCAAATGTTGCCACTAATTTGAGGCGCATTAAAGGTCGACGGTGCCTAATATTTGAGTTTATTTTAGTCTGCCTTTTTCTACAGTACAGGAAGGGAAGTGGAGAAAAGCCTACCTTGTAACTTGGAATGATAGATCGATTGATTTGTGCGCTCTACTGCTGGGTGAAAGGTCAACGACTTGGAATGCCATAGGAAACATTATACCCCTGGAGCTGGGCGATGGCGTCGCTTTCTAGCAATAGACCATTTGCTATATCCCCCAAGTGCCCCGGCCCGTGCTAAAAGAATCATGGGAACAGTGTTCTTTCAGCTCCTTAGTGATCGGTAATTTCGACCCTATCCTTGATTACACAACTTTTGAGCGTAATTCGGGGTCACCCTGAACAAGCGCCTGATATACCCCAATGACCTGTCATATCGCTTTTAAAATTTCTCCTCAATGTCAGCGTTTTTGACGCTGTGCATGCTATCCACCCTTTAACCTGGATGGGCTGCCAGAAATCTCTTACATTATTATTGTGCTGATATTAAGTTAACTATGAGCTAAATTCTGGTTTTTGTTGTTGTGAATTATCGGCTTTTTAAGCAATTTCTTCTCAAACAACAATTACGAGAATGATAATATTGTAAGAGATTTCTGCAGCTCATTCCAGGTTGAAAGGTGGATCGCATGCGCAGTATCAAAAATGCTGACATTGACGAGCAATTTTAAAGTGATATGACAGGCCCTTGGGGAATATCAGGCGCTCGTTCGGGGGTGACCCCGAATTACGCTCAAAAACTGTGTAACATGGAGTTGGTCGAAAATTAGCGATCACTAGTGAGCTGAAGGAACACTGTTCCCATAATTCCTCGGGTGCGGGCCGGGGCGCTTGGGAATATAGTAAATGGTCTATTAGAGCTAAATGTAGACGAAGAATGCATAATTGCATGACCTTATTCTTGACGACACTAGATGAATGTCCTTTTGACTGTAATGGTGAGAAAGCCTGTGCTTCTAGACTTCATTTCACGAAACACTGACGTTATAGTTTCACGTGCTTTACGGGACATCAGAGAAGACCTGTAACTACTAAGCATTTAAACACGGTGACGTCATCGAGGCTGTCTCGGTGGCATTGCCTGCGAGTACGCCTGTGACCCCCTTTGAAAGCCCTCTCCGAGCTTCGTGCTCGCGTGTGTCGTCGTCGTCGTTCGTTCGGCGCTTTTCGGCAGAGCCACCGCTACCGTATACCGGCGGCCTGCCCTTTTGCGCAGGAGACGTGACTTGAACCACGCCCGAGGTTAGGGCAACGAAGCTGCGGGGTCTCGCTCGTTGCACGGAAATTAGTAGTGCCCTTTGATTTGCTTCTTCTCCTTTTGTATGTGGGGTTTCTTCTTTTCTTTTTTTTTTTTAGAGGATTGGGGGTGGGGGTTGTGAGACGGACTTGTGAACTTTGCTGCGTCGAATTGTCGCCGTCGTCGCGGTCACGCTCACTACTCGTTGGTTCGTCCGGTATACGTGATTTGAATGCGTTGGATGAGCAAGCGCGCGACGGGCGGCTGGATCACGCGTACAGATGCCGGCTGATAATTTAAGCTGATCGTTATCATTATGTATATATTTTTTTAACTCTGAATAAACTTTGTTTGGTCCGTAACGCGTG